AATATAACCAGCAACAAAAACGAAATTTTTGAAATCTACCTCTCTAACTCCATCAATCAGTTTTTCTCGAAAATCCTTCAACGGAACACGTAAAGTGTCGTCTTTCCGACGGTCAATCCACAGTCGGGTCAACGAGTTGAAGGCGGAAGTGGCATCCGAAATATCGCTTCTGAAGCCTTCGTCGCGGGCTATCTAAATCAAGACAGTATGACACAAAAATCACGTTCCTTACCTTTGAAACAGCCAACACAAGGTTCCTAATGACGAACTCGCTCGGGTACGCGGCCGTTATTAAACTTCCATTCTCATGAAGCACTTCTAGCAGCGTCCTAAAATCTTATTCTGAATTTTCACTACAAAACTCACTCGACTTTATCATATTTTTCGTGGCGCACAAGCCTCATCAGGAACGTCAGCACTTCGGTTGCCAGCTTCAGAGAGGGCTCTCGGGTAGCACTAAAAATAACATAGAGCTAAAAAACGGGAATGCATCTACCTCCTTTTGATGCCCATCAACAATTTGGCACGGAGTTCGACGAGGTCTTCTTTCTTCCTCGACGCCATTTCGTTCCTAGTTCTAAACCGAGTTAGTAAAATTAAAAGGATTCTTGTATTCAACGGAACGACAAAATAAAGCAGGATTAAGTTTAGGTGCTTCATTTTTAGAAGGCTAGCGCCTACCCTATAAAAATTGTTAAAAATAATGTAACCACACCAAAAAAAATGCTTATTTTCACAAATTTTAGTTCACTAAATAATCAAAATAAAATAAATAAAAATTTCCGCAGGAAAATAGATGTTGTAATCGTCGATTGTATCTTGTAGCCTGCTCAAAATTTGCTTTCCCGCGCCGCATTGCAATTATCTCGGTCGCGTTGCGCGGCCCCGCGACGGCTGCCCGCCCTTTTCAGTCATCTGCTCGCTTTAGTAACTTCTCAGGGGCCATTCTGTCATTTATTTCATTCACTCGTTTATACTCCTCTCTTCCCCTGCTTCAAAAACACTCCCAAATTATAGGATGGCCTTGGGCAAGGTCTACGTCGGCGGTTTGCCCGACGATGCTACTTCTAAAGAGGTAATATTCGAAAGCCTTATTTTCTTTGTAAACGGCAACCCAGACTTACCGCTCATTAACTTTCGTTAATGAAACCGCTTTAGCCTTTTAGTGTGCGCTTGGGGGGCAGTCTTTTCGAGACCCCAAATGCCTTTTTAACTCAGCCCTTGGAATGCCAGCCTAGCCTTAGCTTCTCAAAAGCCTGGCTTTAGCCCGAGCCAGCTTAGCTTAGTCTAATAACCCCCCATTGTCCCCTTTTCCTCGTAAATTTGAGGCCAAGATAGCTTAGCTGGGCTTGGGTTTAAGCCTAAAGCTTAGCTAGGTTAATTAACTGTTAAGCCTTTAAGAACAAAAGTAACTTTAGTGGAGCGCCTCGACCCCCTCTACCATTTTTTGGCCCCCCCACTGCATTAGCACCGCCTTTTATTATAAAAACGATCCTGGATAGTTAAAGTAGGGCTGTTAGTTAAAAAAATTGGGGGCTGCAAGTGCCGGAAACCGCTAAAGCCCTTGTTTTCCAGGTCGAGGACGCGTTCTACAAGTTTGGCCGCATCTACAAAGTCTGGGTAGCCCGCCGTCCGCCCGGTTTCGCCTTCGTTGAATTCGAGGACGTCCGCGACGCGGAGGATGCTGTAAAAGCACTGGATGGAGCGTGAGTTACATTATTCTAGACATATATTCTTTTTTAGGCGAATTTGCGGTGCGCGAGTTCGTGTCGAACTGTCACATGGAAGACGCCGAGGTGGCGGTGGCGGTGGATATGGTGGTGGCGGTTACGGAGGCGGCGATAGACGGTACTTTTTACGACTTTCTAAATCCTTTCGACATCGCTGTCCGGGAAGTGGGCGAAGAGTTGCCATGGCTAATTGGCTACCCTTTTAGTCACTTCCCTCATTCCCCCTCCCTACTCTGCGTACAAACTCCCTACATACCAGCCATATGCTGACCCCCAACCTTCTCTCAACCTTCCAACCGGCCACCTCGCGTGGTCATTGCAAACTGCGACAGCCATCCTCCGCTTCAGAGCGTTGTTCTTATGGCTGGGTAATCGGAACAGAGTGGCAAAATTCTTGACAAGTTGTTGGCCGACCTCTTTCTGCATGATAACGTTCAAATAGATCTCACTCGACTGAAACACACTAAAATCGATGGCCGCCAACAACTATTTTCCATTTCTTATATAAAATATTTTTTTTCCAGATCTCGATCCCGCTCTCGGGATAGGCGTCGTTCCCGCTCTCGTTCACGCTCGCGTGATCGTTCCCGCAGCCCGCGCCGCAGGTCTCGCACCCGCTCCCGCACTCGTTCAAGGTATACATCTTTTATATTTTCAATTCTTGCTTTCAGGACCCCAGCTGACCGCGAGAAGTCGCGCTCCCGTTCGCGCACCCGCTCACGATCGCGTTCCGTCAGCAAATAACATGACTAACGCGATTCATTTCACACATTACGTTGTTTCTCTTGCTTAATCGGTTATTTCTCATCCAATTACGAATAAACATTTTTCTACTATATTTTTGAAAATGCACCTCAGCATGGTTATCGGCCAATTTCATTCCACGAGGTCTTTTGGGAGAGCTGGTATCGGCAACAGGGCGCTGCACTTTACGCTCGCTTTGCGGACGACGCTTGCAAACAGGCCGGGGGACCCACCGGCTCGCTCTTTTCTATGAAAACTTTGCATCATAGGGTTTTAAAACACTTTTATTGAGCCTCGAACTCTCAAAATATAATAATTATATATTTAGTTATTTAAAGCGTCCTTATTAGGTTACGATGGCTCTTCCACCAAACGTCAGCCATGTCCAAATCGACAGCTTAGTCGTGATGAAGATTGTCAAGCACGTCGATAGTGAGCTATACGCCGGGATGAGCGAGGTAAGGATTACTTATCATTCAGCATCTAGCTTTAGATTGCCGGAGAAAGCTGCCAAGGACTCCTCACTGGGCTCGTTACTGCAGAAGAGGAGCGTCTCGAGATTACCAACTGTTTTGCTACGGCAAGAAGCGAACCCGTGCTCGACGTGGGTTTCCGTATTTCCAGCGTGTTTACCAATATTCTAGGACGAGAGCGCCCAACCGACGAACAATCAAAATGAAGAGGTGAAGCAGCAAGAAATGTTGGACATGCTCCGAAAGTTCCGGTAATTATGATTTTATGTGCTAAAATTTTTCTCAGAAATATGAACATTGACTACGAATTGGTCGGATTCTACCAGGTGCATCCGTTTGGAGCCTGCTTCAATCAAGATTTGGTCGATTCTTTGAACGAGTACCAGACTAGTTTCAAGGACGGTGTTGTGCTGATCTACGGTTAGTGCTCGTTGTGATCTTAGGACCTTGTCTTTAGATCCCGTGAAAACCCGCCAGGGCCAGCTCAGCCTCAAAGCCTACCGTTTGTCGGTAGCAGCACTTGATCTGTGTGCCAAAGGCGATTGGAGCCCGGAAGCGTAAGAAAGATTCTTATAACCATACTTTGAACATTTTAGTGTGAAAGCAGTGAGCCTCACTTATGAAACGATGTTCGAGGAGCTCCCAATCACAATCAAGAACAGCCGGTTGACGAATGTGATGATTGCGGAATTGGCGTTGGCTCCAGGCAAGGTTCCCGAAAAGACCGCCGCGCATTTGGAACTTGGAACAAAGAGGTATTTTTTGTTATGCGGCAAATATGACGGATTTATTTAGGTCTTTGGAGAAGTGTGTGCGTACAATGATGTCTAATATTGATGAGATGAACAAGAGCATTGGCGCTTTCACCAAGTACACATCCGAGAAGCAGCGCCACGATGCCAACATTTTCAATATGACTCAGAAGCGGGTATTAATACTTTTTTATTTTTACAACTGATTCCAGGAAGTCGAGAACGAGCAGCGCAAGCAGCGCGGTGAACCGCCAATTTCTTTCGACGACATCAAGCGATTGAAAGGACCGACACTTCAGACGAAAAACGGCATGCTCGAGTCCTTCCTCGCCAGCGCGGACACTGAGGCTTTGGCTGAATTCTGCACAAAGGTATTTTTTTATTTTCCGCTTTACATCTTTTTAGGTTACCGGTGAGAACATTGCGAAGCTCTTCCTCGCCGAAGCGATCGCCATTGACAAGCGGGACACAAAAGACCGAAGCACCAGCTCAGTTTCCGGTCGTTGAGCAGAAAAATTGTCTGTTGTTTCTTTTTTTTCTGGGACGCGCTTAATTTTATCGTTTTTGGGATTTATCACTGTTCAATTGTTGTTCTGCTGTTTTTACACGAAAAAAAGTTTATCCATTGTTGGTGTCGGAGCCGAACCTTGAAATCACATCCCGGAAGATTGAGGCGCCCTTTTGAAGCGTGTTCATGTTCTGGAAGAGGGTGTGGTTAGCGTCTAAAAGCTTACCGCATAGGCAGAATTACATCCATCGGTAGAACAACAACATAGCGAGGCACCGAAGCCAAGTACAGAGCTTTCCGCACATCGATTTTCAGCGGCCTTTCGAAATAGCATAAAATTTGGCTACCGGCAATACCTTGCAGATGTAGTTATTTCCACAGCCGCCTGTTCGTAAAGCTGCTAGGTTGATATCCGCAGTAGCATTGTAGCAATAATCAGCTAAAGTTTACGTGACGCCTTCCAACTAGGTCCAGAGGCTTACACGATGGGCAATCGACCTGATCAGTGCCAAAATTGCCGCCAGGGGTGTAGGAAGTTCCGGAATAACAAGACAGCGCCAAAATATTTGGGATCATTAAAGCCAAAGAAACCCATTTCAGAGACATTTTGAGTTTGTGGTAACCCAGGGTAGCTGCTGAGTAACAGGTCAGCCCTTTTTTATTTACTCTGCGGCTCATTCAATAGAAACGTTGGGCAACAGTCCGGTGCCAATGTGTGAAGTGTGTCCCGATCATTCACATTTTCTTTACCATAAGATCATCAAAGTAACAAAAAAACAGATGAGATCAATCATTGCCCGGGTGAATCGATGGGTTCTTCACGGGTCGGCGTGTTCATTTCTTGTTGTGCAGGTTCGGGCTGCTGCTCCTCGACTAGCCTAAATTGAGGGTTTGTGTGCTAAATTTTCGGTGACTCACTGGTATAAACGCATACGGTGGAAATCGGTGAGGTGTTCGATGAGCGCCCAAGCCGAGTCCAGAATCTGTTCACAGGAGGCGCACTTCAACACGGCCGGCTCCTCTGAAAAGAAATAAATAATGGTCCACAAAATACACTCACTGTCTGCTTTCGGCTTCGTACATTGGCCGAGCCGGTGGTTCTTGTACGCCTCGAAATCACAGGTAACGAAGCGACATCCGCCACAAATCAGCGTGTCCACCATGGCTAAATCAGAAATCGTCTTACGATAGATAGGGATAGACAATAGGATAAATAAAGCATTGGGGAAAACCCACAAGTATTCGCCAAATAGGAATTTTTCGTGTGATCGATCCTAATCATCTTCTTGTTCCTCTCGTTCAAATGCTCGATGTCCTTTGAGAGCTCTTCCTGTAAAAGTTATGTTAAAATGAAAGGAGTGACGACAAACAATGACAAGAAGAAAAAAATCAAAGACAATATGAAAAGAGTTCTTAGAGAGATAAGTGGGCGCTATTTCGGAATAGGGGACCCATGATTATCAAATCTAGGGTTTACATGTTCTGGATAGTTTTGCGTCTGGTTGCGAAAAACACCATACCAACGTAAAACCCTAGCCTTCAATAAAATTTTTGTAGTCTAATGAATGCTAGGGAATCTAAGTGTGCGTGCTGACTTTGGCCACAATACACTGATACCCGTTGCAACCTCTAAACTTTAAAAGCCAACTAAGACCGGCTGATGAATAGCTTGATTGAGACCAAATCTCGGTCATCCAGACGAACCCACCTCGCGTAGAGTCTACTTGTAAGCTAGGCCCTATATGGGCGACTTTTCCAAGCTCCCGTTAAGTAGGGGATCCTAGGCTGTTTTAGGAAGCTTCAGGTATGTGGGCGTATAAAGCCTAGACCGCCAAAACATATTCCCCAGGGATGCCTGAAATGTACTGAAGCCAGTCCGACCGCCCTATCAGGCCTGGGAATTTTGCGGGCGGGCCGCCCGGCCCGCCCGCCAGCCCGATTCGCCGGCCCGGCCCGGCGGCCCGCGATTCTCGGCCGGCCGGGCGGGCGGGCGGGCCGGGCCGGGCGGGCCGGCCATTAAGGGTCAAATAGGGGTTGGTAAAAACTCCCCAGCTGGTTTCCCATTGCAAGGTATTTTCTGTTAATACGGTATTAGTGGACCATTTTCGCCTCTGTTAATAAACTTGATTTTCAAAGTTATAACGATTTTTAAGAGCTAAATATCGACCGATCTCAGGGTAATAATGTTAAATTAAGCCATTTCGAGTTTCAATTCGCCATATTAATATATATTTTGAGGCTTAGTTTAGTACTACGATACATACTGATACATCTAAGAAAAATCCGGTCGCACTGACATAAAAATCCAAAAGCAAAAAACGACGCCGGGCGGGGTCGAACCTGGATCGATTTCCTGGTAGGGACTTACTCAAGAAAAGGACAAATTTTTTATTGAGGCTGTATAATAACGCCAAATTAACTATTCGTGAGCGAAAATATGCAAAATAAGTCCCAATTGCCCCCAAAAGGTATTTTTGGTTTCTAAACCCCCCGGGCCGGCCGGGCCGGCCCGGCATTTTCCAATTTCTCGGCCCGACCCGAAAAATGCAGATTCTCGGCCCGAAAATCGCCTGCCCTATTACATAGCGTCCTATAAAGATCAAATATTATGGTGAAAATGTACGTTTTACGGGATGGGGTACCGTTTTCGGAACGACGTGAAAATTACCACAAAGTGGTTTTAGAATGATCAAAGTGGTCCTATCCGAAATTAAGTGTTCTTACGTCATCTTGCTTCCGTTTCTTCAGCACTTGCTCGTTAGCTTTTTCGACGCTGGAAATGTTATCATTGAATTGGTGAATCTATCATACCCCTTGGGATTTGTAGCAACCCGTACGTCCAGCCTGGTGCCCTTGTGCATTGAATTATGCAACCCCAGCACGGCTGCATCAGCATCCTGATGGCGGCCGAATTGTATGAAGGCATATCCCTTAACCAAAAGTCATTTTTCTCGATTTCAAACCTTGAAAATCGTGGCTCCAACCAGGACCCCGTAGCCCAGGCAAAGCTCGATGAGATCCTCGCGGGTAAATGCATAATTGTGGAGATTGCCGATAAAAATTCGTGATCTAGGAAGGATATAGATAAACCCTAATTACCCTTACCTAACCATTAACGGATCCATAGAACTCGTGTCGTAGCTGATATCGGGGTAGCTGCTGCTGGAAAAGAGGTGGATTCAGCTAAATATTGAAAATTTACGCTCTGCCCGTAGGCGGTGGAGGGGTCGATCGAGAAGCGGGCATCGGCGGTTGAGAAGTTGGTGGTGGCTGCATGTATCCGTATTGCTGAACTGAAAAGAAAAATTATTAGAAAGCTGGCGCATTCCGGTAAGGCAAAAAAAACCCAATTCAAAAGGCCGCTTGCGCGCGCAGTCTTTTCACGAGTTCTCTCGCTCATTTTTGTAGTCATTTTTCCGAAATTCTCCTTGGTCAAAGTTGGAAAAACACCCACATCCGGCCATCGTTCTAGATATGTAGCTTTTCTTGACGTCGCTCACACTCTCGGGATTTGCTTCTTTTGCTGGCCAAGAAGCCTAAAAGGAAGTACGCGATAAAGGTAAAAGTACACCGCGGAACAGCCAAGATTTAACAATATGTTTTCAAAGCTTTTGGGAGTGTTTTCGGGGCGGCAATTTCAAGAAATAACAGTTTTAAATTGCCAATTTCAAAGACTGGTACATTTGATGGCGTGTTCGAAATGCGTCCATAGTAACGTTCGGATTAATTTTGCTGACGAACAAAATTTTTTTATTTTGAATTTAGAAAATGATTTGATGAAATGAGAATTAAAAGTTCTCATGCTTTTTGTGAGCCTCAGACCCATCGGGCCCATCCCTGACTCAGATCTGTGCCCTGTAATTGGCGGGCAATGTTCTTTCGAATGTATCCATCAGCCTAAAACACTAATGTCACTGCGACACGCATAAGTTGTGAGCCGTTTATTAATGTACATGTCATGGGGGAAAATGCTCTAGCAGAGTTTGCCCTCGACGCAAATCTGCTTGTTGTTCTCGCCCGCCTGGAAGGCCTTGAGCATCTGTCCCGAGTTCTTGTCGACGACGTTCTTGCAGATGGATGACTAAAGAAAAAAAATTATAAGTTAAAAATTATAATTATTTTTTGAAAAGCTTTTCAAGCTTATCATTCCCTTTTAGTTAATTTAGTTTGCGTATTATTACCCGGTTTACTGGATTTCAATGTTAAGTTACATACGATTTCGGCTTTACCTCAAATCCAGAGAACTGGGTGGTGCACTGTCCCTCCATGAACTTCTGCAGATCGGCCTGCTGCACATTGGTGAAGTCGTTGTTGTAGTTGGTGCGGGCATTCTGGCACATCGTCTGGCACTTGCCGCAGATGTCCTCTTGGGAGAGCGCGACGGCCAAGACGGCGAACAGGGCAACGACGAACAGCTTCGACATGACGGCGGGCTTCTAAAAACACAGAAAAGTTAAATTATAACTTTTAACACGAAGGGCCCGCCCCCCCCCCCCCCCCCCCCTCCCCCCCCCCCCATCCCCCTTCTTTTATATCTCCCCCACTCCAAAAAAAAAAAATTATATATTAATTACCCACCCCCATTTATATTTTATACTCCCACCCTTCGTTCCACTTATTTTTTTTAAATAAATTTTTTAATAAAAAATTTTTTAATAAAAATAAAATTATTTTATAAAAAAAAAATAAAATAATATAAATTAAAAAAAAAACAACCAAAAACAAAAAAAATATAATTATAAAAAAAAAAAAAAAAAAAAAAATATATCCTCTTTTAAATTTTTTTTTTTCAAAAATAAAAAATAAAATTTAAAAAAAAAAAAAAAAAAAAAAAAAAAAAATTTTTTTTTTTATAAGATATCGAGCGTTCGCTGATCCAGCGCACAAGGTTACGGTACTGGGGGATCAGAATGATGCGAAAACTGGGGGAACAAAGAAGCGATAAGTGCCGCAAGGCTCGCTGGCTTCAGGCCTATATGGGCGTCGTCTTATCTCTTTTTATAGAAGGCCCGCGCCTCTCTCAGATCCGGAGAGTGCAGCACAAAGCGGCCAACGTGTTCGAGAAGCGCAGCGCATTGTAAACGGCTTATCTAGCTCCTGTTTGGGCAAAAAATTTCGGGGGTTGCTGGGTGGTTCCGGGGTGACCTGGTATTTACAATGTGTTACCGGATACCTGAAATCAACCGCGACCCGTTGTAGAACTCGTGTTGCTTTTGGTTGAAGCCGCCTGTAAACTTTAGGTACTTGTTCGTTAGCGGGGGGTAATTATTGTCATTTACCGCCAGCTTCTCTTTAATCCCAATATTTTGGATTACATTATTTTGAACTGTAATCCAAACTTTTAGTATTTTTTTGAAAACAATGAAAGGAGTTAATATCATGGAAGGTCAAAACAAAGTAAAATTTTCGAAAAACCCACCAAAACCGCTTCTAAGGGTTATAACGTTCTTATATTACAGATTTTGCTCTGCCCAATCGCGTTGAAACAATATAAAAATAGCGAGAATATCAAGAAAATCACCCCCCCGCTAATGAACCAGAATCCAACTTTAGATACCGGATGTACCATTTTCCCTCCCATACGTGCAATATGGTTACCGCGAATCCAATCAGTAATCGGTAATACTCTGACTGGCCACTGATCAACGACGCCTGGGAAAAGCAATCAGCGGGCTGCGATAAACGGGGGCTTTACCGTGTGCGTCGTCAGCGCTTATCGCGCCGGATCGACGACAGGACCCCATCCCCTCCCAAAGTCACGTTTCTGCGATTTTTTTCCGCGGATGCCTTGATGGTGAAATTCATTCAAACAAAACGACCAGACAAACCAAGGTAAAGTACATAACGAGGATGTTGCAGAGCCGAGGCAATGCAACACCAGGAACAAGGCACAATAATTTAACCCTTGATGACGGCGATGGGGCGAAGCTTGACGGCTTTTTTCGATATTCCGGCTTCGTGGCACGTGTTGACGACGTCGGTGACATTTTTGTAAGACTCGGGAGCCTGAAAAAAAGATTTAAGAGATCCAAACTTAACTGATAAACAAAAAAAATGTGCGCGCGAATAGCTAACGAACCTCTTCCATAACGAGCTTCGGACTGGCCACCCGGATTGAGATGCCCTTTTTCTGTAGATCACCCAGCACCTCTTCGTATGGGATGCTACGTCTCGACTTTGCACGCGACAGAGCTCGGCCCTAAAAATATATAAATTACAAAAAAAAGCTATCGTACGGCTCCGTGACACGTCGTCCCAAAAGTCTCGACCATCCCCTTTTCGGTGCCGGTGAGCACATAACTGCAAGTGCCCATACTGCCGCCGATCAATACTGGCTGGCCTAAAAATTGGACTAACCAAAAATATAATGAAAATAACTACCGGTCAATTGATAATCCACCGGGATCAGAGGATGGTGCGCGGGAAAGGCGCGTGTGGCGCCCTTTCGGTGGACGCAAAGCTGCCGTGGACGGCCGTCGATCTAGAAACAGTAAACCGTAAATATTCATTATTTCATCTAGAGTTGTTATCTGGCGTCCGGGTCCGGGTACCCGGTTGCGGACCCGGTTCAAACGGGTAATGGGTCGAGCAGGTCCGAGCGGGTACCTGGTCGAGCGGGTAATTGGTCGGCCGGGTGCGCCGGGTACCCGGTCGACCGGGTCCTATGTAAAACCCTTATTACCCGGCCAATTACCCGCTCGACCGGGTACCCGGTGGGCCAGGTCGGACCCACTCGCACCAACTACCCGTTCGCAACCGGGTACCCGGACACGGATGCCAGATAACAACTCTAACTTCATCCTTTGATTTAAAAATAAATTTTCAAAAATATACCAGATGCTCCTCCATCTTTGCTACGTTGTGCGATACATCATAAATTACAGCCATGTCCAAATCATCGGCCGGCATGTCGAAAACCCGAGAAAAAGCCTAGAAATCATGGCTCAGAATCGGTCATTACAAATTAACCTGTCGTACACAGAACGTCATGCACGACCGATTCACCCAGGCAAAGTTTGATGCTGCTGACATGGCTTTCAGGTAGTTTTGACCTAAATAGTAAATTTAGAGAGGTAATTTAAATTTGACCTAATTTAAATGAGCCAATACACAATTTTGCTGCTAAACTACCTTCCGGCGAGTTAATCCGTGCACAAGCCAGCTGCCGATCATTGACCACAATACCATCACGACTCATCGCCTTCTCCATTTCGACGAGCGCGTCAGTAGCCACCTAAAAATAGATATAGGGTTTATCCGGATCTCACTTGATGCCCAAGCCCTCGGCTTCCACAGTGCAACATCAGGACAACTTGGCCCGGCTGGTCGATGCCCATTTTGGCCGCGGCGTGCTTATCAAAGACCTCATCAACGACTTGCACCTCGGCGTAGTGGTTACCGGCTCCCAGTGTTCCCAGCTGAAATTTTTTTATGTCACACGATTTTTTCAAAGTTTTTATTTCCTTTAAATTTTTGCAAAAAAATACCTGCGGCAGTCCACGTTTCAGGGCGCGGGTTGAGACTTTGCTGGCATCGGCTTGTAACATTCTTCCATATTCTTCGCAGTGTTCCTTAAAAGATTTGATAGCTATATCAACTAGGTTTTTGATATGTTTCATAACATCTATTAAAATATTCGAAGAAGCACCTTATCCTCAGCCCACGAATAACCTTCGCGCATCGTCCAATCCATGCCCATCTCCAAACATCTAAAAAAATCAGTATAATTCTTATCCGTCAACCAACGTACTCGATAAGGTCGTTGGCACGCATAGGGATCACTCCGCGACTTCCCACACCCACGGGAATATGGTCAAAAAGAGACTGTGCCAGCTTCTCTTTCACAGGTTGTACGTCCTAAAACTCATATTTTTACACAGAAATTGCCCTTGCCTCTTCAAACAAATTCGTCCTAATCAGCCGCACTCCACAATTGATATCGAAACCGACGCCGCCTAGATTCAATATTCTTCAACATTTGCAAAAGAACCTGGAGAAATGACAGCATTCTTGTCAGCGACATCAAAGGCGGCAATGTTTCCAATGCTGAAGCCGTATCTAAACACCAATTTTTGGATCGTTGTTGGAGGCAATTCTTACCCAGAATGTACGTCAGGCAGTCCAATCGAATGGCCAATGATTCCGGGGAGTGAGGCAACGTTAGCAATTTGGCGGACAGCTGGCAGGAACCCGACTTTTCCTAAACAAAATTATGGCTAGGAAGACGCTCCAAACCGGGGAGATCAAGCGATTGCTTCAGCTCCTCGAACATCAGCTTTTCTAGCGCACCGTTGACGTAAAAACGGCCTTCGACCTGAAGAAACAGCCCGTAAAGCTTTCCGGAGGTGCTTACATTCATGTTGGGGACGAAGCCCTGCTTGATCTTGAATTTTGTAGGGGTCAGCCGTTCGATGAACCCGCATTCTTCATCGTACGTTCGAGGCATGCCTAACAAAAAGGGCTCATAAAATGACTTTCGATCTTCTCACAATTCCAAGATTTCTGTAGGTACTAAACGTCCAATAAAAATGCCATCAAACTGCGGTGTTCCTTGTCGTTTCTATAATAAAAAAATAATTTATTTGAGGTCGTCCCGCAATATATTATAGGGTCACGGAAATAAAAACTGTTAGGGTATGTTTAGATGAACGCCTGGGTTGAGCGGGGGTTCGTCGGGGCTGAACAAATACAACGTAATATATCATGTGGTCGTCTCTGAAAGCCAACGTGAAGATCACAAATCGGGGGAGGAAGACGAGGGGCACAAATGCCTCGTGGGGGAAAGGCCTGCTTGTCGTCGATCACAACGAGGGTACTTTTTGCACAACATGATGTCAGAAGAAAATGTACAACGTTCTTTGTACAGCACCGGAATCCGGGGGCGGAAACGCGAAAGGAAGGCAAAACAGATAAATCGGGGGGTTAATCTCAGCGATATTTTTGGCGGAAGCTTATGTGCATTTGTGGAACGTCCCTGGCAGCACGTGCGCAAAACAATGACTAGCCGAGGTAAAACTGAATCAACGCAAAGCACGCAAATCATTGTTCAGGAATTATTAGAGAGGGTGCCCGTTGCAACTTGCAAGTGGATGTGAGCGTCTTTATACAATCGTCGACAATCGGCTGGGTTTGTCGCTGGATGGAGGGGATTCTCTGAAAATGGTGATGTATTACCCCAAACTGACTTTAGTTAAATTAAATTAATTTTTTACATTTTTTCCTGGATTTCATTTAGCCGAATACTTTGTGCAAATGTCCACTCCAATTTTTCGCTTGCTAGAATGACAAAAACGCCTATCCATTAAAAGCATTTGATGTTTTCAGATTCAAATCATAAAATTTCCACCCGTTAGGCCTTCTTGATTTCGAAAAAGCTCGAAAAATTTTATAGAAAATAAATTAACAGTTTTATAAAGCATTCGGAAAGTCATTGAGAAACCTTGAAAGAGCTCTCACTTGGTTGATAAACTCCGCTGATCGATTTGGCACCGGCAAATTGGGCAAGTTTCGAGCTGGAGGGCGCAGGTTGAGCATAGATCCCTAAATTAAAGGTTTGAATTTAAGCTACAAAAAATTACCCATGCTGACACGGCTCCAAAATGGTGTCCACCGGGTTGGCGAAGCAAATGTTGCAGTAATCATCTGGGATCGTCTCTTTTTGGATGATCTCCAGGCGACAGCGCCGCGGCAGTATCGTACGTTGACGTTCGGACAATTTAGCTCCGCCCTGGTTGAAGGTCCTAAAAATGGAGGGGTATGCATAGTGCTAAAAATCCTCAAAAATTCGGCCAAAATTTTCATCAAGCTTTTTGGCCAGAAAGAGCGGAAAGATGTACCCGAAAGCGAATCCCTTGGGCGCATGTACAAATGGACGATTTCCAAAATTGAAACGACACTGCTGGAAGGACATGAAGGAGGCGGCAGCAAAGATGCCATCATCCGGGTTGACATTGTCTAGAAATAATTAAAAATAAAAAATACCAGGGTTGAAAAGCCGCTTCGCGACTTCCTGCTCAGGACTAAACAAGCATATATAAAGAATTACGTTAGGGAAGGAAACAAGGGATTACGAGCAACCGGAACCCGCAAAGCCCACAAGAGGAATTGACCCTATAAAATATAATTCCAATTTTTAAATCGCTAAAATAAAGTATAAAAAAATTAGTAAAAATCTGAAAGCAGTAATCTACGCCATCGATTACCCCTATCACTTTATTCTACCAAAAAATTTTTCACCTTCGAGTTATGATGGAACCCGGTTTATAAAGTGTCAAAAAAAAAATATTTTTTTATATATAAGATAAACATTACTAAGATAAAAAGCTCTATCATTGCATCGAAAAATACCGAAAAAAGCGGTGTGTGGCCTCGTCAACGGTTTTCCGTTCAGGTAGAAGATGATCTGCTCCTTGGGCACGTTTAGAAGGCAACCGACGATGTCTCCTAGAAATTGAAGTGGACTTAAAAAAAAAAAAAAATTTAAAAAAAAATAATTTTATTTTTAAAAAAATCACTAAAATTTTTTTTTTTTAAAAAAAAAATTATATTTTTTTATTTTTTTTAATTTTTTTTTTTTATTTTTTTATTTTATAATTTAAATTATATTTAAAAAAATTTTTTTTTTTTTTTTTTTTTTTTTAAATTTATTTTTAAATATTTAATAATTTTTTTTTTAAAAAAAATATTTATTTTTTTTTTTTTTTCCTTTCCTTTTTTTTTTTTTAAATTTATATTTTTTTTTTTATTTTCTTTTTATAAATTTTTTTTCTTTTTTTTTTTTTTTAATTTTTTTTTCATTTATATTTTATATTTTTTTTTTTTTTTTTTTTTTTTTTTGTTTTCTTAATAATAAGCTTACCCGGCTTCCATGCAGAATGATCGTGCCGGCTGCTGTTGGCATTGTGCCACAACAACTGTCGGCATCCATCGTATGCGACCGAATTCTCGTCGTCGCCGATCCCATAGCCCTCATGGTTTAGGAACCGACTCTTCTTGGTGGCAAACCCGATTTGCATCACACCCGGAGTCAACACTTGCGCTTCGTAATACCTAAAAATCATTAAAAAATACAATGATTTTCACTCACCAAATGCCTTCCGTAACTTCAAATGTACATCTGACGGACTCGAAAGAAGATACGTCACAACGGGCCTCCAAGCCGTTCGGGGAGATCTTCAAATATTCGCTGACATCCTCGTGGTTCAGCATAGCATTGATCGCCGACACGTCGACGCCCTTGTAAGAATATTCACGACCCGGACGAACAACTGAAAAAAACATACTTTAGAAAATTTAAGATAGTTTTTTACCAGCTTTTTGAAGGGTAATTTCTTTAAATACTTACAAATATTGTCCAAACTCCATTGCGCACAGAAGGCGACCTGCTGGGCTAACCAATCTTTCGCATAGCTTTTATCGTGAAGCCAGCATTCCAAGAACTAAAGAAAATCCCAGTTGAGAATTTTTAAATGCGAATCCACCTCGAGGGGATGCTGCTTTTTCTGCTCCAACGCCTTCAAAATAATGTGCCGATTTTCCGTTGTTTGCGCGAATTTTTCGAGGGCAATCAAGGAGTAGAGGATCACTTGCTTCGAGTTGGAAGGGTGCTAAAAGTACGAATCTAAGTATTTTCAAATTTTATTGCCTCAAATTGAACTTTTAAAAAGATAAATTTGGCTTACCAGATTGTTGATGAAATATTGCAGGACGGTGGGTGTGCAGAAGGCAACACTGGCCGCACCAGCCATTTTTTCGGCCAAACTAAAAATGTCAAATCTTCCGAATCTAAAATCAAGCCTACCTTCCCAACACGATGCAAGCATTCCGGTGCCAAAACGGTGGTTGCGACAGGGTTTCACGTGAATTCAGTGCCATCCGTTGCAATAATTTGTTAACAGCATCCTAGAATTCATATAATTGTTTCCAAAAAAGACACAAACCTTCGTTGGCAACGGGCTTTCATCTAAAAAGAGGGTGATGACGGCCGGGCCAAGCGGATCCTCATCAGGGACAACTTCTACCAGGCTTTTCACGATCTAGAAAAGAATTAGCTCAAAAACAAAATAGGGCCTACCAAAAGCCAGCCGCTTTCCTTGTCGGCCAAAAGGTTGAGCTTGAGAAGGGAAGATGGTGGCTCTTGTTCACTGAAAAAGGTATAAGAACTGTTTCCTTGAGTGAATTTTTCTAGTATAAATAAAGAACGTTTCTAGACGATTTTTACAATTCCCAAACGTCAAACATTCTACGTTTTGACCAAAAACTACAAAATATAGCTTTTTCGACCCAAATAAGCAGATTTTCACAAAATTTTCAAAATTCCAAGCATTGCTCAGTTTTATAAATTGTTTTTTTTCGCGTGAAACAGAGTTAAATTTTACTAAAAAGGCTTTGAACTGCTTTTTATGACGCGATTAGGTATTATTTTAAAACATCCCCGCCCTGGAAATACCAAAGAACTGAATTGCTCATCTCGGCCATTTTTACTTTCTTTTCCAGAATCAAGGTGCCCCATCCTCATTCAGACGTCCCATTGGCTCCGCCGATTAATCCCCTTCCGGTCTTTTACATCCGACCCGGGGTGCAGACCGACCAACAGACTCACCCCCGGCCGGAACACCGAATGAATTGTTGAGCGCGGTGGCCATTTTCTGGGGGACCTTGTTGCCGCCGTGGCCCCCGAGCCCTCCTGGTCGACATTGGATAAAGAGGAGGGCCCCCGGGGCTGAAGGACTAACCCGGAGCGTCTAGCGTGACCAATTCAGCAACGGGGCCCACTCACGTGCCCCCAACGCCCTCGCGATGCCCTTACAGCTCCTCTTGGACTTTGCGCGTTACACCCTTCGTGGAAACAAAAGTAATAGGCTGTGGGAATTGCTAATTGCTTTTCAGTGGGGTGGGCGTGCGTGTTGATTGGGCATCAGACGGGTAATCCCGGAAATCAAGGGAAATGAAAAAAAAGCACTCGCTGGGGAATACTTTTCATGAATTTGTTTTTCGCGGCAAAATTCCGTTTCGGTATGTTCTTAAATGTCTCTAAAACCCCGATCTCTTACTTGTTGACAAGCGACCGGATGACATTGAGCGTTTGACGGATGAGTTCTTGTATGTCATTTCGTATGTTTGGATGGTCGAAGCATTGCGAGTCGTTCGCGCCATCTCCTGGAAAAGAAAAGTTTCGTAAAAAATCGCCCAGTTTTCGGGTCACCGCCCCCATGTGCATTAGCCTTACTCATCATCGCCCATCCTTTCGAAATGATAAGAAAGCGAAAAGATCGCGTGGACATTGTACCCGAGCTCGTCGCGGCAAGACGGCTTTCTCAACCAGACTTACAGAGCTTCCATGGCCCCCCTGAGAAAAAGTCCTGAACCCGCTTATGGGGTCGGGGCTTATCACGCTCGTTGTCTGTGCTGTCAACTAAAGGTCGCTGTCGGGGGTACTGGACTGTTACCGAGGGGGGGCTATCTTTCTTATACCGACCTAGCAAACATTTTTTAGCGTATTATTGTGTATTTTTAGTGTCTTCATCATCAAAAACTAAAATTTTTCGTGACATTTCGATACCCAAAAGCTAAAGCTAAAAAAAGCTATATAAAAGATGGGGATTTCATAAATGGAATCCGACAGTGTGATAAGCCAAAGCGCAGTCTCATCCCCCCCCCCCGCTAAAAGGCCAGTGCCTGCCTGGACACGGCCGGGAAATTTAGGTATAAAGCGTGTCCTTCATCAACAAAATGCTGTTGTTATACCCTGGCATGGCGGGCAAGCGTGTGGCAGTTGTTTTGCACCCCGCGCGCGCTGCTGCCCACAATAAGCACAACCCTCCTTGGGGTGGGCAACCCGAAAATATTGTCGTAATGGTGGTGGCAAGGGGCGTGCTATAGCATCCGTTCCGATATCTAGACGCTTGAATGCATAGGAAAAGGGCCATTTGGGGAGTGCTGTTCGACCAGTTGGGCCCCAAAAAATTGGATGAAGTTGGTGAAAGGCTGCCGAGGTAATTTCGCTAATTCTAATGGATTTGTTGTCATTCTCCTGAATCTGGGTGAGATGCAACGAAATTTTACCTAAATTTCAGATAACCGAAAATTTTAAAAAAAGGAAAAGCTCCGTATTTTTTTTCTAATTTTCGCCTGGCCAAAATTCGGGAAAACGACACTCCTTAAAATGAAATCGAGTCAGCTGTATTTCCTTGCGATAAAAAAAAAATACATTCTACAGCATAAAATACAAAAAAAAACACCCACGATATCTCCTCCGCGGCCTGCGCCCGGTCACAAAACGAATTTGCGTGATATTTGTTCCGGGCGTCGTCGGCGCCGACGACGTGGGAGTCGACGAATTCGAGGACGAATAATCGACATAACCGATCAGTTCGAATATCGAAAAGTCGGGCAAGGGGGAAGGGCATCGGGAAAGGCACTTCGGGCAGAAGCTCTCGCCACGAGGGCCAGGAAGGGCCCCAAGCCCCCGCCCCCCATGGGTCCCATGCCCTCAGCTCAGCCCGCCCAGTGGCCATTTCGGCAGTGCCCAGCATACTCTCGCATGCACTGCAAGGACGTATTCGGGGGAGAAAGACGGCGAACAATAAGGAGGAAATCGTAGGAAAGTGTAATAAGGTTAAAAAAAGTTAGAGATTCGAGATTAATTTCGACAAAGCTAAAAATTATAATAAATTAAATTATCTCATTTTATTATTATTCTTTTTATTACCTTAGAAATAAATGTATAATTTATTTATCCCGTTTTTTCTTAGTTTCCGATCTTTCCACTAGATTATCGGCGAAATCAGGGTTTTCGAGAAAGTTTAAGGCGTTTCAAATAACTTTCCTTTGCTTAAAAACAATTAGAATTAACTCATACATAACATGAGCCTAAATTTGATTATTGGGGCGCGTCGGGATTGTAGAAAAAAGCAATACACATTTTGGTCTCCTATAATCCAGAATCTAGAAAAAAACGATAATTCTGAGGAGTCCAAGCGAATAAAAAGAAACTGGAATAAGCACAAAACCTCACCCTAAACTAGCGAACGGACGAAGAAAGTACAGATCCTTTAATGCTATCAAAAAGGATACTCTAGTACAAAAACCGCGGTCTATTTGCTTGCCCAGGAGGAAGGGGGGAGCCCGAAGTGATCACATGTGCTGGGGTGAGGGAGGACCTGTCCGCATTAGAGAACGCGATTCGATCAGAGACGGATACAGTGCCGCAATTCCGCTATCGGCGCTCGCCCCGTAAAAACACGAGTCACCCACGCAGTCCATTCGGTAAAGCCCATTTTCGCAATCAAAATCTGTAAAAAAACTCACTCATTAGATGGATGTAGCGGGAGCTGTCCCCGGAAGCCAACCCTGAAAAGCCCAAATATTTTGCCAATCCTAGAAAATCCGAACAAGTAATTTTTTGCCATAATTGTTTGGTCAAAATGGCTATCACGAGGTATTAGTGCATTCATCTAAATATAAAACACTCACGATGCGAATATCGGCGCCTCCATCTTGCTTCTCGCCTCTCGCGGTCGGTGATGGAGCCTCTGAAAGCAAAGATTACGACCAATCGAAAACCTTCGATAAAACGATTTTTTGGAATCCCCTAGCTCAATTTATCCGCAATGATCCAGAAACTCGATAATCATTGTCATTTTTCCTACGCCAAAAACTTTGCCGAAACCTCAGATTGCATGCATATCTCTCAAAAGACTACAGTAAATAAAACAATACCTGTGATCGCTAGATCCCTGAGATTGGCTATCTGCATGTCCTTTCTGCCGACAGACGCATGATCCCATCCTGTAAAATGGCGTTTAGAACCGTGAAAATAAGCTCGACAGCGATAAATAGACACTGAAAACTCGGCAGAAACTCTGTCACACTTAATAAATATTGAAAAGCCAGAAAATCATGCTCTTGACTATCAATTGGCGTCTAGAAACCAGTTCTCTTTCCTTTTTGGTAACCGGAACCAGTAGAGAAAGTGCCCTCGTCAAGAGTGCGCACGCATAGGGTATGAGCAGCCCGAGTTCTATGCCGTACCGCGGCCAACTGAGCGGAGGAAAAAACTCCAGGTTGCTTGGGAACCCGATAGCCCAGGAATAAATCTGGTCTAAGATCACAAAATCGAATTCCTAGTAGTAAGAAAACTATAGCAGCATGCGAACGCAAAATATTGACTCCATTCCGGGCATGTGCGGGCCATATTTATAGATCAGTAACTGGGGGTAAATAAAGCATATCGTTTTCTGGTTCGGCAGCCCAAAAAAGTAAAGAGAAAAACTTGGGGCGGCCGGGGGGGACTGGTCATCATTGATTGTTTCGACGTGACGATTTCGATGAGAAATCGCGTTTATGGAGCGGGGGGGAATGGCGGCGAGGGAAAAACAGCACAAAGCGCATTGTGTGCCAGGGAAATCGGCGAACAGTAGTTATAAAAGAATTTTGTAAAAAAAAGTTTTTTTTAAAGTTTATTTGCAAAAAGTTTTTTGCCTTAGTACTAAACGCTTCTTTTGACGGAATTCCGTGTACTGATGTAGTACGTAGTAAACCAGTTGGCGTTAATAGGTGCGTAGCGGACATACTTTTTCGATTTTTTCACTTTTTTTAACCCAACAAAATAGAAAAACACGCTAATTTCGGACGTTATTTCTAACATTAGACCCCGATCAATAGCAAATGCAATGAATTTCCCGAGGCGATTTCAAGTACCGCTGGTTTGGTTACCTCCCGAGCCGAATCTGCTACATTTTTTCAGCTCAACGGCGGCCCGGTTTTTCTCACTACAAACGGGCGATTGGCCGATTCGCGAGAATAAGCCCGCGTTTGTTGCTCTGGGATTAGAGGGCAGGGTGGAAGCTGTATATGGATGGTGGGTGGAACCGTGACCTGCGAGTTTGGTATGGCAAAGAAAAGTTTTGCGGCCGAGGTTTTGCAAAAATCGCATTTGAATAGCTTTTTATGGGGGTATCTATTAGCTGATCTATAGACGTTAATCTATATGCAAAACTAAGAGAAATCTTTTGCAAAACAGTCAATATTGGGAACCGAGAAGGGGGTCTCGCACCGCTCGATGGTGCGTGCAGCAGGTGTGAGGGGAAAGATGGGAGAGAAGTGAGGGACCGGCCCCGGGTCCGCTTCCGCCTCCTCGCCGGACAGCCACGTAAAGGCCGCGGAAACGAGCGACGCAATCGACCCCCGCGCGCAGACTGTCGGCGCGTGTGTCTGGGAATCGGAGCGGAGCGGGCGATGCCAAAGGGCAGGCGAACAGCGTTAGAATATGGGTTGTAAGCTCTTTGGTTTTTCAGAGGTTTGGCTGTCTTTTGGTCATTTGTCAAAAACCGATTTTGCCTGACGTAAGAAATAGTCAGTCGGTGATTCATCAGAGGTGTTGCGCAAAACGGTGATAATGACTAAATGCTTCCTGTAATCAAATAAATATTTTTTCAGTTTCTTTTTAAAGTTTTCTTTTTTACATTTCAGGCGATTTTGATTCTCAATGCAGCCGAGTCGTGCTTGAAACTAGAAGCTGCTGAAAGAGTGTACTTTTTGAGGGGAAACTCCCAGGGTTCGGGTGGACCGGAAAAAACGTCACTCGAGGAAGGTGGAGGTGTTGGTCGGTCGTTGAACCCTGGCTGGGCGAAACGAATACAAAGAAAGATAGTTTGGCTTTGGGGGTTTAAAAGGATCAGTTCTATAAATTGAATTTTTAGAAGAGATAAATTTCTAAAAGTGTTGTTGTGTATTTTACGCTAATGGAAAGTCGTTTCTAGGTGATAATAAAGTTTTGGTCTTTTTGCATTATCGGTGGGGAACCAACTTTTATTGAGGATCGAGTTTTTTACAAATAAAAAGCTGAAGTGCTTCAAACTTTTTTTTACTATTCCAAAACGTCAAAACTTTACAAATTTTTGTTCAAAAAATACATAAAATATATTATTTTTCGAGCAAATAGCCGTTTTTGACCTTGCGAAAACTGTTTGAAAGTTTTAGGTAGTTTTTTGGTTGATATATCGTTGTATTTTACTAAGCAACTTAAAACACGGGGCATATAGACTTCTACAAAAAATTTGGGTCCCCCCGATAATGCGAAAGAACCCGACAAATTTCTAGATCACCGAAGAGCGGCATTTTTTTAGTCTTGGCGTACCGGCTGAATCAGTTTTCTAAATATTTAGTGTTTTTTAGTCATTTTATACGATTCTTTACGATACAATACGGCCACTCTATTACATACGTCTTTTTTTCTGAAAAATCGAGCAATCCTCTTGCTTTTCCCATTTCTTTCGCCATATTGCTGGCCAATACACGCACACCTATCAGATGCGGGTCGGCGGGGGGCCACAGCAGCAGCCGGCACCTATGAGGGATGATGACGTTACACGAGTGAGCTAGAACGAGGGCGAGAGAGTGGGAGGGCCAAGGTGGGCCTCCAAGTCTTGGGCCCCTCCGGGGCGGCATGGCGCTCAATCTGTGGGCCCACAAAGGCCCCGGGATCGATGGAAAGGGGCCTCTGGGGGCAGAAGAAGAAGAAACGTCGTCTCCCCCTCACACTCACCGCGCACCCCCCACTCGCCTCCCCGAAAAACTCTCGCATAGTCATGGGCCAGCAAGGGGAGGCTACGGCTTTTAGCCCCAGCCATCTCCTCCTCCTCCTCTTCTTCTGCTGCTCCTCTCTTTTCCTGGGCTTCTCCTTTTCTGGGCTTTTTCTTCGGCTGCCTCCAATATTATCGGGGTGGCGCCGGCGGCTAGCTTTTTCCGTCTAGGATCTGAATTAGTAATGTTGATTCATGAATCGGTTAGGATAAAAATTCACCCTCGTGCTTCCGATTACCAGCATTGAGCGCGAACCTTTGAGCACGAACCGTCACTTTCGCGCCTAAAACTGAAGCTTTTGCGTTTCAGAAACTCTGAAACTTTTAGCAACTTTAGAAAAATCTAAAAATTCCTTTATTTTTCTACCGTGCGAGGTCCATGCTCCTTTCGCAACTCATCAAGCTGACCAAGGTTTTCGACCACAAAAGATTTTGCAACATATTAGGCCCTCGACTTGCTTTATCCTTTTTCGGGTGCTTTTGCATCATCGGGGGGTGCGAATTTTTGTATATCCAGAGATGCCTAGTAACGTAATAGCAAGTATTTTAATAGTATTTTTAATCAAATGTAAATATATTTTGAGTGGAGAAATATATAAAAACTTCAAAAACATGTGAAAATGTCGGCATTTGTTCGAAAATCGGTCATTTTTGGTCGAAATTAATCTCCATTTTTGTGTGTTTTTTCCAAAAATTTGTAAAGTTGTGGTGCTAAGGAATAGAAAAAACTGTTTAGACCCCCCCCCCGATAATGCAAGAGAACTATTGTCATTTTTGCCTTTTAGCTCTCCGTTTGTATCTTTGGTAACTTCAAAAGTATCTTTTTCTGTGTAAACGCTGAAAACGATTCGAAATTAACCTTCAGAATGCGAGCTCGAACGCGGCTACTTTTCACTCTCGTTCTCCTCACATTTGCCCACTTCACAATCGCGTTGAAGTGCAACAGTTGTGAAGGGGAGGAATGTAGTACTGGGTCCTGTGAGGGAGACTATTGCACTGTAGCCAGGCAAGTAGCGTAGTCATAACTATTATTTTCTGATCAACAGATTTGCTCCCCGATGGGGTTCGGTGGAATTTGGGAAGGAGACTGTGATCAAGGGATGCCTTCGAGGAGCTGGAATCGCAGACGGTATTCCCGATAATTGCGAAGTTTCGGAGGGCGATGAGGTAAGGGTTCTGGTTTATTATCGGGGGGAGGGGGGTCATTAGCAGGGCTAACTATATTTACCCTTTGTCCCGTCGGAATTGTAAAGTAATTTTTTTATTTAATAACGCTCTTTTGTAGATCCGAAAATCAGTTTAATAAAAATTGTCGAGGGTTTTCTTGGTTTATCAAAAGTCGGAAGATGGTAAAAAATGCCGGAATTTCTGATTTTATAGATGTTTCAGAACTTTTTAGCACTTGGAAACTACGAAAAACTATACAAAAGAAGCGAGACTTCGCTTTAGCCAGCACGAAAGTCCCGTCATTTTCGAGCTTTTCGTTATTTTCCGGTATTTTTCGACACCATCCTGTAGAGCATCGAAAAATATTTACAGAAGAGGTTTAATTACAGTTCAAAATACTGCAATACAAAAAACGCACGGCAAAAATAAGTAAATTTTATGAAAATTTAATTTTATTAGATTTTCTCATTTTTATTACAACACTAGGTTTCGAAACTTGGAACAAAATCTCCCTAAAAACATCGACGTTTTCGCCATTTCTCAAAAGATTAGAGCTAGTCAAAATTTATTTTATTTTCAGATGTATTTTTGTGTCCTTATTCGATTTCCTTGTCTTTTTCCAAGGTCTTTTCCATTCTTTACCCCGTTCGCTACATCCCCACGGGCGAACATACCCCCGCCACGCCTGAACATCATTTATTCTGAAGAGATGGGGGGTTGTGGCTGCCCGCGCAACCCGATATGGACCCAGGGAATGGGGGCAGCCTGACAAAACGAGGTGTTTTCCATTGCAAGCCAATACATCGCCCCCACCACATACGACGGGAGAGGGCCCCGGATTACCAAGGTCCCCCCCCCTCTTCCCTCCCTCCAATCCAGCATATAGTCTAACCAAAAGGACGGGCAGAAGAAGGAATGAACCAAGCATGGTGATGTCACGTTAAAGGTTTTTTGGTACTGGGCTGTTAGCGGGGGGAAGCGTAACAATTGCCTACGGCCCTATAACGTAATATAAAGCATTTTTATAGCGTTTCACACAGTTTTTAGATGTCGAATCCCGGAAAACGCTGTACGGTTTGCCTGGGGCGGAAAAGCAGCATGATTTTGCTGCGCAGGCTTGCCGAATGGCGCGACCATCGCGCGGTTCTCCCGCGACTTTATTGGCCCGGGCCGCGGAAAGCTCACGAAATTATCGAAATGGTTCGAAATTGTTGCCGTTTTGTCCAAAAATGCATGAAAAATTACCAAAACTGCTCAAATTTTTCGATTTTTCAAAAATTTCAAAAAATGTTGTATAACTTTCTAGCAATCAAAAACTACAAGAAACTATAGAAATACAGTAGATATTATTGACCCGTACAGGCGGAAGAACAAAAATTAGTTGACCCCGCTAAGTCCCAGTACCTTTAAAATCAAAGGGGATAGTTTATCGATTAAAAGTATGTAAAAAAGGTTACCAGTTAAATTTAGACCCCCATCAGCTGCTTGTGCGATGGGACGAAAAACTGCAACGGAGCCGCGAAGCTGGAAAAAGCGGAGAAGGCCTTCATTCCATTGGTGAGTCAGAAAATTCTTGACAATCTTGAGTCAGTCGAAACTTTTTCGACGCTAAATAAACAAGATCCCCATTTATTTGTAAAAACCATTAACCCAATCATCTTAAAAGGGTTAGAAAATTAAATAGAAAGCTTTTTTAAAAGCAAATTTAGGTATCCTGCCATTGCCAAGGCCCGCATTGTCGAGGCAAGAAATGCCTCGGGGAGATGTGCACATATGTGAAGGACCTAAAATCGGGTGAAGTGCACAAGGGATGCGCAAATGCTACACTGCCCTTCATCGAACGTCGAGCCATCGGCGTCTGCACAATGCCGCCAATGTCGGGTGAGCATTCACTTTTAGCAAAGCTCCCTACGAAAGCTGTTCCTCCTTTCCAGCGTCCACGGCATCGGTCTTTAAATTTCACAAGCAATTATTACCTAGAAAATTAGCTATCTTATTAAATTAACAATATTCAGGCGCGTTCCACCACTACAAGGCAGCCAAGCTGGAAAAGTTGATGTACACGGAAAGCTGCGTTTGCGGTAAGTACGAAAAACCATTATCACCCAACAAGTTGAATTGACTTGTAACTATCATTTTCAGCCTCCGATAACTGCAACGAGGAACGGCTGAAGACCGATTCAAAGGAGGAACAGAACTGCGATCTATACGCCAAAACGGATATCAATCGAAAGAAGGTAAATTTTTTAATACGGGCTCTATTATATTATTTCCCTAGTCGATGTCCGCGTCGAAAATTTGCGGTGGCGAATTCTGCTTCAACACGACGATGTTTTCGCAAAAAACGTCTTTCCCTGCCTTTGAGGTGGCTGGCTGCGCCACTTTTGCGTAAGTTTAGGATGATTCCTAGGTTGCTACCTCTGACCTTTGCTTAATAGTACGATCTAATTTTGATAGCATTATCCGGTTAAGAAGAGCTAAGAAAAAGATAATCTAAACATTTAGCACCGATTTCGAGTTGGAGGCAGCGCTGAACCCCACCGGCTGCGTTTCATTCCAGAATAAAGAGCTGAAAGTCAGGAATTGCTTTATGGTAAGAAATACATCGCTGACAGATCGATCCCTAATTTTAGACAGACGATGAGGAAGCTATCCAGCGAATCCTCGAAAGCCGAGTTGAGGAGGAAGAAACAGAGTGAGCCAACTGCCCCCTAAAAACCATTAATATGCAATAAACTATAATCCACAAATTTCAGGGAGAAAGGCAAAATGGTGATCGAGCAGGAGCAGGAGGGCGAGGAAGAGGAACAGGCAGAAGAAGAAGAGGAGGAAGAAGCGCCGAAAAAGGGCGAAAAGGGTCCTGAAAAAGAGGAGGAGGAGGAAGAGGAAGCGGAAGAAGCGTCAAAGGGAGGAAAGAGCGGAGAGGGCAAGAAGGAGCCGCCATCCGGGAAATTCCGGTTCGAAGATGCGACCCAGCCACCGATTCCAGACGAAAGCAATGCGATGATGATTTCGGTAAGTTGGGGTGGAGCCCAGTAGAAATTTAGAAGCTGTGGTTTCCGCGTTTCCTCTGAACTTGTTGACCGCGTCTTTCAGGTGTTCGTCCTCATCATCTTGGTCATTTTGGCTGCAGGTGCTGTCTGGAAATTCGAACTCCACCGACGCCTCTTCCGCGCCAACTACGATAGCGTAGCAGGCGGCTAATCACTTACCACCAGCTTCAGCTTTTAATTCAATTATTTATGAGAACATTTTCCCCGCTAATGTGATTCTTGACTGATATCAATAATCCGTGCCCCTAGCAATACTAGAAGTGCTTTTCCTTGAAGGTTGTTTGCTTCTCCAGGACGTTGAGCTCAACAACTAAATATTAGTAGGAACGAGCTCATCAACAAGAAGAGTTGATTGTATTGATGTGCACTTATTTTATAATATTTCACGTTCTATTTAAAATTATAGTATTGTTTGAAACGGCTTCGTACATTAGTATTGCTTGAATTCCCCGCGTGCACCTCGAAAATCCCGATCTCGTTCACCCCCGACGTGTAACCCATGTTTTTCCCCTAGAACCAAAGTGAAAACACGATCTCGGCAGAAATCTCCCCCTTCACTTACCACCCAACCAATTCCCACTAAAAGATGTCTAGTCTGGCCGTTCGGTAGCTAGAAGCCACACTTTTTATTTATTGTCGCATTTTGCATAGTATGATAAATATTTATTCTACACATTTACAGCTTTACATTCAAAGAATTAAATTTACAGACCCGATTCGGCTACTATCAAATACATACAGTTATGGCTGCTCCTCGTAGTAGCGCTGCTTCATGGCGCGGTACTTCCGCAGCTTGTACAGGGCGTCGATCTCCTTGACGACGAACTCGCCCCTCTGCAGCGAAAATTGATATTATGCTGTTTTCTCACCTGAATCAATTCGTCAATCTTTTGCGGGTCCTTTTCGTCTTTGTTCTTGATGAAGGCGGTCTTCAGCCGCGTGTGGAACCAGAGAGCTCCTGTAAACATCTAGTAACAATAAACTTTTGGAATACCTTTTGGATACTCCTTGCCCATGTGGTACAGCGTCTTGTAGAGGTCGATGACTTTTTGCTTTTGAGACATTGCTGCAAAAAAATTAAATACAATCGACTCTAAAAATCTATAGACATCATCATTCCCCGTGCTGGTGGCTAAATCTCTCTTCAAGAAATCGAAATGGCAAAATTTATTAGCAAAATGTGCATCTCATCGCAAAACAACGAACAACGAGGCGACAAGTTCAGGGTGGAAAACAATAACAAAACAAACGAGAAAATCGAAATTAATTGATGTCACGCTTCTCAACCTTGCGCAGCTGCTTCTTCTTCAGTCTCTTCAGCTTCTCCGTTTTGCGAATCACCTAAAAACCGGATTTTTTTTCTTTCTTTTGAAAATTACAAACCTGCACAATCTCTGCCTTGCGTTCATTTTCTTTCCGGCGCTCCTCTTGCTCCTTCTTCCTGGCTACTTTGTCCTAAAAAAAGAAATTGACAAGGCAATCGAATAAACCTGTTTTTCTTGCGAAATCTTTTCCCGGATGCCATCTTGAAGAAGCTTTGCGGCGGCTTTCTTGTCTCGTTCATTCATCTTCTTTTCCCAAGTTGAGTGCAGGCGTTTATTCTTATTTAGGGTGTTCCTAAAGTAAGAAAATCTTATTTTATAAAGCTGGGGACTCACACTGGCTTTTTGGGTTCTTTCCACCATCTCCCGGACTTATTTGCGCCTCGATTCTTCTCGGAATCTAAAAATAAATAATAATAAAGGGATTTGAATGAAATTACCTGTTGCGGGGGCTGTTTCAACGCCTTGGGCCGCGGGATCCACTTCCATCTGTTCTAAAGAAGAATAATTATCGTTTTTTGAAACTAAACAGAGCAAAAAGAATAGAATTTTTGTAAAATTAAACTAAAAAAACAATTGAAAATAAGTTTTGTTGAGGGGGACCGAGTACGGGGCGCTACTACTTGCGGCCATTGTAATGCCGCGTAGGCGGTGGGTGGGGATAAAAGGCCGGCGAGCCCCGCCTCCCGCCATTCGCATGTCCTGCGTTCACGCCGCTCGCTCAACTGAAACCATCCGACGAAGGCCAGCCGGCTGCAGCATACGACTGATGATCGATGACGATCCTGCTCTTCCTTGTTGACACAAGTGCCTCAATGGCACAAAGCTCTTACCTGGGCTTGTCCTTCCTGGAGCACGCTAGGGCATTAGTAGCTAACATTCGCAAGGTACGCATTCCGTCTTATGTTCTATGCAGCCGACTGCGGTTTACTTTGTTGCCCGGAAAGGCCGGCGATCCCACGCAGCTCCCTTGATGGGCCTGGATTCAAAAATCGGAAGAAGAGGCTGGTGCTACACTTGCGGCCGCGACATTTGCGGCTCAGAATCGCTATTTTTAAACCTATTAGTTAAATTTAAGCATCTTTCAAAGTATATTTTACTTCGTAGAGGGTTTATAACGGCTTAGTATCGAAGAACTGGCGCTAATATTATAATGAGAGCTATTTTCGAGGGTTTTGGGCCATTAGTGTCGCGCCGCAAGTGTCTGGCAACCGAAGAGGATATCGTTGGACACACGACAGTGACCAAAATATTGATACTCTCAACTCTGCATCACGGCTCCGAGTTTCTGAATCAAGAGACGTCGACCGGCAGGCTTCCCGTGGAATGATGATTGCAAAAAAGCCGTTTCCGGCGACAAAGTAAATTGCGCGGTTCTTTCGCCTCGCGAAAAATGCTTGTTGCAATCGTATATATTTTAGGCTCGGGAGCAAATGAAAGGAGCCGATCGATTTATGCTCGTCACTACAGAAGACTTTCCAATGGGTATCAAGGTTCGCAACGCCTGGAACGAGGGGAAGGGGTGTAAAAGTATTTTGGTTATTTAGGCTAATATTTTAGTTTTTATAATTCTTTAAGCGATAATCGCGGCGATCGATACAGAGAAAAGGAATAAATGTACACGTTAACGACAGCTTGCCGTTGCCGATGATAGGACTGATCGTAGTTTTAAAATTTTAGACGGTGAAATTGCGCCTAAGTTTAATTTTTCGGTTTGGATAGTTTGGAGAATCTGCAGATTTTACACAATTTTAGGTTTTTACTATTAGAAGTAGACTTTTTTTGCTTTTTGAGAGACTTTTTCGCAGTAGGAGGTAGAGCACCGACAAGGGCAGACACCAAGAGCATGCAAAAGGGCGCCTGGCTAGTGGGGGTGAACGAGGACACTAGATCCGGGGAAAGTAAAGTGGAAAACTGGGATGCCTGACTAGAAAACATCTTGTATGCGGGTTGTATTTTTAAATTTTGAATTTGAAGTTGAAAATCTAAATTTTTAGGAGCATATAGCTCTTCTAACTACCTCGTTTTCCAGGCCGGATTTCGAGAAGGCAGCCAAATATTCGAGCAGTCGGTGAACAATCTGCGGGCTCATGGCAAATATCATCTGGGACAAGCTGTCTTGAATGCATTGCAATATATCAACACTTATCGGTGCGGTAATATGGAGATACCCGGATATTAAAAGATTACTATTTGAGTCTGAGACTGCAGCGCCCTCCACTAAACTTTATACGACTGTTTTAGGGCTGCCGCTGCTGACCAAGATCGATTTGCGGAAGGACGGTGGTTTTCGATGCGTAACGATAATGTTGTCATCATTGTGATTACGGATACGAGTGGAGCCACATCATTCCCCCCTGATTTCCAGGTATAAAAATGATTATCGGTTCTTTAGGGTCCGCGGGGGAAAACGAAATTTTTTTCAATGGTAGCCTAAGGTTAAAAAAATAGCGCATTTTTTTCAGTGTTTTTGTTGGTCCTGAAAGGAAAACTTTCCTTTGATCGAAACTAAATTTTAATTTTCTACTTTTACAAAGCATACATAGCGCTCAAAATTTATTTTCTTGCTTTTCTCTTTCTGTATCGATCGACGCGCTTTCAAAATTAAAAAAAGTTGTGTTTGTTTCAATAGGTTACTCAAGCCATAACCATATTCGATTATTTACCGTAACGGCTAGGAAAAAAATTATTCTCCACCAGAAGCGTAAAAGCGTACTCCTATTAATGCGACTTTTAGCTGAGCTTTCCCGCACGCCACCCGGCTGGCGAGTTTATGGACGAGGCTTTTCGATGGGACCAGCGTGTATTCTCGGTCAGTTTGCGGATCGATAACGCATAAGATTCCTTGTTTCAGCTTGTGCTCCGGTTGCCATCTACACACAAGCCCTTTATCCCGCTCCGAGAAATGGCACGCCGCCTTGACTGCTTCGATTCGCCCATTGACAATATTTGTAGGCAGACAGGAGGTATGTTGAAGAAGCTAGTTCGTTTCAAATTCCTTTAGGTCGATCCTGGACGCTGCATACGCACGAGCAGATTCCAAGCTTTGTACAGACTTTTATGAGTGTCATGTCAATTTCGGGATCCATGTTGCGATTCGAGGCGTTGATTTCACGTGAGTGTTTGAAACAAATTCGATTTATTTTTGATCGGAAATTTGTTTGCAAAGATTCGCTTTTCAGATAAGAATGGTCAGATGGACGATCGGGAACGGTTAGCGTTGGCTGGGAAATTGGAGGTATGAAATTGATTTTGCAAAAAATGGTAATTATTCCAGAAACGTCCTCTTTCGATGATTTTTGTGCGGAATGCGGGTACGGTGGCGAGTTCACATTGGCCGATTCCGGAAGCTTTTCCGTCTTCAAGCCTGGCCGAGTAAGTTTTGTGTGGGAGAGAGAGAGCGAGTGAGAGATAGATAGAGAGAGTGAGTGAGAGATAGATAGAGAGAGTGGGTGAGAGAGATAGAGAGTGGTGGAGAGAGAACGAGCGAGAGAGCGAGAGATAGATAGATACAGAGAGTGAGAGCATGAGATAGTAGATAGAGAGTGAGTGAGAGCGAGTGAGGGAGAGTGAGCAGTGAGATAGAGTGTGTGTGTGTGAGAGAGAGAGTGATGAGTGAGAAAGAGAGAGCGGACCTTTCAACAAAACCTCATTCAGATCTCGCACCATCCCTCCGCGAAAGGCACATCCTGTCATCAACGTCCCACTGATTCCAGCTGAACCAAATCACACCTTTTTGGTAGGGTAATGGCCAAAATATCATCCTTTTTTTGTTCTGTTTAGGAATTCCCCTTCGATCGCTACGAGGTGGAACAAGGACCCCTGGCCGATTACATCTTGGAATTTAGCAACCGCAATCAGCAGAGTCAGCTGGGATGGCTGGTACGTTTCGCAATCAACGTCGAAACGCCCCATCTTTAGGTCTACGTCCGAAACTCCACCCGCGAGGGCTACGGCAAACCTTTTGGCTATTTAAAGGCCGCCACAAATCTGCAGGTCATTTCTCTCTTCGTGTTGCCCTACAATTACATCGCGCTATTCCCGCTGCTCGAGGATTTGAAGGTAAATCGAGCCCTAATATTGAAAGTTAAAATCGATTCCATTTCAGAAAACCCCGGCTATCAAGAGCAATCCGGGCTGGAAAAAGAGCTTCAGCAAGTACCTCGACCAGGTGCCGCCCTACTACCTTTCAGTGAGTTGGAATACGTGATTTCCAGTTTCCTTATTTTCCAGAACTTGCGCAAGCAACTCCGACGCTTCAACGTCCCGCCCGAGCTGTTCGAAGAGCAATGCAATGTGCCGCCCTATAACAATCAAATTCGGCATCTATTGCAGGGTGTCAGAGTGGGTTTTGATTTTAAATAGGCTTTTAAATATAGGGCACGATTTTAAAACGCGGTTTCAGGAAATGGCGAAGCGCGAGCTCGAGCAGGTCAACATTCAGGTCCAGAACCAGAACGTTAATATGCACATCGCACAACCGAAGTATATGCCTGTTTCGGTGGGTTTCTTTTAATTTTTGAAATTTTGAAGACAAAGCGTCCTTTTTGGGTCTTGTATTTTACTGATTTTAAGATAGGTATATTTCTATTTTATAGATTGCTGTCGAAAAGCTCACCTCCATTCTCCCAAAAATGGAGCGCACCCATGATGGCTCGTGGAAAATGTGCAAGGAAGAAATTGACGAGCAGCAAAAGAACACGATTGTTGATCCCGATCAAAAAATGCCAGATGAACCTCGTGGAGAGCCAGATGAAAAAGGAGCACGGGTGAGTATTATACCGTAAATTCCGTTACGCTCCGTTTAGCTCACCATCCGCGAGGCCGTCATTAGTCGTGCCAAGGACTCGATGTTTAAAAATCCGCTTACAATCAAGTGAGTATTTTCAAACTACGTTATTTTTCTTTTAAGAATTTTTCTTTTTTAGTTCTATTTTACGCAAAATTCATAATTCTAAAGTTTTTTTTATGATTTTTGTTATTTAGACGCACGGAACTTGTGCCCAGCCTGGCCACACTGTACGAGAATTTCCGTCAAAGCACGGCTGACCAGCAGTTCTCCTTCTTGCAGGGAGGCAAGCCGGGATCGATTTTGCGTCTGCAATCTGCAGGTGTCTTTTTTGGGTTTAAAATTTCCTTTTTAAGATGAAACTCTTTTTTCATGTTTAAAAAATCTTTTTTTAGCTGAAATCCACGATCAACCGGTTACTTCTATGGGCCTTTACGAGGAGTACATCAGACTTTTGGCGGTTGGTGTTTTCTAACTTTTTTTGAACCCTGCATTTTTAGTCAAGCGGAATGCGACCGCGCGAGATCGAGGGCAACTCGACGGGCGTGGGCTTCGGCAACCCGTTCGCAAAGAAGAACCTCGGATCTTTCGGAGTGGATGAAGTGATGGAAGGCCCCAACACCGGCCAAAAAGATGGAGCTGCTCCCGGAATGCGAAGAGGCGAGAAGGGCCGTGGCGGTGCGCAAATGCGCCGTCACCGAAAGGCGGGCCCGCTGCCGTGGAATGCACTCAAAGGATGGAGGTATTTATGAACTTTTATTTGCAATTTTAAATCTTTTAGGGAGCGAAGAAAGTCGATCAGCGAACGCTCTTCTATCGCATCGGATTTCTCGGATATCAGCGAGCTGGATTCGGAGATGGAGGCCAGCAATGGTTCTGATGTCAGTTTGTTTTTTTAAAAGGGGGTTGAAATAGCTTATTCGATAGGGTTTAAAATTCTGAGCAAGTTTCATTTTCAAAAAAAATTCTGCTGAACAGCAACGTTTTGCAGAAAATTCCGCCTGAAAAAAAGCCAATTTTACCCAATTTTTGGTCCATTGTTAGCTCATTCTAATTTCATTACTTTAGTTGAATGGAAAGACGATGGAAGATGATGTTGCTGCGCCACCACGCATCAATGGAAAGGTTAAATATATTAATTATTCTAAATCTCTTCTATTTTAGAGACACTCGGACGATACCCCTGACGGCCCTTCATCACCGCCAAAGAAGCTCCGCCTTGAGCCTCGCCTCAGCACCGGAAGTAACGCCGAGCAACCAGCAAAGCCAGAAGTCACGCGACTGGACGGAGCCGAAATGCGCATGGCGCAGCTCAGCATCACCGACCTGGTGCGACGGTTCACCGGCCGGTGCACGACCAAAGCGGCCGTCGCCCATGTTCTCAAGCTCGCGAAGGTCGACCTCGATTTGTACCGGCTCTTCCACTATGCGGCGCGGGAAGCTGATCGGTTCAAGTAAGTTTTTGCGGCTCTGGTTGGTTAGCGGGGGCGGGGCTTCCTTCTTTCGGTGTATCCTTCATAATGAAGAGCCGCGTTGTATTTTCCTTAGAACTTTTGGATCACTAAAAAGACAAAAAAATGCAATAAAATCACTTTCTGCGCATTTTTGGCCAAAAACTGATTTGGTTTCTTTTGTTTTCTCTTCGTTTTCCAATTTTTTCGAACATTTTAAACCTTTTATATACCTAAAAAAGAGCGTAAAGCACCATTAAATTTACTAGTTCATCATAGGTCGAAAACAGGAAGAAGTCCCCCCGCTAACGGACCAGCACCAATTCTTCAGCACTTTTTTTATTATGTGAAATTCAGGCTTGTCCTACTGGCAGAAGCCTTTCGCGTGCAAGGAGATCGTCTCGGCAAAACCATCATCGCCGCCCCCTCCAGCTCCACATAGCCGAGAATACCCTTCCACCGTCCACTTTCTTCATCTACAAAAATCGGGTCTTGCACTTCTTCTTTACAAACATTGCTCCAAAACCACGGGTACCCTCTGCACCACAAATCGGGCAACAAACAGTCTTCGGGCAAATATTGTGCACTGTCTCACCTTGTTAATTTCATTCTATCTCTTGCTAAATGTTGGTGCTGTAGAAAATGTGAAAAATGGGCTCGTCGTTGTTAGAAATACCTCTCTCATTCCGCTTTTGCCCTTTGACTGCAGCAGTTTTGCTCTCTTTAAATACTGATTCCCACCACCCTCCTGCCTGCCCCCAATGCCGTTGTCTTTCCCTGGTGAAATCCCTAATACGGTTCTTATCGCATGCTGGTTTACATGTCCATTGTATTGTATCCGCCGCACTCCCCGTCCCTTCTTTCCCTTTATCCCCCATTATCCCGATCTCTAGAAGCCGGTAGTGACCCTCTATCATCTCTCTCCGCACACCCTCTCTCTCCCAGCCTTGTTGATTTTGTTGTATCCTGCCGATAAAAAGTTGTTAAAAATCTTTGACGAGGTGAAATAGTTACGGCTAAATGGTATATCGAAAAGTTGAGCTTTTATTAATTTTTGCAGACAAGGGGTCGTTTTTAAATGCTAATGACGTTTTGCTATGTCATATTCTTTGTTCGGTATGATTTGAAATTCTGAACGAGTTCTGCTTTGAAAAACTCTTAGACGATAATCGTCGTTGAGAAAAAATTCTTTTTTTTTCCGAACGGGGCCCAAAATTTGGCAAAATCGGCTTTTCCGAAGCGATTTCTCCAAGAGGTCTATCATACAACAGTTTTCAAAAGCCGGAACTAGTTCAAAATTTTACGCTCGATCGAATTAGCTATATCACATAACCAACGTCATTATGGCCTAAATTGCTACTTTATAGCTATTTTTGTTTCAGGGCGTCGAAAATGCTAGCCTCTGTGAGGCCGTGCATTTCCTCGATGGCTGTCACCAATTCGGTACGAGCCCTTCACGATCGCTCATCCGTGCCAAGAGTGGTGGATGATAGAGAAAAGGCCCGGTGGAAGGTGGGGAATTTAGAATTACGTGTATTTGACCCCAATTTAGGTCCACGACGTCGGCTACAAGTTTCGCTATCATCAGCGTGGTGTCGAGGCTTTACCGAGGATACCAGAGTGCGTTTTTAGCAGTTTTCTGTAATAATTGGTAGTTTTAGCTGCCGCGTACCAGTTGACCGCCCCGAGTACAAGGAGAGAGATGCCTGGAGGGAGTCGCAAGCTAGGTATCAAGAAAATTGTGCTAGAAATTATATTTTTCTTAGATTCGGGCAAAACGATTACATCGATCTTCTGGGCGATGGTAGCCTTCATCCAGCCCAACTCCAGGTGATCCAACCCTCCATTTTGAAGTGTATTTTTGTTTAGTATCACGTCCCGAATTGGCTGCGTGGATTCCCGGGCCAGCATCGCGCAAACGAGCTGATAAAATTGATCCATTACAGAAACCTGTACAAGGAGAAACTACAGGTATATTAAATTCCGAGAAAATATACTATTTTGTCTAGAACAACTCACCGCGTCGCTGGCACGAGTTGCAGAAGCGTATCAAGTTCCTCCTGATGTACCACAACTACAACAAACAGGTATTGACCGCGTTTTTTTGCAGTACACGCCGTTATAGGACGAAATCAAAGACGAGCGCGATCTGGGGCTTTGGGACGAGAAGCCGGATTATTTCTACAAGGACAAGAGTCGACGCTCGTACACCGATCTTGTATAAAGGGTTGCTTTTACCGTTATGTAGTTTTGTCGTGTAGGATGAGAATAAATGTTGAGTTTACTGTTGGTTCAGACGCGGAATGAAACAGAGCTGGGGGAGTGCAGGGAAAAGCGCGCAGTCGAAGGTGTGATTTTCAAGGGAACGCCATCACTTTGTGGGGTTTAAAAATATCGATTCTTGTGCCAGTCTTGGTGGGAAATTCACAATATTTTAAGGTACGTATCGACTTATTAATATCTTTAGGGGCTTCTCGATTCTTCTTCGAGTTAAAAAAACAACCCGGTGAGCTACAGTTCCATAGCTTCGTTTATTAGCTAAATTTTATTTCAACTTCTTTGCACTATTTTTGAAATACCGGGCATTTTAGTCACCCATTCTTCTTCTTCTTCACCCCTTTAGCAGATGGCGCTCCGAAGTCTTGTTTAGGGGTCGCCGGCTGCGTTTAGAGTAGCCGCGTGTCGCCCCTACCGCATGAAAATCAGCTGATTCTGCTGTGCACCAACAAAGCAACAAATCTGTCGTTATTCGCGCATCCCCTTTTCCTAGATTGCACGGTTAATGGATAGCATGTTCGACAGTTGCGTCAACTTCGAGCCGCCGTTTCAAGTAGGAAAATTTTCTCCATGTTTTGAGGCTAATTATGGAAAAGTTTTTTGGGTTTAATCTTTAAAAAACTAAGGTATTTCATAAATTAAACGTAAAAAGTAATCGCTGAACTGAAATACGCTTGTTTAGCTATCTAGCTATAGTATTAATTATGATCGAAACCTATCAAAGGCTTAATTAGCTCGTTTCAATAAAAAATGCTAATGCGAAGAAAAAAACGAGTCTGGTATGAAGAAACTAATCCTATCTTTAAAATAAGTCTATAGGTAAGTTAGTAATAAGGGATAGTAGTAGTAGAAAGTAGTTGGCCTTAAAACTTATATTCCTGCAGGAGCTCCAAAATTACGCGCTCGTCAGCGCCGATGGAAAAGTGGCCCTGCTTGGCAAGCAGTTCGAGGCCGCCTCAGGTTTGTCAAAATAAACTACCGGTTGAATCGCAACATTCAGATCTCTCCAAAATCTGTGATTATGTGACGTCGAGGCTGTGGTTCACCTACAGACGAGGATTCCAACCAATCGGTCAGTCTATTCTCTAAAAAAAAGAATCGGGTTTAGGCGGAACTGGCCCGTCCAGCGACCAGGGCTGGGGTTGCATGCTGCGATGCGCGCAAATGTTGCTGGGAGAGGTAGCAATACTTTTTGAGTAAGTTTGGTCACTTTATTAGGTATTGTTGAGACGTCACATTGGCGAGCACTACCATTGGAAGCGTGAGAAACCGTCTGGGGACTACGAGAAGATCCTAAACATGTTTCTCGATGAGAAGGCTGCGTTATACAGCATTCATCAAATTGGTAGGTCTCGCATCTTCAGCGTAGAGTTGGTTTTTTAGCTCAAATGGGCGTTTCTGAGGGCAAGCAGGTCGGCGAGTGGTTTGGGCCGAATACGGCTGCGCAGGTGCGCAATTGATATATTTTTAAAGACACAAATTAAGGTGCTGAAAAAGCTGTGTGTATTCGACCAATGGTCCGGGCTGGCCGTCCACGTGGCCCTTGACAACATTTTGATCCGAGATGATGTTAGAACGATTGCTACGACCAATCCGCCAAAAGATGCCGTCAAGCTGATCGTTGGTGGGTCCAAAATATTCAGCTCTCTTTTTTTTTACTGTTTCTCAAACGCCTAAAAAACAAAATCCCGCTTTTTTCAGAAGATGGCCGCCTTGGTGACCACTTCCTGAATCGGAGCTGGAGCGCGGAATTTGAGGAAACCTTGAATCAGGTAAGCTTATGACTTCCTAGCCTTTCTGAGGAAAGTAATTCGTTTAAAATCGATATCTAAAAAGACAAATTAATAATGATAAAAAAAGCTCAAAACAGTTATGTATCTCTTGATGTTTTAAGCTTAGTCTGGGAAATGCATTAATCTATGGAAACTAAAAAGATTTTAAAACTTTACTAATTTCAGGACATGACTTGGCGACCACTATTGCTTGTCATCCCGCTCCGACTAGGCCTTACCGGCATTAATAGATGCTATTTGCCCGCGATTAAGGTTTTTTTTTGTAAATAGAAAGTTAATTTCAATTTTAGAAATATTTCGAGCTTCCACAATGCACCGGCATCATGGGCGGACGACCAAATCACGCGTTATTTTTTGTGGGGATCACTGGGGACAAGGTGGGCGTTATTTTATAGTCATAATAACTCAATAATATTCAGCTAATCTACCTCGACCCCCATATTTGTCAACTTTCCTTGTCGGCGCAGCCGGGGCAGGGGCGCTCTGAAGCTTACTTTGATGGGTTTGAAGCCGTTGAGACCACGGAAGCGTCTGATGAGGTAATTTTTGTTTTGAAAATCCAAGAATCTTTATTTTTCTCACAGAAATCACTTGACGATTCTACGTATCATTGCCCGAATCCATTGGCTATGCCTTATGATCAGGTATATTTAAAAAAGGATATAATAAAAAACGTATCTTGCAGGTTGACCCGTCCTTGGCGCTGACGTTTTTCTGCAAAACCGAGGCGGATTTTGAGGCGTTGAGCCGAGAACTTGATGAGGTAGGTGTTATAGACTGTATAGGAGAACACAAAACTATTTCCGGCTAAAAATTTAAAATAATATAAAAGTGGATAAAGCTAATGTAATACAAAGTAATAAAAACATTCAGGAACTTCTACCTTCTACCAAGCCTTCACTATTCGAGCAACTTCAGTCTCGGCCTAGCTATTGGCCTCCCTTCGAGCCGTATTTAGGCGTGAGGGGGAATGTGGAGATGAAAGGTAGGTTAATTAAATGTCGGAATCTCAATAAATAATTAATTCATCATTGGAAAAGTAAGTTTATTTTTGTAATGGGTCCTTAAAACCTGCTTAATTAATAAACCGCTGTAAATTTTATTTCAAAAGACGTAAAATAAATAATTAATTAATTAACCAGTAGAAGAAGAATTTTTATTACTATAAAACCCTATTAAAAACCCAAGAAAACCACCAAACCAAAAGGTCGAACGCCGAACACGCTGCCGAGCCCCTCTCCACCCCTCCCGCTCTCTCCCTCACCCCCGCACCGTCTGCTCCCTCCACTGCCTTACCACCTCCCCCTTGTCAACCCCGCCCCACCTCCCTCCCCCAGTGCTTCCGTGGCGCAATCGGCAGCGCGTTCGGCTGTTAACCGAAAGGTCGGTGGTTCGAACCCACCCGGGAGCGTACCTTTTGCTTTTTGCAGAATTCCACGACATGGGCGACCCGAACTTCGACTCGGATGAGGAGTTCGAGGTCCTGCAGTGATTCAGTACGAGGTGCCCTCCGGACTGTCTTGTAACTTGCGGGTATTTATCATTTCTCGGCCTTTTCACCACACGGTTCTGAAATAATTAAAAAAATCGTGTTTTTCGCCTTGTGATCGATCCCAGGTGTGCTTTCGAATAAATAATTGCGTGTTTTGTTTGTTTTGGATTGGGAGTGGGCTTTTGTGACGGAGGAGACAGGAGGAGGGACGGTGGCCAAGGCAAACGAGGCCCCAGCAGGGACCCCGGAGCAGGGACCGGTCCTTGCGGTGTCCCCCCTTGTGAGCCATTGTTCCGCCATCATCATCGCCCTTTCCCAGGCTACGCTTCAGGCAGCACTTTTTAGTTTTTTTTTGTGTTCATGATCGTAAAGGTCTCCGTTCATTAAAACCTGTATAAATTTATTAGTTTTTGCGTAAAACAAGCTATTTTAAAGAAAATTACATAAAAAATTCCGTAGTTTTTGGTCTATAAATGTATAATTTTTCGTTTTATAATTCGAAATAGGAACTAAGTAGCGGTAGCATAAATATGACTTCTATCGCGTTATCGAACTAACTTTTTTTGTGATGATCCGGTTTTTCCCATGCGTCAATAGAGGCAGCGCTTTTTAAATTGTAAAGGTAAAATTTTTAGAAATTTCTATGAAATTACAAAAAGATACAGATTTTCAACCAAAACGTCGACTTTTCCGAAAGTTTTTGAAGTAAGATAGTTTTTCTAGTTGAAATCTACTTAAATCTGACTAAAGGCACTATTAATGACGTGGCATTTGTTGGGCATAGGAAAAATGCGCCCCCCGATAATACGAAAGCTCCTAAAACTGTCGAATTTCATGTCAAGTGACCGTGTCTAACCGGCACCTGTCGTCCACCCGGAAATTAGGTGTGGCCCTCGCCCTATAGGTGGGGATGGTCTTCCTTCTCTTCATTGGGGGGTAGTGGAAGGGTCACTCCGGCCTTGGACAGCCAATCAATCGATGACCAACAGTGGAGACCCATGAATTTCAAGCCATGCCTGCAGCCCTTTTCAATTTATGACCTCGGCTTTACGTTAATTTTGGCTATTTTTGTTTCACCGATTTTTGTTTATGAATTCTAATTTATGATCTGTAAAATTTGGACAATTTTTAGGCTTACAGAACTATTAAAATTACTATGTTTATTTAGACTACCGGAGCCTTCTATAGAACTATAAATACTTTCATTAAAAAATACAGAAATATATGGTTTTTGCGACTAAAAATGTTCGATTCTGGCCGACTTTTGACGAAATTTCGAATTTTCAAGGGTTTTAAAAGTTTTCAGATAGTGTTTTCGCTTAATATATAGTTAAATTTACCATAAACACTATTAAAATGCTTACTATTACATTTTTCCGCTTTTCAGAACGTTTGCAACCCCTCCCCCGGAAATGTAAAAGTTCCGAAAATCGGCAAATGAACATTTAGAATGTGTTCTTTATTTTCCTATTTATTACCTTGCTATGCTAAAAGTTGGATAATACACCCCCAACCCTCGATTATACGCCGATTTGTCCTCACTTTCTGTGGGTCGTGCTGCCTCTTTCTTCGCCCTACCTCACCCTGTGGCTTGACCTAGATTTTGCCGAGGGCGTTCCGGCCGTCTTTGAGTAACTTTTAACAGGCGATTCTGGGCGTCGTTTGTGTACAGTTTTTAGGGTAGGTAAAGCCAGTTTCTGGCTCTGGAAACTTGTAAAAGACACCCAATTTCTTCCCTTTATTGCTTAAAAAGTTTTGATTTATATTCACCCTTTTCGGTGCTTTCTCATTATCGGGGGGGGGGACAACTTTTTCATTAGGAACCAATTTTCCTGACATAAATAGTGGTTTTTTTCTATTCCTAAACGTATAAACTGTACTATTTTTATTAACAAACACAAAAACATGGATTTTTGACAAATAAATGCCCGGTTTTCGACAAAAACTTGAAAGTTTTCCATTTTTAGATTTTCTACTTCAAGCCTTGTTACACTAAAACAATATTCAGCACTAATTATTATGTTACAAGGTATTCATGGACTTTAGAAAAAAATATTTTGTCACGATTACTCCCCCCCCCCCCCGATAATGCAAAAGCGCTGTGTTTTCTTGTCCGGCTTTGTCAAGCCTAGTCTAGCTTACTCAAGCCAATTCCAAGCCCAAAAAACTGTCAGAATCGATTCATAGCCAGCATTGCCAGAAATCGCATCAAATACCGGTTCGGAGAAGCCTACCTAGCTCTATCCACTACCTACCCGGCTGGTTTCAACGGCCTCTAGAGGACTCTAGAGATTCATCTTGCACATTTCCTATCGTAAAGGGATCGAATCGTGGCTCGAGCGGGTGTGTCCCATTTGATGGGCCCTTTATTTGTTCCCGGCTCAATTCGCTCTTTCTCGTTGGTCCAAAAGCCTCGGGAGTCCAGTTGTTCGCACCGCCGGAAATCATCTCTCCTCCGGCTGCTGTACGTATCAACCTTTTTCTTGACAAATTGCGGCAATGTAAATCCGTGTAAATAGTTTTTTTTAGTGTTAAAACACCGGATTAAATCGGAAAATTAGTTTGTTTTTTTTGGTTACAAGGGAAGGAATAGCTTTAGAAAACGGCAATGAACAAATGACGCCTAGATATAGACATATTTATCAGTATTTGGGCTCCAAAATAATGTTTTCTAACTGTAAGGTATCCTCTGATACACTAAATTACGAATTACGACGTATTAATGAATCGATAAAACTTAATGTTTATCATTATACAAAGTTTAAAAAAGGGAATGGTATCATGCGAACTTTGCAACGCTACAAAATTGTGTACAAGGTCGTACTATGGACGTTTTTGTGCAATGCGATGGCTACATTTACCGCGATTATCTTCTATTGCTTTTCTACAAGCCCTTGAAATCGTTTTTATAGTTTATAAAAATTCTAATTGTCTTTTTGAAGATTTGCAAGACGTCTGCAGCCCAGGTTTCATTTCTAAAGACCCTATTAGGCATTTAAAGACGGTTTAAGAACTTATAAACCTAACTCAAACCTTTTTAATTGAGTTTTATGGCCCCGGGGTGCACTCTTTGTTGTTAGGGGATGAGTGTGTGTATGTGTATTTTCTCTTGCTTGCCACTTTCCACATCCACGCCAAATGCAACAGTCCTTTTCCCCCGTCTCGTTCTCTTTCTCGTTCTCTTTCTCCAAGCGATTACTCACCGAGACCGGCCCATTGATCCCCGTCGACTTCGATTTCTTTTTTTCCGCCCATTTTCGCCCCGTCACCCCTGATTTTTAGCGCGGTCAGGCAAACATTCTGGGGCGGTATTTTGTTTCCAACAATTTTCCGTGTTTTTCTATGTCGTCTGAGCCTCAGTTTAGCTTGTTTTGTTTTCTGGAGCGTAGTTAAGAATTAACATTTATCGCTTTTTAAATGCTAGCGGCTGAAAAATGCTTTAGAACTTTTAAACTTGCGAATGTACCCAAAATTCCCATTTTTAGTTTTGTTTTCAGCCGACATCCTTCCCACGCCCTTTAGAGCTATGGTAATTGACGTCAAAATTCGAGTTGAGTTAATTCTTGCAAACGTCTTTGTGTTTTAGATGCTAAAGGTTTTACTTAATTTAAATTTGACATGGTTTTATCTTATTACGTTTATCTTTTGGACGTCAGCCCTTCCGGTCCCATTTAAAAGTACGATAATTCATTATGCCATGAAAATATGCGGAATAACACAGAAACAATGCCGAAAAACGCAATTCCCGTGCGATTTTTCCAAAATCCCGCTTCGTACGAACACCGTAAGCCGATTAATAGGGTTTTTAATCTGCCAGCATGGCCCTAAATTTACGATGCCTGCCAGCGCCATGGGGGAGGTTATAAAAATATTGAATAATTAGATAAGTCGAGTTTTCCATGGTCAAATGGATTTTTTAGAATTTAAACTGAAAATCGTCGCTAATCATCATTTCGTCCGATAGTCCTTCCAATTCTATTTGTGGCGACTGGCTGAGAAATGACTCATTGGTGGTGATGCACACCCAACCGTCCTTATCAGCCTCACCGCCTTGTAAAGAATCGACGAATGTGGTCGGCGAGTCCAGCCTTTTTCCGCATCGATTTTTGACGGTTTTTAAGCCCACTCCTGTTTGTTCGATTAAAAACTTCCGAAAACAGGCCTGAAGTCTAAAGCTTTTGGACAGGTTTAGCGAGTTTTTTAGGCTTTTCTGGAGAGTCCGAGTTTTACTTTAAAGGGATAGGGGCGGCATATGGCAATCGATTACGCGCGGGAAAGAAAATGTCTCTGCGCCTCTCCCCTGGGCGCGCCCCCCCTTGGCTACGCCAATTTGTTGTGGGGGATCGACACATGCCGTCGGCAGCCCTTTAAGATCCAGGTTTTTATATAAATCCGCAAGTGTAATGAAGCTGCATTTTATTAAGCATACAAAAAGGACGATTTTTCAATGAAATTAAGCGGTTTTCGACCAAAATTTCTTATTTTGAGGCATTTTCAAACTTACTAAATAGCTTTTTCAGTTGAAATGCACCTAAATTTTATTAAGAACATTATGAAGGTATTTGCTACGACGTTACTAGGCATAGGTCGGCTTATCGCAAGAATTAGAGCCCCGGAAATACCAAAGACCTCGATTATCGATTAGTTTTGCATTTTCAACCGCTTCCTCGTTGAATTTACCTTTAAACGGTTGATCCTCTCGGCAAACTGTTCGCTGGTCATGGTTTAGGAAAAGAAAACCCTCTTTCTCGAAAAGCCGCGCAAAACATTTTTTCGACCGAATTATTGTTGAGGGCAAATTTGGAGGCGGCAGAGAATGAGGGCAATGCAAATATAGACTTCCCCCTCGTGGAACGAGGCTCCTTTTTCCTTCCTCCCTCGACGCCTATTGATGGATTGTTTCGTTCATTTTGGTCTTGGAAATGTTGATTTATAATCTTAGAAGCTTAATCTGCGTTTTATACTTTTAAAAACAGTTAAATCCATGTTTTTTCAGCGTGAAGAAGTGTTGTTTTTTTTAGTTTCTTTTCGCGTCTGGATCCGCCAGTGGAAAAAGGAACGTCAATATGGTACGTTTTTAAAAGTATCCTTTTTAAAGTACCTTAAAACGGTAGTTTTGGTACTTTTCCGCATTAAAATAAGCTATAAAACCTTTATTTTTCAGGCGTTCCACTGGCAGTCCAATGTCAACGTCAAGCAGGTCGGCGTTGACGACATGGTGCTGCTCAGTCGATTGTCAGGTAGAATTCCGCTTTAAATTGTATTTTTATAGAATTTTTAGTAGTTTTTCATGGCTGGAAAGTTTTAAAAATATTTTCAGATTGTTTAAAATTTGGAAATTATGGGTGTTTAGGTAATTTTTCTTCCATTTCGGCCAAAAACTCAAAACTTTTCGTAATTTTTATGTGGTTGTAGCTGAAACCTTTCTTACCTAAAAAAATGCTGTAAAAATGGTTTATATTTTGTTACGGAACCGTACGGGAATACTGAGAAACGAAACCCCCCCGCTAACAGCCCAGTACCAATTTTTTTCAGAAGATTCGATCACCGACAACCTGAAAAAGCGCTTTAATGCCAATTCGATTTTTGTAAGTCTTAGCTAGAAAATGTTTCGATTTATTCCGTCGATTTCTAGACGTACATCGGCCCGGTGCTCATCTCCGTCAACCCCTTCAAACAGATGCCCTATTTTACCGAAAAAGAAATGGAGCTATACCAGGTATGTTTTGAACGCTATTTTAAACATTAATTACAACAGGGAGCCACGCAATATGAAAATCCGCCCCATATCTACGCGCTGGCCGACAATATGTTCAGGTTTTTCGCCTCTAAATTACTTTAAATTTACGATAAACGTTTTAGAAACATGTTGATCGAACGTGAGAGCCAATGTGTGATTATTTCCGGCGAATCCGGAGCCGGAAAAACGGTTGCCGCCAAGTATATTATGAATTACATCAGCCGGATATCGGGAGGAGGAAGCGCTGTTCAGGTTGCGAGATTTTTAAGGGATAAAAATTAAGATAAAACGTCATTCAGGAAGTCCAGGTATTTAACAAAGGGTAATAACGCTCGCTTTTTTGCTATTCGACGTCAAGCTTTTTCTTGAATACGGAAAAGTTAAAATCCAACGTTTTCAGCACGTAAAAGATGTCATCCTCCAATCCAACCCGCTGCTAGAAGCTTTTGGAAACAGGTGGGGAAGAAAGATAGATAGAATATATGTTCTAAACGTATAAAAACTACTTAAAAAACGTAAATTTTATTTTGAAAAATGTAAAATTCAAATTTCGCAAAATGTCAAAATGTTCTAAGCTTTTTATTAAATTTATTAAAATCCTTACTAAAAACTATTTTCTGCTAACAATTTATGGGCTTATGCTCCCTCCCCCGATAATGCAAAAGAACCAAATCCAAATTTCCAGCGCCACAATCCGAAATTGGAACTCGTCGCGTTTCGGGAAATATGTGGAAATCGTCTTTAGTATGGGCGGCCAGCCGATTGGAGGAAAGGTTTGTAAAAATCAATATTTATAGATCATTTTTATAAAAATAAAATTATTCTCTAGCTCTCCAACTTTCTGCTCGAAAAATCGCGTGTCGTCTCCCAGAACAAAGGCGACCGGAATTTCCACATTTTCTATCAGCTACTCGCTGGAGCTGAGCAAAACCTTCGAAGTAAGTGGGAAAATATTACAAAAATACTACCATTTCAGCGACAATAAAATACATTAATACCAATACTATTCTTTTAGCAAATTTGGGCGTTGGCCAGCTGTCATACTACAATTATTTGAATCAAAGCGGCGTCACGCAAGCTGAAGATACGGATGATGCCAAGGAGTTTCATAATACGCTGGTGGGTTTAAAAACGTAAAAGCTATTGGTATTTAAAAAACTCTAAAATCGCGAATTATTCTGAAAAATACGATAAAAATCGTGATTTTAGTACCAAAATGATATGAAAATAGCTATTTTATTATGAAAAAACCAAAGAAATCATTATTTTATTGCCAAAATACGACACAAATAGTGGTTTTATTATGAAAAATAGTATCGAAATCTGTTTTTACAGTGAAAGACTTTTAAAAATCGTTATTTTAGTATCTAAAATGACTATAGAAATGGGTATTTGATTAATATAAAATTACTGAAAATTTTTATTTTTATAATATTAAAAACCTAAAAATATGTAAAATCTTCTAAAAACTTTTACAGCACGCGATGCAAGTGGTGGGCATTGACGACGAGGGGCAACTCGACATACTGCGGCTGGTGAGTGAGTGGGAGAAGGGGCGGGGCGCGGGGGATAGGGCCGCCCGACAGCCCCTCCCCCAGTGCCGCATTAGCTCAGTTGGTAGAGCGTCAGACTTTTAATCTGAATGTCAGGGGTTCGAGCCCCCTATGCGGCTAATCCCCTTTTGCGTTTTTGCTTTTTGGCCAAAAGTTTCGGGGAAAGGTTCCTGATGGGCTAGACATCAATTTTTAAACTCAGTTTTAAAAGTATAAGTTACAACGACGTATTTCAAGCTGTTTTTAGGTATCTGCTGTACTGCACATAGGAAATATCATGTTCCGAGAAGACGGGAATTATGCAGCGATTGAGACGGATGATTGTAGGTTTTTAAATTCACTCTGCTCATTCTAAAAATATTAAATAGCTTTATAATAAAAATATAAACTATAATAACTACAAGCTTTCAGTCCTTGAATTCCCCGCATTTCTACTCGGCCTAAAATCCACCGACATCAAGGAAAAGCTGACGACAAGGTAATTTACGATTTTCATTTTTTCGTTTAGAGCAATAATTTTCAGCGTTAATTGAGTTTTTATGCCCTATTTTAGGAGAATGGAATCGAAATGGGGCAACCAAACCGAGACGATCAACATGCAGATGAACGTTGAACAGGCGAATTACACGCGCGATGCATGGGTGAAGGCCATCTACTCGAGGCTTTTTGACTTTCTTGGTATGTTTTTAGCTATTTTCTATATATAAGATTGAATATAGCATTTTTACATATCAAACCATCATTTTAGTGCGTTCCGTCAACGAGGCTATGCAAGTCAAATCCAAAGAAGCCTCGCTTTCCATCGGAATTCTGGACATTTACGGCTTCGAAATCTTTGATCATAACGGTTTTGAACAATTTTGGTATGAATAACTTCCTGAAAAATACAACTCCATTTTTAGTATCAATTATGTCAACGAAAAGCTCCAACAAATCTTCATCGAACTAACCCTAAAAGCCGAACAGGAAGAATATGTCAAAGTAAACCACATCTCACTTTCAAAAATAACAAACAACTTTAGGAAGGCATCAAATGGCAAGAAATCGAATATTTCAACAATAAAATCGTCTGCGAGCTCATCGAGGAGAAGAAACCCCCGGGAATCATGTCTCTACTTGACGATACCTGTGCCCAGAACCACGGAACGTCCGAGGGAGTCGACCGGCAGGTTTGTGGCCAAAAAGCAAAAAAATGATCTCGGGCGGGATCGAACCGCCGACCTTCTGTGTGTTAGACAGATGTGATAACCACTACACCACGAGACCTGGTGGTGGGCAGGGCTGGGGCGGGGGTGATGTGGGAGCGGAGGGAGTGGGGTGGGCCCGGAGAGGGGCGAGGCCAGGGACGGTGGCTGAGAAAAGGGAAGAGCTTTCGCCTCCTCAATTTCAAGGGATTTTGTGGGATTTTTCTAGTGAATTTAGCCTTCAAAATATTTTAAAAATATGCTAATAATTATACAAATATTTTTTGTAGGAAAGCTCTCAATTTCAAAAGGTTTTGCTCATTTTAATTTAACAAATTTTTAAACGTCTAATTTTTATAGTCATTATAAAAACATTTTTTAATTAGAAATGTTTGCCTTTTTTAAGAAAATGATAGCTTTACAACTATTTTAAATTGTCTTAAGCAATATACAAACTTTTTTAATGAAAAGGTTTTAGAAAAATACAACTTTAAAACTACTTGAAACTGCTATTACGAAAAAAAGGTTTTTATTAATAGTTTAATAAAAAATTCGAGTGAGGGGAAGCTTTATTTTCAGCTCCTATCAACCCTATCCAAAGCCGTCGCTGCTCATCCACATTTTGCCGGCGGCGCTGACTCGTTTGTCATCAGACATTATGCAGGAAATGTAAGCTTTAAGTTGTGGCTATTTTGAACTTTATTGAACCTAACTTAATTCTAGCTTTTATGCTTTTAAATCCCCCGTTTCAGGTCTCCTACAACATTGACGGGTTTTGCGACCGAAACCGCGACGTCCTCTACCCGGATCTCATTCAGCTCATGCAGAAAAGTACAAAGTAAGTTTATATTTGTTTATTTTTCTATATAGTTTCTATATTTATTATCTATCTATATTTTTAGCCAATTTGCCCGCAGCCTATTCCCCGATCAAGTGCAACAAGGGAAACGCCCGACCACGGCTTCGACAAAAATTCGGGTTTGTGATTTGAAAAAGTTTAAAAAAATCATTTATGTGTTTTAGACCCAAGCGAACGAACTTGTGGCATCGTTGATGAAGTGCACACCGCATTATGTGCGTTGTATAAAACCGAACGAGACGAAAGGGCCGGCGATTGGGATGAAGAACGGTAATTTTGAACTCAATTAATTCTGTTAACTTTAATCGAATTATTTTTAGCATTACAAACAATAATCTTTTTCAGAGTTCGCCATCAGGTCGTCTATCTTGGTTTGAAGGAAAATATCCGGGTCCGCAGAGCTGGTTACGCTTTCCGAAGACCATTCGAGAAATTCTTGTGGAGGTTCGTGTTTTTCTATATTTTATTTTATACAATATTTAAAATTAGATACGCCATTTTGACGGAACAAACGTGGCCAAACTATCGTGGAGATCCAAGACAAGGATGCGAGGTATTTCTTGAAAAGGTCTTCAAAGTTTTTAAGATAATTTGCCGAAGCGTAAGGCTGGATCCCGATCAATTCCAGATGGGCAAAACGAAGATATTTATCAAAAATCCAGAATCTGTAGGTTTTTGGGGGGATTCCAATGTTTTTTGTTTAGTTATTCCTACTGGAAGAAGTGCGAGAGCGAAAATACGATGGCTTCGCGCGGAAAATTCAAAAAGCATGGCGACGTCATCACGCCCAGCGCCATCACGCAAAAATGAAGGTAGAAAAAATAAATATAACACCGCGGAAATAATTTAGGAAGAAGCCAGCGATTTGATGTACGGAAAGAAAGAGCGCAGACGCTTCTCGTTAAATCGAAATTTTGTCGGCGATTATATCGGATTGGAGTATCATCCAGCACTTCAGGTTCGAGCTTTTCCAGTGTTTCTTAGCAATACAAACTTTAACCTTTAGGTGCTTGCTGGAAAGCGAGAAAGGATAGACTTCGCGACGACAGTTACTAAATACGATCGCAGATTTAAGGTATTTCATCTACAAAATTTAATTACGAATGTTTAGACTTCAAAACTAGACCTGATTCTGACGGCCAAAGCGATTACGCTGGTCGGGAGGGAAAAGGTGGCCAAAGGGCCGCAGAAAGGACAACTTGTCGAGATCGTAAAGAGGTATTAGCTGGAACTTTGTACAAAAACTTTTCGTTCAGGCAAATACCCCTGGAAAAGATCCAATCGATCGGGCTGTCGCCGTATCAGGACGATTTCCTGATCCTCCAAGTTCGTGAAGATTTCACGTCACTCCTCGAGACGCCATTTAAAACGGAATTCTTGACGACGCTGAGGTGAGTTTTATAAAAATTTATATTACAAAAGCCGTAAATTGGTCCTTAAATTTGGGTAAAACTGGTCGGCTATCTTAAAAGGTCCAAAAAATCGTTTTACAGCCGTTTGTAATTGTAAAGTGAATGAAGGAAATTAGATACCACCCCCCCCTCGCTAATGAACCAGATCCAACTTTTTCAGCAAGCGATACAAGGATCGAACGGCCAACGGCACTTTGCTGCTCGATTTCAAGTCGGAACACACGATTACACTAAAGGTAGGTTCCCAAAAACTATACTGTTATAGCAAATAGCGTTCTAGAAAACCCGATTCGGCGGTGGCCATCGCGTCGTCAGCTTCCAATTACTGGCCGGTGGATCACCAAAGGCCGTCCTGACACCGAATGGCAAAAAATTGACGGTGTCTATTGGAGCCGGAGAACCAAATACAACTCGTTAGTTATTAGCGTAATTAAGCTAATTATAATTCTTATTCCAGGTCCCCGAATGAACCGACCGGAAGGCGGGTACCAACGACAAAGCCAGGGCAGGAGATCCACGAAAAAGGCGCCCACCCGCCCACAACAGCCTCATATGGGGTTGTCGTCACATAGGTTCGTGAAGAGTGTATAGAAACGTACGTAAAAATTTCAGCCAACCTCAACAGAACAACTACGGGGTGGCCGAGTACGAAGCAGAGCCGAGGCGGCTTGGAGGTAAGCTTTTTTCAAAGCTGGTGCTTTCGCATTATCGGGGGGGCTATGTTTTCTATAGGTCCAGGTATGCCTAGTAACGTAATAGTAAATATTTTGATAGAGTGTCAAGTAAATTTTGGTTCATTCTGAGTCGCGAAACTATCTAAAAAAGCTTAATAACACTTTAAAAAATTGTTAATTTCGTCGAAAATCGGGATTTTTAGGTCGAAAAGTCTAATTTTTTGTATCGTTTGGTAAACATTTCTAAAATTGTAATTATATATGTGGATATTAAAGGTATCAAACCGGATATTATTTAATATAAATCTACGTTGTGTTAAGCTTTATTTTCAGGCTCAGCCCCTCCAATAACCCCATCTCACGGCAACGGCATTTCCGGCGCGGCGATGGGCGGTATTGCCACCCCTCTGGCCGGCCTGAATCTCAATGGCCAACAGACCAACGTGGTAGGTCTATCATTGTAGAAAGTCTAGACATAGAAAAGCAAAAACTAAATAAAACTCGCCTAGGTTCGCCCGGCTCCTCGGCCGAACAAGCCAAAACCGCCGGTGAAACCGAAGCTTCACCCGGTGGTGACGGCACTGTACGCATATGACGCTCAGGACACTGATGAGCTTTCTTTTGAAGTTGGAGCCGAGATTGAGCTCCTCAAGAAACGTAAGTGGCTGACGCAACGTCGAAAACTAGATGGTGTTGTTCTGTGCTGTGCGTTTTGATGGCTATAAATTTTTGGTCGTTCTGGCGGCGTCATAAAAAGGATGGTTCTTTGAGCGATAAACTTTCCAAGGTTTGAAAAACGCGTTTGATTTTGTAGGTAAAACGAAACGTAATTCCGGATTTTTAGAGGAAACTATCACTACAAAGTTTAAACTATAAAGACACCGTTTTCAGATGAATCCGGCTGGTGGCAGGGCAAAATCGGCAGCCAGCAGGGCCTCTTCCCCAGCAATTACGTGCAAGAATAGTGATCAAAATGATGAGCTCTCAAAGATTTCTTTTCTAGTGACCAAATGATATAGTCAGGGCCCTTAAAAGCCTCTCAACGATTACGGGCAAAAGTTTTCGATTTTACGCTCTCCCCACCCACATCCCCTTGCTCAGAGTACCGCCGATTTCACTTCTCTCTATCTCTCGCTATCCCTCTTTCTCTCTCTCCCCCGGTTTCCTTTTTGCTTTATTTATTGCTTTGTACAATTAATATAATTGATAAATTTTTATTATTTTTGCCTATCAAAATCGCCCGCTATCGCTCGGTTGACAGGTCGACGTTTTCAGGTCTAAATGATCAAAAACACTGAATTTACCGCTTCTCCTACCGGAAATGACGACAAACGTCGCCGACAACCCCAACACGTACACGACGATGTACACCGACGATGTGGCCATCGCCGCCATGACGATACGCTTTTCTAAAGGATTTTTTAGGTTTTCTAAAGGAGCTTCTCATACCGTTTACCCGAACCAGTCCCCGCTCTACCTCGTAGCACAAGAACGTGAAGGCGGCCAGCCGCTCAACGAAGAACAAAAGCTGTCAAAGTATGGAAAATGTCATTACGTCTTTTTTAGGTACCTTCAACACCAAATATAACAATATCAGCTGCCTGTGCTCGACGATGAGCGCGTAGAGGCCGTAGAAGAGGAGGAGGAGCGCGAATAGCTCCACGAGATACGCATTGACGATTAGATAGAGGAAATGGCCGGTTAGGAGAAAGGAATCTCTTCCCGCAACTAAAAAATGTGTTGTAAAATGTGAATGTTGATTTTGAACTTTACCCCCAAATTCTAGGACGGCGATATTGGCGAGGATGAGGAATAGATTGAAGATGGCGACGACCAGGGCCAAAAGCTGGAAATTTCGTGATTTCTTGCGTCAAAAGTAAGTATTTTACTATTAGTAAACGCTCAAACTTAACAAATTTTCGTTTAAAAAAAGATTTTTCTAAGCAAAATGGACGTTTTGGACCAAAGTTTACAATTTTCAAAGTTTTCGGACAGTTTTTCAACTTTTCAAAAGGCTAAAAAGGCTAGGCTTTTCTTTATATGAGAGTTTCGATGCTGAAATAACCGACCTTGGCCCGGTCCATAAACAGAATATATATATCTCAGCGGGCCATCGATGAGCGAATGGACGCAAATCGTCGGCGCTTCTTCTTCCAATTCCATTTCGAATTCGATCGACCTCGCCGGGAATCGGCCCGCCCCCGTTCGAATTTTATCGCCTCGATCCACCAGCGGAACAGGAAAAGCTGGGCAGAATTGAAGAACTAGAGAAATAAGTGCAAACTGAGGTAAATCCTTTATTTAATCGAAAACACGAGGGATAATAGTGAATCGCGTCCTCTAAGGCTTAAATTTTGGTCGCTGGGTGGGTCGATTCGTCGATTACGGTCCATCACGCGACGATTTATCGGTCGGGCCACTAAATAACTTTTATATAATTGAATAAAAGTATATTTATACCCCTGAACTTTTCGGCGGCGTCCAGCGGCTCCCTGTTGCATCGGGGTATCATCGCTACACGAGCTAAAAGTATAGGCTCTTAGTGCATTAGGGAATTTCGACGTTTCCACCTTGCCTATTTCCTTCCAAATGTATTATATTCTTACAAATTAAACCAAGACGAACAATTTGGGATACTTTACAGCCCTCTAGCACAATGGGCAGCCGAGATAGGGCGGTTTTTGCGTGCGGCGACTGCGACACGCATCGCGGTCGTTTCCTGTGCGGGCGCGTTGCGTGTTGCGGCGTGGCAATGAAGCTATACCTGCTTCAAATATCAAAAACACCAACCTCTCCTCCTCATCCGTGGTGAACGCCGACTCCTCGACGTCCGTCAAACTGGCGCTGCGCGCCGTCGGGCACTGCGAGGTTCTGCCCCTAAATTTGGATATAAATAGGTATAATTTTTTATATTTTAAATTAGGGTAGGGTCCTTTAAAATCCAGGCTTACATGGGGCTGCTGGGATGATAACTGCATGCTGTGTAGACGTCAATAGTCGAGCATTCCGAGGCGGCCGTACTATCCGTCCGAACGAGATCCGAACCCTCGGAAGCCGCCATATTTTGAGAGGGAGGGTTCATGGGATACAAATAATTCAGCAAAATGCGGCAAAAAGTACGAAATTACATCTGCAAAGCGTTTATGCAAATTTATTTAATTTAGCGTAATACCTAGGAGTAGATGTTGCTTTTTTTAGTCTTACGAGGAGGAAATCAACTTTTTCCTGAGGGTCTGATATTTTGAAGGTCAATGCCGGAAATGTTTCTACAATTTTTAAACTATGAAGTTTTATAAAAGCAATATTTACAAAATACACAAATTGTCAATCTTTCCACCAAATCTTGAACGTTTCAAATTTTTGAAGCTAGCTTCCACCAGTATCGTTAAAGCCTACCATAAAACACTGTTAAAAGACTTCTTTTTCCAGGCCAGGACAGGCGAAATCCCAACAATAAAAATCTCGACATATTCTTGAGGCTACTTTGAACACCACTTCCTTTTAAACAGCTATTTTACATGTCGGGATTTTGGCTGTCCGCAGTTTGCGTGTCGGGATTTTTGAATGTCGGCATTTTGGATGTCGGTATTTTGGTTGCCGGGATTTTGGCAGGATTTTCGGATTTTCAGATCCAACTTTTGATTTTTAGCCCCTAACTCCAAAATTTCAGCTTTTTAAGAGCCCAATTTTCCCAAAAACTTCCGGTTGCCGTTCGGCTTCTTGCCCCCCCCAACCCCAGCAGTTATCTCGAAATTAGGAACAAAGGCTGGCACAAAAACCGGGTCGCCAAAAAGCCCGAAAATTTTAACCCCCGGATTAGCCCCAAAAGCCGTGCGCCCGATTAGTACGCAGCTGATAAAGCAGCCGGGCAGATTTTGGAGTTTTGCCGTGGCTTGTAATTTTACCACGAACCCAAATATTTAAATGAAGGTTTTTCTATTCGTTTCGATGGTTATTATAACGGAATTGTTGAGCGAGGCCGATGCAGTTGGTAGTTTTGACTTTTTTACAACAAATTTTGCCTATTTTAGCTTGTCCAGCACGTGAGTTTTTCGAGGGCATACGGTAATTCGAGCACTTTTTAGCGGTTCCGGCGTACTGCAAGAGTGGACGTGAGTTTGAATTATTCAAGTTTGTTACACTTTACATTTTAGGACTTTTTTGTAGTTTGTAATTGTCGATATCTTGGTTCTGGGCTATTAACGGGGGCGGGGCTATTAACGGTGGGGGTATTTTTAGTTTTAGATTTATAGCGTTTGAAAATATTTTTTGTAGCGTTCGTATTATTTTTAAAGGCCTAAAAAGTCCTAAAAATTTTTAGTAAATTTTAAGAATTCAAGGTTTTGAAGAAAAACAATTTTTCAACAATTTCAAAATTTTTGTTCGGTGTAAAGACCTACACAAAGGGTGTCCATTTTGACATTCAGATAGGTCAAAATTAGGTCCCTATTACCGCCCTACCCCCCCGCTAATGAACCAGTACGAAGAAGACGAGCTTTTTCTCTAGCCTCTTTCAACGGGATTTGCCCGGAAACGGACTGTGATGGCGGTGACGGCTTCTGTTATTGTATGGATTGCGACGCCGCGTGCCAGGCGTGCAAATCGCTTTGCACTACGGTAGGCGGGCGGGGCATCGAATAGGGGGATTTCGGCCAAAATCCCAACAGCCAAAATACCGACAGCGAAAATGCCGACAGAATCTTGAAGCTATTTTGAAGGCCGCGACCGTTTAAGCTTTATTTTGCATATCGGGATTATTGCTGTCGGTATCGTGGCTATCGGAATTTTGGTCTGTCGGGATTTTTTTCCCTGCAGGAATTATGGTCATCGGCATTTTGGTCTGTCGGTATTTCCCCTGTCGAAATTATGGCTTTCGGGATTTCGGCTGTCCGCTTTCCCGCGAATAGGGGTAGCGCCAACGAAACAAACCTTCGCAGTAATTCACGCCATCGGCTATCAGTAATCTTTTCATGTCATCATCCGGTTATCAACCCTGAATTCCCGGCCGGTTTTGCACCTAGCACCCACGACGTCACGGGGTAGCGTGACTTTCTGTGCATTATTGGGCGCGAAAAAACCGGAAGTGGCGTAGGGCACTCAAAAAGATGTAAAAAAAGCTCCGATTGTTCTATCAAAAATTTTAAAACCTTTTAGAAAGGTCCTACCACCACCGCCTATATCACCACAATCGCTCCAACGACTGCAGGTTTGATTTCTTAACTTTTTAACGCAAAAATGGCATTTTTTCAGGAAACTGCATCGACAACAACAAGAAGTTAGTATTTATCGCCGAGGGCTGCGCTTTGGATTTGTCTAAAAGTATTTACAGCTAAAAAACTGATTTAGTTGTGCCGTCTGGGTGAAATCGGGCTTCTGCGAGAACAACCAGTACACCTGGCAACAACGAAAAGACTACTGCGCGAAAAGTTGCGGACTTTGCAATTGTGTGGACACGACCAAGGAGTAAGTAATATTTTATTAACAGTATTCTTTTTTCCATTAAGTTGCGCCGATTGGATCAAGAACGGCTTCTGCACGAACCCAAAGTACACCGATGAGGAGAAGCGGAAGTATTGTGCTCTCAGCTGCGGGCTTTGCAATGCCCCCACAGGAGGTATAAATTGTTTTTTTTATTAATTTTGTTAACTTTCAGTTTTTTTGAGCTTTCCTTTTTAGCGACAACTTTGCTTACAACCCCTGGCGTTTGCAAGGACAATTCCCCAAAGTGAGTCGAGATTGTTACCTTGATTTTTCTGGATTAGCTACAATTTTTACGTTTTTGAACGTTTGTACGTCTGTTTAATCGCTTAATACTGAATTTTTACACCCGCAATTAGCGTAATAAAGCCCTTTTCAGCTGCCCGGACTGGGTGAAGAACGGCTTCTGCACGAACCCGCAGTACGACGACGAGCAAAAGCGGAAATTTTGCGCGAAAAGCTGCAATTTGTGCTGAATAAACATACTTAATTTTACAAACCTAAAACACAATGTAAAATATAAACTTTGCAAAATCACAATACAGGGTGGCGATTAAGTATTTGCGCCAGGAAAGGCAGAGTAAAAAATGACCGAAGCGTGTCTCGGAAATTATTTTACGACCATAATGTAGCTAATATAACCTAATTACGGATACCAAAAAATCTACGGCCCTAATTCTTAAATTTTCAAGATATGAGCTTTGAGAGAAGCGCCCAAACATCAGCGAGGGCCGCGCGTATCTCATCCCTTTGTTTAAGCTTTTCAGCCTAAGTATCTCAATTGGCCAAAAAAACAAGTGGTCTTTATATTCCTTGCAATGCCCTTTAGCGAACGTAGTAGACAGAAAAATTATTTCTAATCGGATCCTAGATTTATTCGTAGTTTTCCCGACCACCAAAATTGAGTCGGGCGGGAGGCTTTTTCACGAAAAACACAAAATGTCTCAAATTTCTGCAATCACTTGTCGAAGATGTTTTCCACGATGGGGACTTGGTTAAACGATCCAAACGGTCCGGAAAAGCTTAAGGGCGTTCAAAAAGCTCCAAATGTTTGCACAAAAGGATGGAATGAAATGCATGGTTATGCGACCCGTTTGCTCCACTCTTAAAAAATCATGGGCTGGAGAATTTAGCTTTTCTCGCTCTAGCTAACATGGCTAGTAAAGAGACGCATGAATTACCTACATTTTGATAGCAAAACGAAGAAGATACTTCAAAGGTGCGATTTTTTAGAATGCATTCTTCTGCGATAAGTCGCTCTGAGACAGGATGCGCGGCCCTCGAGCTTTGCCAAAATTTACTTTCGCTTCCGTGCCCTACTCAGGACTCCCTGTTGCCCATACCCATTTTTCTAGCAAGTTCAGATAGCTCTTTCCACGATCAAACATCGGGAAATATATCCAGCTTCTTCAAAAAAATTTCTGAGCTCCTCAAAAATGAAGAAAATCCATACAAAAAAACGCGGTTTTACATGTTTAGACAAATTAAAATTGTGTGGTAAAGCGGTTTCCTGTTTTCACCTTGCATCCGATAGAACAAAAAATTCTCTACAAAATGCGCTTATTGGTCTTTTCTGCGGACTACGATTTAGCTTCTAAAAACGTGCTTGAAACAGGCGCAAATACTTAATCGCCACCCTGTAATTCAGTAAACACGTTGCGCAGCGCAGAAACTTTGCCGCAGCGCAGCCACACGCGTTCACCATTTTTCGAAGTACTTTCGAAACTATTATTCATCAAAAATCGCTTAAAAAGCGTATTCCGAAAGTATTATTTTTACAGTTACACGCATCGAAACGCTACTTGAAAATCTTCCTGAGATTACCTTGGGCTGTCGGTATTTTCGCTTGTCGGTCTTTGGCTGTCGCGATTATGGCTCCAGGGGTTCTGGCTGTCGGGATTTAGGCCTAAAGTGATTTCTGTTTTAGGGATTTTACTCTATCGGGATCTTGCCTGTCGGAATTTTGTCTTTTAAGGATTTTGTCCTGTCGGGATTTCGTCCTTTCCGTATTTTTGCGGTCGTTATTTTGGCTTGTCGGGATTATGGCCATCGGGATTTTGTCTGTCGTCATCTTGCCCTGTCGGCATTTTGCCGTTTTTTCTTTGCACTTTACTCCAACTAAACCATTCACTTCCGACTTATCACTAGCGAAGAACACCGAAGCCACCCACCCTCACACTGCCTAAACTAATCGGCTTTTCATCGGAACCCCCAGCCTGAACCCACGAGGTCACGTCGAGATGGATTTCAGCCTGCGTAAGCCCATCCAATCCGTTCTCACAGCACCAGGGGCCACCGTATAATCTCCATTGTTCTCCACAACCCAATAAGCTTCCGAGATAAGCAAATCCCCGCCTCAGCAGCTCAACATATAAGCCCCCCTCAGCCAAGCCAAGAAGATAAGTCGTCGCGTCCTCCCAAAAACGCTTTTCTCGAATTTGCCTCCCGCGAAAAACAGCTTACGATGAATAGCTACGCGGTGTTGTATCTGAGCATTGGGCTCGTCATGTCTTGTAAGTTTTTCATTGCCTTAGGAATTTAATTTATTCTTTTTAGTTAACAACTTCAAGGTGGACGGACAATCGGTGAGTGTTCCTTTACACAAAAAAGCTACGGCTTTCATCATAAGTCTGTATCAATTGAAGAACCAACAAGATATGGAGTATTTTTAATATAACATTATTATATTAAATCAATTTTGTAACATTAAAATTTTAGGTGAAATGTGACAGAGCAAATTTTCGGTACTTAACTATTAGCGGGGGAGGGTGAGGGCAAATTTTCCCAGTAATTCCGTGCGGCCCTACAACGAAACATAGACCCCTTTTATAGAATTTTACAGAGCTTTTCGATAACGAAAATTCATAAAAATACTAAAATTTTCGAGAAATCTCTAGTCTTGGCCAAAAATGTATCGGAAAAATGGCAAAAATGTTCGAATTTTCAATATTTATTTTAATTTTTTTATGAATTTCTAGCAATCGAAAACGATTGAAAACACAATAAAAATAGGCGGAAAACAAAAACCGGTTTCCCCCTGCTAAAAATCCCCCACCCGCTAACAGTCCAGTACCAACTGTTGCTTTACCTCAAGCCTCCCTTATGGACCAAAAATCAAGAATTTTCTAACGAGTGATTCAGTCGTCGACGGATGGATCAACGGTATCAACCGTTTCCGGTGGCACCACGGAATCTGGCGGAACTACGGTAAGCGGAGGGTCGACCGTTAGTGGAGCTTCTGAAACGACTGCGGCTACTGCAGCGACAGCTGGCCCATGTGTTGACGCCGATCCCGCCAAGTTGGCTTTTTTCTCTAGCTGAAACTCACTTTCTTCAAGCTGCCCAGCCTGGGTGAAGAATGGCTTCTGCACTTCCACCTTCTATACCGACGACGAAAAGCGGAAATACTGCGCCAAGAGCTGCGACCTGTGCGATGGGAACTGCAAGGATGCCAACAGCAAGTGGGTTGCTTTAAATAAGCTTTAACGCAATTGTTTAACGCCAAAGTAAGCTTGTATCGCTAAGACGGTCTATTTCCTAAACGTAAAAAGCTTACAAAAAAACGAAAAAAACTAGTCTTTCCGAAGATACTTTGAAAAATTAAGCAGTTTCCGGTTTTCTAAATTGTTTTCGGCATGAAATATAGCTAAATTTGGGTAAAAAATGGCACATCTTCAAGAACAACTATGAAAATCCTGGTGTTCTAGCTGTGCAACTTGGGTGAAAAACGGTTTCTGCACGAACACCGGATACACCGATGACCAGAAGCGTGAATACTGCGCGAAGAGCTGCAACTTGTGCCAGGGAGGAGCCACCGGAGCTACAGCATCTCCCAATTGTAATGACGCATCAACAAAGTAAGTTTCTCCCTCTTTTCTCTCGCTCTCTTTCTCTCTCTCTCTCTCTCTCTCTCTCTTTCTCTCTCTCATCTCTGGCTAGACAGGGCACCGGGAAACCCACCGAGAGAGAAACTTGCACGATCACTATTAGCAATCCCCCGCAATCCACGAAATTACGTGGCAAATGATCCTGTTGAATTGAATCATAAGATGAAAGGCTAAAAACGCGACTCCGGATTGCTGCAAGTGACGCTAAAATTCCCAAAATAACCTCGGCTACGCCGGAAAACACATCACTAAATTACCCATTTCATTGAAATCTAGCTGTCCACTACGTATTATTTCATTTTTACGTTTGACGACTACAGTATCCACCAAAACCCCGCATTGTTTAGCTGCCCGGATTGGGTGAAGAACGGCTTCTGCACCAACCCCGTCTACACCGACGACCAAAAGAAGAAATACTGCGCCAAGAGCTGCAGTTTGTGCTGAGGAAAACTAGAATTACATCCCGAAAATCGACTTCTCATGATTGTACATAGTTAATAAACGTTATATCCCTAAAACGCACGCAAAATCGGTATTCTATCGTAATTTCTTATTATCGACGCGGAAAACCTTGTTTTTTTTTGCCCAAGAACCCAGTTGTTCTAATATAAATAGGGACCATGTTTCTAAACTTGCTTTTACTATTCCTAAACTTAAAATCTTTACACATTGTTGTTAATAATTACAAAAAAAAATAGATTTTTCAAGGTAAAATGGCTGATTTTCGACGAAAATTCAAGTTTTCTCATGTTTTAATCGTTTTTTTCGCTTGAAATATAGTTGCGTTTTACTAACAACATGATTAAAACAATTATTATAACGTTATTAGGCATTTCTAGCGCTATATTCTCTAGCTCAATCGGCGCATCCGGAAGTTTAACGGGAATTTCTTGGGCAGGCTCTAGCCTAAAGACAACTACAGAGAAGTACTGAAATCATGACCGTATGGGGTTGTTATACGTCGTAAATTCTGGACCTAAACCTTTAAAAAAACACGCTATTCTCTAGCTGAATCCGTGCAACCGGAAGTTCGACTCCCCCAGGGGAGAATGGGTATTCCTGGCGGGTCAAAAGAGAACACGCAATCACCCACCCATCAACATCCGTCTCGCGCATTTCATCTTTGAACGGACAATCGGCCATCCACCCGTTTCATCATTTCACTCCATCAAGCCAAGAAATGGAAGGAAGGAAGGCGACGCGCCAAAACAATCAACGGGTACACCGGAAAAGCCGGCAGATAGTGGAGGCATTGGTTAAAAAACTAATTAATAAAGTATCTTAAATTTAAATTAATTAATTAATAAAGAATCGAAAAATTAGAACCAAGCCTTTAATTAATACAGAAACTCGAAATTTCAAACGTAATAGCCTCACTTCACGTTGAGTTTTTCTATAAAGCTTTAATCATTAAAATACGACCTTTCTTACAATACCATCTCCTTTAAAAATTTCTGCTACTTCTAAAATCACCATTTTCCAGTCACTTAAAGTCATCTGAAGTAGATGCGAGTGAACGTCTAATTGTCGATTTTACGCTTATAATTTTTCCGATCGAAATAAGGTTCATCAAAAAATTCCACTATAGTCATAGAAACTCTTCCATCACAAAATCTCGAGAAACCGGAAATTAGCGTTCTAAAATTAAGGTAGGTAATTTCGTAAGCGTGTCTATTTGTACGATATTGATGTTTTTATTATTAGCTTCCGAAAATTACGAAAATTACGAAAATAGCCGATGTACAAAAGGCTAGTTCCCATTTCAGCGCCATCTTTAGTCATTTTGCCTCTCGCCACCCTCGCCGCATAGCAAAAACAATAACAAATACACGATCAGGATTTCGCGATCAGTAGATCAGATTTTGGAGAGCGAAGTATCAAGGGTACGATCAACAAGGGGCTGCCTGGGGTGATCACTGAATAGGGGAATCCTAGTGAAATTGAATACTACAACCCGGATAGGCGATTTAGTGTCCTTTAACGTGGCTGGGAAGGCAGATATGCAATTACGGTAGGGAATACTATATGGACCATAGGTATATTTAGTTTTCGATCAATCTTACCATCCCAAATGTAACGTCAATTTTTAAGCTTCTTTTAAAGTTGCCAAAAACACCTCTTTTATTATCATACTAGCCTTTCAAGCTTAAACAACTAACATCGATTTATTTAATGCCAAAAACAACGAAAAACGATTTAATACTATTTTGAAGCTTTGCAATTCGCGATATTCAATCATTCTCACCTTCCCCAGGCCTCTTAAAAATTTACGAAACTTATTAAAAGTTATATTTTAGTATTTTCTATATCTTAAACACCACACTATCTATCTATCTATCTTGTTATTTAGCGTACAAGAACGTGTTCTTCGCATTATCGGGGGTGGGGATCGAATTCACAATTTTCCTACAAGTCAAGAAATGCCAGTAAGTATTTTTAGCATACTTTAACCAGATTCCAAGTGAAACAAAACGATAAAAAACGTGTAAAAAAAAGTCCCACTCAAAATTTTTGTCGAAAATCGGCCATCTTGGGTCGAAAACCCAATATTTTTTGTATTTTTTAATGAGAAGTTGTAAAGTTTTTGCATTTAGGGATAGTAAAAATAATTTAGAAGCACTCTCGCCATTGAGTTTAGAAAAATCCGGGTCTTAGAAAACAGTTGTTTCCCTCTCCGATAATGCGATAAACAAAAAAAAACTACAAAAACACTTTACCAACTCTTTAAAAATTCTATTCTTGTAAAATAACGCCTATTTTTACATCGACGACATAATGAACGTATTTCCTTAAAGCTCACCGCTACCTCCCGGTCCGCCGGCCAAAAATAGAGCCGGGCGATTGGGGCGGCGTATCATTTGTCGATGAACTGTGGGGGGTGAGTGCGGTGATTGATGATGGCTCTCCCTTGATCTCGTGTTAAATTGCACCAAATATGGTAAATCTCAGCCCCGCATCCGGCTCCGCCCATAATAACCCGAATATAAGGAGCACCAAGTCGGTGGATGAGCATCAGCAATCAGCTACTTACTGTCTACACAGCTACCGACAAATCAACAAACCGAAGCAACAATGGTTCATGTAAGTTTTTGAACAATTCTTTTAGCTTCTGGGGTTCTAAAAACTATTAAAAAAAGCTCCAAAGTCGAAGTCTAAGCTATGCCTAAGCTTCTTAAGCCAAGCCTGAGTCTAAGCGAAGCAGGAACCTAAGCCTAAGCCAAGCCAAAACCTAAGCTAAGCCTAAGCTAAGCCAAAACCTAAGCCAAGCCTAAGCAAAGCCTAAGCCCAAGCTAAGCCTAAGCTAAGCCACAACCAAAGCCAAAGCCTAAGCTAAGCCACAACCTAAGCCAAAGCCTAAGCTAAGCCTAATCCGAAGCATAGTTCTATTAAAATACAATTTTCTATTAACATTATACAAAAAGATACCGAGCTTTCCATCACAAAATGGCCAATTTTCGAGATTTCTGGAAGTATAAAAAAATTAGGCCTCCCCCACCCCCCGATAATGCAAAAGCACCAAAAATATAATGATACTTCAGCTCGAGGAAGCCGCTATCAAGAAGATGGAGGACCGCATCGCGCCCCTGATGAAGAAGCTCGAGACCCATCCCCTCTACAAGGCCGTCCAGAACCTTGAGCAACTCCGCGTTCTGATGGAGAACCACGTATTCGCCGTGTGGGATTTCATGGCTCTTCTCAAGGTATAGAATCGTTAAAAAAACAGAATTATTACTTTTTTTCAGTTCCTCCAAGTCGAGCTCACTTGTGTATCGGTCCCATGGAGGCCCGTCGGCAAGAAGGACTCTCGCCGTCTCATCAACGAGATCGTCTGCGCCGAGGAAAGCGACCAGATTGGTAAGGAACAAAAGTTAGCTATAAAAAGCATAGAAAAACACAAAAATTTTTCGCTTTTTGGTCAAAACGTATGTAAAATGACAATAAAAATCTATTAAAGCCTTTCAGCTTACCTAAAACGTCTAAATCTAAAACTAATTCGTCTAAAATTCTTCTAAAAACCCCTTTCTTTAGCCGGACGCAACATCTCGCACTTGGAGCTGTACCTCGAGTCGATGGAGGGTTGCGGAGCCCGCACTCGCCCGATTCAACGACTCCTCGAGCACTTCTCCAAGCAGGCCAAGCCCGATATCTCTGACGCCGCCCTCCAGAAGGTGAGCAAGAGATCGAGCTCCATCTTTATAGCTTCTCCAATAGATTAGAAAAGCTACAGTAAGACCAAACATAAATCCAAAATTCCAGGCCTTCGCCGAGTGCGAGGTCCCCGCCCCGGCCGCCCGCTTCATGCGCCACACTTTCGAATTCGTGCGCACCGGCAAGCTGCACATTGTCGCGTCGGCGTTCACTTTCGGCCGCGAAGACCTGATCCCGTTGATGTTCACCGGCCTGCTGAAGGACATGAACCGCAAGATTGGCGGCGGACTCGACACCTTCATCCAGTACCTCGAGAGGCACATTGAGGTAAGCTGGAGCCAAAAAAACTGGATAGAAATTACTATTTGCAACGCGGAGACGGCCTCTCTTGTGCAGAATTTTGCGCCATTCCAAATCTGTTTCCAAAATTGACCAAACGGCCAGATTCAAAAAGGTATGGAGGCTTTAGGTGCGAAAAAGGCCCAAAACGGTCCAAACCTTTTCGCCTCATAACTTTTTAATCTGGCCGTTTTGTCTTTATTGAAGACCGATTCGGAATCAGAGCAAAATTCTGAAGGTAGACTCGATAAGCACTTAAAAAACATCTCTCTGTAAGCCAAGAACAACAGTGTAGCAATCTACTCTTCCAGGTCGATGGTGATGAGCATGGCCCGATGTCCCTGCAGATGGTCTCCGAAATCTGCGGCGCCGAGGGTGACCCGAAGTGGGCTGAAGCCGGCGTCGCCGCCGAGCAGGCCCTCCAGGCCCGCATCGACCTCTGGGACGGTGTGGTCGAGGAGCTCAAAAAAGTCCCCTGCTAAATGTATATATTTATCGCGCAGTTTTAATAAAGATATCGTTCATACTTGCTCTTTGTTACGAAGAGGATCATTCAATGCATAACAGTTCACCAGAACCTGGGAATTGGTGCAGAATTCCAAAATTGACTGTAAGCTTTAAAAGAATTCTCTATAAGGTAGCGCAAAAATGCCCCATTAGGCCATATTGGGTATTTTCACATTCTAAAGACTCATCCTTGTGGGATTTCCTCGGTTTTTCGCGTTTATTTCATGAAAATGAAAAAAAGTTCTTTATACCTAAAAAAATAAATAAAATACCTAAAATCCCTAATTTGACCTTTAGATTATGCTCCAATACATTGACTTACTAAATACGGTCTGTTAATACGGAGCTTAACCCAATAATAATTATTACACAACGTTTTCTTAGCAGATTCTGCCGTGCGGACCAATTTTCTAATTGCCCAAAAATCGTTTCAAGAAAAAAAATCGTTCTTCGCTTTTGCTAGCGTAATCGGTACGTGGCGCTCCGATCGACGGTACTCGTGTTTCGCCGGACAGTTATTTTCAACCGGCTGGTCCTACGATTTTTTCTTGACTTTTTGGAATCGAACTTTTGAAGCCAGCGCAAAATATCTTATTTTAGCCTTTCCAGACGCTTCTATGTGAGCACCATTTGTGCCTGCGTCGGAATAGTAGAGCTGGAAATTGCGTAACGCTCGGATTACCATTTTTGGGGGGTCTTGTGAACCTGAATCTTCTCATTTCAGGTGTGCCTGGATTCGCCAAATCTCGCTTATTCAATTAGTTATATTTACTCCTTATTAGCCTCGTAAGCTTGCTTTTGCTACAGCGCCTTTATTAGGCTCGTAGGCTGGGTTTGTCGATTGATCACAGCGGCCCGGCTCCTAATAAAACGTCCGGCAGCTTTGGAAAGGAAGGAAGACCGCAACCGTGGTAGGCGCGTCGCGCAATTGCAAAGCGGGCCTGGCAGTTAAAACCGGTTGCTATTCCGCGCACCCGCACGCAACGCGCGAAAAACACGCACAGTACGCCCTTTTCCTTGAACCATCTGGACCGAACCCATGGGCGGTTGTGTGATATCTGTCGATGGGAAAGGCGACCTTTTGGGTGATGCGGCCTCCATATCGCGCCATATCGGATGTATTTTATGGCTCGTTTCTCTATTCTACAGTCCCTCATTTGCTTGCTTTTCTGCGTCTCTCGCGAATCCACGTTTTCATGGATCGTCTGCCCCTGTCCACGACACGGGACGGCGATTTTTTGGCTGACTCCGCCCAATCGGGGCTCCATAAATAGCAGCCGGTGGCACACAAAATTGGCCGGTTCCTAACTCGCTAGGACAGGGCTTTGCTGGCAGGTAGGTTTGGAAGGTGAAGGAGCAGACGAGAGACGTGTAGCAAATCGAAATCCGACAACTTTTTTATTGCCCGGGTTCACAAGATAGGATCGCGACCCATGACCCCGCCTATCTGTTTCTGTTGGGTGGCGCGATCGTTATCTCCAGTATCCCCATTTTTCGGGACGGATCTCGTAGCCGTAGACTTTCGAATAGGGTCTGGGATTTTCCTTTGACCGCCAGACAGAGTCACACACGCGCTCAGATATTGACTCCTACTGTGCATCCAAACTTTCTTCTGCTGTCCTCTATCCAACAAGGGGTCACCGAGTTACTTTTGATTTTTCAGGGTAAAACATAATGACGGTGGACAGCAAGCTCCCCTACAAGGTTGCCGACATCTCGTTGGCCGACTTCGGTCGCAAGGAGATCATCATGGCAGAGAACGAGATGCCCGGTCTGATGGCTATGCGCGCCAAGTACGGAAAGACCAAGCCCCTCAAGGTATTTTTGTTTTATTTGTTTGCAATTTTCGATAGGGTGCTCGGATCGCTGGCTGCCTGCACATGACCATCCAGACCGCGGTGCTCATCGAGACTCTGACCGAGCTGGGAGCTGAGGTTCAATGGTCGTCGTGCAACATTTTCTCCACCCAGGTGAGGAGAAATTTAGCTGAACTATATTCACCGACGGGTTCAAGCGATTTAACTGTAAATCGAGCAGAAAATTTTTTTTCTTTGCTTGGCTTTTGTCTGGAAATTACGTTTTTTTTCAGGACCATGCTGCCGCCGCCATCGCCGCCACTGGCGTGCCCGTCTACGCCTGGAAGGGTGAGACCGAGGAGGAATACGAGTGGTGTGTCGAGCAGGTTTTTTTCTTTCCCAGAGTTCTGATCTTTCGCCTTTTAGACCATCGTCTTCCCCGATGGAAAGCCGCTCAACATGATCCTCGATGATGGCGGTGACCTGACCAACATCGTGCACCAGCGTTACCCCCAGTACCTGGAGGGAATCCGTGGACTCTCAGAGGAGACCACGACCGGTGTGCACAACTTGGCGAAGATGCTCGAGAAGGGAGACCTGAAGGTATGAAAGCGCTTTCTCTATATTGATTCCTACTTTTCTAGGTCCCGGCCATCAACGTCAACGACTCCGTGACCAAGTCGAAGTTCGACAACCTCTACGGAATTCGTGAATCCCTGATCGACGGTATCAAGCGCGCCACGGATGTTATGTTGGCCGGAAAGGTGGCTGTTGTCGCCGGATACGGAGACGTCGGAAAGGGATCCGCCGCTTCGCTCCGCGCTTTCGGCTCTCGCGTCATCGTGACAGAAATCGACCCCATCAACGCCCTTCAGGTTTGTATATTGATCTTTTACAGCATAACTTTTTAATTTCTAGGCCGCGATGGAAGGTTTCGAGGTCAAGACCCTTGAGGAGGTCGCTTCGATCGCCAACATCATTGTCACCACCACCGGATGCAAGGGAATCGTCCGCGGCGAGCACTTCGAGGCCCTACCTGATGATGCCATCGTCTGCAACGTTGGACATTTTGACTGCGAGATCGACGTCAAGTGGCTCAACGCCAACGCCGCCAAGAAGGACACCGTCAAGCCTCAGGTTAGATTAACTTATTCATTCTCTTATTATAGATATATTACTCATATCTTTTAGGTCGATCGGTATACGATGAAGAGCGGACGTCACGTCATTCTCCTCTCCGAGGGGCGCCTGTGCAACCTTGGTAACGCCACCGGACATCCTTCTTTCGTCATGTCGAATTCTTTCACCAACCAGGTATAAATTCCATTTAATTTAATTTAGCATCCCTTTTTTCAGGTTCTCGCCCAAGTCGAGCTGTGGACAAAGTGGGGCACCCCGGAACAATACAAGCTGGGACTCTACGTGTTGCCCAAGACCCTCGACGAGGAAGTCGCCCGCCTTCATTTGGACAAGCTCGGGGTCAAGTTGACGAAGCTGACCACCGAACAAGCCGAGTACCTTGGAGTGCCACAGAACGGACCTTTCAAGCCCGACCATTATCGCTATTAAACCGGAATTCACCCTTCCTCGTATCTCACCTTGCATTGTTACGTTGTGTCTAGTTTGTTGTTTTTTGAGATTCCACCATACATAATACTGAACACTGAATAAACAGAATTTCAGAAGGGAATTGGCGCTCAAAAACGTTGCACTATACGCGTAAATACACTAATTTTACTTACTTACAATTTGGTCAATTGTCTACAGTGCTTCTTGAAAATCCATAAATCCCTCACAACCGCCCAGTTCGGTCCCAATGGCTCCCGGAAAGCGTTCTGTGTTTGCCGGGGCGTCCGTTTGCTGGCCTTGTTCCGCGCGCGCGTCTTTCGCCGCGTCGGTCTTTCTTGTTTCTTCCCCGGCGTTTTTTTGGCGCCGGGCCCGCCCGTTTGCCCGTTATTTGTTTCGCAAGACGCATCCACAATCTGGGCCGGGCGATAGTCTGTGACTGTCGGAGTCCTGCGACGGTGCTCTCTTCTCTGTACCTGTGCTCTAGCCGAGCCAGCCATGCAAAGGCAAATAGTGGAGCCTTTCATTCCAGCGCACCCCCGCCGATTAATACGCGTGGGATATCCCCCGTTAAAGGCATCGATTTGCCGTTTGAGGCTCTTCTCGGCTACCACCTTCCCCTAATACGCCCGGAAACGGATATGCCCGCAGCCATTCTCTCGTCTAATATTTTCACAAATAACAAACCTTTCTTCATTTTAGCGGCCGCTCTTCGGCCTGCAAAACGCGGCCAACATGTCCATTTCCGCCATCTACATTCTGGACATGAAGGGCAACGTAAGGAAAAATTGTTCGCCAATTTAGCACCTGTTTAGGTCATCGTCTCACGAAACTATCGGGGAGACGTTGAGCCCAGCTGCATCGACCGCTTCATGCCCCTTGTGGTTGAGAAGGAAGATGAGGGTCGACCATCTCCCGTCATCACTGAAAGGGACATCACCTACATCTATATAAAATACACCAATGTCTACAGTAAGTTGCTTTTCCCGCATCCACAAACCCAATTTAGTGGTGGCGGTTACAAAGAAGAACAGCAATGTAGCCCTCGTCCTATCCTTCCTGTACAAATGCGTTGACGTCTTCAAGGAGTACTTCAAAGACCTCGAGGAGGAGTCTGTCAGGTCCGTTCTTGAGGGTTGGTTGGCAAAGAAAAGTTTAGGGATAACTTTGTGATCATCTACGAACTTTTCGATGAGATGATGGACTTTGGATATCCGCAAACTACAGAAGGGAAAATCTTGCAAGAGTATGTTTTCGTATTCCTTTCTTATTCCGTTAAAGGTACATTACACAAGAAGGGCACCGTCTCGAAGTTGCGCCGCGGCCTCCAATGGCTGTCACCAATGCCGTTAGCTGGAGAAGTGAGGGCCTCAAATATCGGAAGAATGAAGTGTTCCTCGACGTCATCGAAAGTGTCAATATTCTGGTAGTTTTTGTCTATTTTTATGACTGTTTTATGTAGGCTAACTCTAATGGCACCGTCCTGCGCAGTGAGATTGTCGGGTCGATTCGAATGCGCGTGATTCTATCTGGGATGCCGGAATTGAGGCTTGGGCTCAATGACAAGGTCGCCTTCCAAACAGCTGGAACTGCTCGTAAGCAATAAGGAGATTTTGTAAAATCTGTTTTAGGCAGCGGAAAGGGCGTCGAATTGGAAGACGTCAAGTTCCACCAATGCGTTCGACTGTCCCGATTTGATGCCGAGCGTACGATTTCTTTCATCCCGCCCGATGGTGAATTTGAGCTGATGAGCTACCGGTTATCGACACAGGTAGATTTTCTCTACAATGCAAGCCTTAATTTTAGGTGAAACCGCTGATTTGGGTAGAAGCTGAGGTGGAGAAACATCCGAATTCGCGAGTCGAATATGTGGTCAAGGCCAAGTCTCAGTTCAAGCGCCAATCGATTGCAAATCATGTGGAGGTAAGTAGCTTGGGCTTTGTAGAGGCCACCAAAACTTTGTAAAAATGCTTCTCAATCTAATTTCTATTATTGTTTTTTTGCCTTTTGCCCTAAAAAATTTCTGTTTGCAATTTTCTATTTTTAGGTCATCATCCCTGTCCCTTCCGATGCCTATGGACAAAAATTCCGTACCAGCATAGGCACGGCCAAATACGCTCCAGAACAAAACGCCATCGTTTGGACGATTCGTAGTTTCCCAGGTTTGTCGCCGTATACTCGTAAAATACATTAATTTGTTTAGGTGGTCGCGAATATCTGATGCGCGCCAGTTTCCTGTTGCCTTCGATCTCGAGCGAGGAAGAGCAGGGCAACCCGCCGATCAACGTCAAATTCGAGATCCCTTATTATACGACATCTGGGCTCCAGGTTAGCTTGATCTTCAATGAGATCTTTCGGGTTACTACTTCTACTTCTAACAACTCTATTTCATTAGGACAGTCAGATCCACGACTTCCGGTATATCTTTCTCGTGTGTTTGGCTAGATTGTTTGTGCGCATGATAGTGTTACTTTCTGGCATGCCTGTCTTGCCTTGCGTCGTTCGAATGCGGTAGCTATATCTTCTTTGTCAGGGTTAATTTTCTTTTTTTCAGGTCCGATACCTGCGCATCATCGAACGGTCCGGCTACCAGGCGCTTCCCTGGGTCCGCTACGTTACGCAGAATGGAGACTATCAAATCCGCTCACGCTAGATCGGCTATACGCTAACTTCTCGTTATTTTTGGACCTTTTTGTAGACCGTTTACTACTTGTAACCGCTTTTGCTAGACCAAAAACTTAATATAGCAGAGTTTGGCTCACTGTTTTTTTTTGCATGAATCCACTCACGTACCCAGCCTTTTCTTTTTTTTCTCTGCTGCCGTACCCTTTCCGATTGCCTTGTGATGCATCCCTGTTGTGTACCCTGTTTCAAAATGTGATACAATCAACCCAAAAAGTGCCCTTCTCGTCCTGGAGTTTGCTTGATTTCTATTGGACTTACCACCTTGGTTAGCGACAAATTGTAATTAGATATCTTTTGGCTACAAATAGTCAGAGTTCTCCGCTCTTCTCCCCCACTTCTAATCATCGTCCTGGATTGGCGAATCGTTTTGTGATATACTCGGAATTATTAACGCTGTTTTTGGTTTGAAAATAAAATTTTAAGGGCATAGAAGCAGAAGTTTTACGTGCGAGTGACAAATCCGAACAGATACATTGTACATCTAAGGTACTTGAGTACCTTATGGTACAACGACGTCGACGGAAGAATCGACGCTTTCGGTTTCAAAACCGTAGTGTGCTGAAGAGATCAAGTGCTCGCGGAAACGGTAGGCGAATTTTATAATTCTAGAGAGATAATTATCTAGATTTAAATGTAGTATAAACGCGCAATCGTCGAATATAAAAATATGAATAGTCCAGGGTATTTAATGATACTTTATAACCTCTTCCTAGCCGTGTCTGATACAACTACTGCCACAAAGCAGTAATACCGTCCAATCATCCTCCCCCATTCGCCGCGTCGTCCAGTCGGCCCCTCCGGGCGGGTTTTGTCTGTTTGCGCTTGCCTAGAAACATGGGCGGAGAACGTCGCCCGCGGGGCGGCCCGGGGCTCGATCTAGTTGTGAACATGGGCTGTGCTCTGACGTTTTTGACGCCCTTCTCCCCGATGAGGGGGCGGACGAGTGGGGGGAGGGCTCTTCGTCAATCCAACCATCCCGTCTTCAACACCCACGATCCGATTCCTCGTCTCACCGTTTTTTCCGATCCCTTCTCGCGGGGACCCCCATCCATCCTATTCAGCTCTCCGCCTATCGCTTCGTATCGATGTTCATCCGATGACGAAATTGCGGACAGGCTTCACCCGCCCACTTTTTTTCAACGCAAAGAGCCAGAGCGTGGCGGAACGAGCTGATTCTTTTTTGTCGATCTCTAACGTTGCCGAGGCAGCAAGAGCTGTTCGCAATGGGAACTAATTTCTGATTGAGAGAGCGTTTATGAGTTTTTTGTTAGGCTCGATGATGAAATCCAATGAAATCTTCTAGAATCCCGTCATCAGTTTTATTTAATAGGACGACTTATAACTAGTTTAGTAGAACGTGAGTCCGGCCTTTGAATTTTTTCGGGTTTTTAGGGTGCAGAACAATATAAATTTTACATTACCGGCATAAACTGCGGATCAAGTACTTCTCAGCGCCGTTAAAGCCGGGGGTGAATCCCGCCTAACTGATTTGGTACTGGACTGTTAGCGGGGGAGATTTTTGATAATATATAGGATATTTTTATCGCGTTTATAGGAGTTTTTAAGTGCTAGAAAGTTACAAAAGTGTTTTGAAAAATTTTGGAAATTTTGGGCTTTTAGGTCTTTTCCATACATTTTTTAACAAAAATTGAAAATTTATCGACAGTTTTAAAATTTTGTATGTGCTTTTTATAGCTGAAAACGGTGTAAAATGCCAAAAAAAATTTTTTTTCCTGTTTTTTTTTTGGTTTTTTTTTGGGGTTTTGTTTTCATTAATTTTCCCCTGTTAAAAAACACCCCACCCCCACTAACAGTCGAACTTCATCCCTGGATCGCCGCTCTTTTGCGTGGACCTGTCAGCAGGAACAAATGCGCCCAGGGCATGCTCGTCTCATCCATTAGGAGGGTCTCCTTTTCAGGACGTTAGTGCAAATGGGTCCTCGGGCTCTGTTTGGCCTGTGTTTGGCCCCCCTTCCTCACCCTGCGCGTCTATTGATGTGGAACGGAGCGCCGCGTCAGCACACAGCCCCCCAACCACCCAGCCCTCCCTCAAAGCCCCGCCCCTATTCGAAGGCCTTCGGGGGATCTGAGAGTGAGAGAAAGAGACCGTTCTCCCTGTCGCTCAACCCAAGCTTCCACCTCCATTCAACCCATCCACCCGGTCGGTACTGGGTCGACCGGCCCTCTGGGGGATCAGCCCTTTCTTGCGAAGCTTCAAGCCGCGGATTGATCCGTTTCCGTTGATTTTGCATGTTCTTTATTCCTTTAGTCTGTGTATTTACTTATCTTAGAAAAGCGCCATGGCCTCTAATTTACGATTTTGTAAATTTTTTTAAATCCAATGGTTCCGTTTCCTGTTGATTTTCACATAGCTTTGACAGTTATATGATATATTTATTTAGTTAGGACGTTCTATTAATCTAGAAATTTGAAATCCGCCCTCAATTTAGTGTTTTTTCAATTGAAAATTGTCCTCACCTTTCGCTAATTAAATTTTTCCCAATATATTAATCCTTTCAAGTCAGGCCTATTCCAAGCAACTTCGCCTTCCCTATTCTGGCGGAAACAAGCAAAAACAGGCCTTTCCAGGACCCGCAATCAACTTGAGTGGCCAAAGAAGGACCCAGCCCCGGCCTTTCCGCTGCTCATTGGCCTGTAGTCATCCCCGGGAAGTACGCAATTATTTTGGGACTTCTTAGAGGTTTTCTTAAGTTTTCTTAGTAACGCGCAGACTTCTTGAATCCATTGGAATGCCCTAGTTTCTAAGTGCGCACGTCTTTGTGTGAGATCGATCCCCGTCTGAAGGCTCGGGATTTACGGCCCTGACCTCGGCCTGGCGACGATCTCGGCTCTACACCCATTTGCCCCCTTCCACCACCGGCAGCCCCACCATTTTTGAAGGCCAGTCATATTTACGAGCTTGGCCTGGGCGATTCTATAGCGAAATTGCGTCAGAACCCTGAGTTACGACCTTTTAATTACTGAGGTTACTTTAGAACTTCCACGCCGGTTTGCTATTTATTTTTCACCTAAATAATATTATTACATTATGAGCTCCTAAGCATTTAGATTATGACTTTTTAAGGCTTTCTAAACCTTTTTTATACACTTTTTTCGGCTTGGGATTCTTACAGCTTCTGTTTTACACGACCTTTTTACCAAAATTCGAAGCGAACTTTACTAGATTAAATAGAAAAGGCTAGATTTGACTTTTTAGAATTGTTAAACCGGCTTAATACTCCGTGTTACACCCAAACCTGTTTAGTCAATTTTGAGCCTGAACTTTACTCTCTCTCTCTCTCTTTTTCCGCTCATGCCCTGTTATTGGGCCAGCTCCAAAAGCGCCGGCGGTGACACACAGACAGCCTGGGAATGGCTAGTGTGTAGGGACAGGCGGCATCAGACAAACATTTCTGCAAAACAACATCCACCGGCGGCTACGTGGATCCGGGATCCGCAGCGGGGGCTGTGCGGGTTCAGATTGGCCAAACACCCCGGCGGACTGCATGTCGCTCTGCCAAACAGGCAGACGACTATCGGTCGATTTTCGATGCGAAAACAGGACCTTTGACACGCAGGCCGCCGCCCCATTGACCTAACTTTCTTCTTTTTTTTTCAGGTGAGAATGGCCAAGCGGATATTTTAGCTATATTTCCCCTTCTTTTAACTTTTAACATCGCTAGAGCGCCCTACAAGTTCTACAAGGAACTTCCCATTTCCATCGTTTTGCGCGATAGGAAAAGCAAAAGCGGAAGTTTAGTGCGCCCAGGGTGTCCTTCATCAATTGCTTGCCTTGCGGACATAAAAATGAACCTTGAGCGCCGCTTTCTGTCCTTTTATGCCCTTTTTACTGACTTTCTACTGTCAAAGCGCTGTTTCTTGGCTTTAAAAATAGACATCAAGCCTTTACAAACGATTTAACCCTTCTGGACCATCATGAATTCCGCATTTTCCACTGGATTGTGCGTTATCGCCTTATTTTTATTTCTGTTTCATCGATTTTTATTAGCTCTTGTCGTGTAAATTTTCATAGGACGGCTTCAAACAAAATATAGAGTTTATGAGCCATTTTGGGTTTTGCTAAAAAGAATTTCTAGTTTTCAAAATGTTTCCCACAAAATATCCGTTATGGACGCATTTTTATATATTTTTACTTGCCAGCCGGAATTATAACATTTTACTTGCCAAGCGTTTAAAGCTAAATATAAACCTTCTAAGCTATTTAACTTATCGCATCACAAATTCCTCGTTTCCCAAAATGTTTCCCCACCCAACTATCCAAACTGTGGCCCCAAAAGTGGACAGTGTGGGCCCTCCCAATCTCTCTCTATGTGTGTGCGTCGCGAGGGGTTAGTGTGCGTATGTTTGTGGTGACCCCTCGGGGCCCACCGGCTCTTCGCTGGGCCCTCTCTCTTCCCTCCAAACCAACTGGCCCTCACACACCCCGATTGGATAGGTCAAATCCGGTGTGTGGGGTGAGTCAGGGGCGTCTGGCAACACATCTTGGGCCCTTTCTCTCTCTTGGGCCACGGATCAATTGGCCACGCCAGTTCCACGATCCGAAAGGCAATCCCTTGTAATGAAGGTCAAATTTGTTGCTAACGAAGTGATTTACCTTGGGAATTTATTATGCTTATTTTTGGGCTTTTTCTCTATTTCTGTCCATTACTGTACTTATCGACAGCTTTTAATTATATATTTCTTTGGTGCAAACATTAAAATATAGTGAGACTATCTTACACCACAGTAAGTTTTTTAATCGTTTCTTTGTACATTTAGCTTTATATCGAACGGAAACCAAAACTTTTAGAAAACTTTGAAAATTCGTTGTTTTTTTGGTCGAAAATCGACCATTTTGGCTCGAAAAATCATTATTTCCTGTTTTTAGGCATGTTTCTGCAAAGCTATGCATTTAGCAATAGTAAAAAAAACTGTTTAGAAACACTTCCGATGTTTAGATTAGGTCAATTGGTTCCCACGGAAAAATAGTACGCTCTCCCCGGAAGTGTTAAAGAACGAGAATAACTTATAATCCAGTGCTCTAGGCATTAAAAATAGATATTTTGGTCATTTAGCCACCTAAAAATGTTGTTGAACAATTTCCCAGCCATTTCGCACCTCGGCGATCCTTTAATCCGCGCCCGGCTAGGTGGGCAATTATCCCAGTGATGCAACACCATCACATCCAATACCGACAGCCCGTATCTGCAAGCAAAATCTTTATCATTCCGCCTTCAGCTAGGCCCGCCCCCTGTTATAATGACGGGTGTGTGAGTGACGGGCCCTCCCTTTTTGGGCCAAACCAATTTCCGTGGATTTAGTCGCCATGTCCCGCCCCCCGATCCATCCATCCCTTCTAGGCCTTTCATCTCGCCTCGCTTTCGGGGGCTAGCAATGTTTATTTCAGATGGAGAGACACAATATTTCGAGGGCAGCCATCGATTTCCCGGGCATTTTCAGGCTTTTTGAATGAATTTCTGGCTTCTGGATTCATCGAAAGTTTTTGTCTTACTGAAATTCGGCCATAGAAAAGCTTTCAGAGTAATGAATTTTGGCATACCCTTGGAAATGTAATCTTTTATTTACTGGAATTTGAAGTTTGGAATGGATTTTAGGTTATGGGCTTTTGTTTTAGGCTATTTTTTTCACTTATTTTTATCTGAAAACAACCTTGGCTTTATGCCTATATATTTGTGAAGCCAAGACTATCGCGCTGCTTTCCAAAGGCGTGGCGATAGTCCCTAGCTTCTTCGGGGTTCCAGGGAACGTCTTATCTTGAGTCCGGTTTCATTGATCCAATCACGAATGCTGTACTTTTCACCGGGCTATTATTCCAACCCGGCCTTTTACTCTATTGTTATGGGCCAAAAATATTTTTAGGCTTTTCGGGCTTTTCAAAATAATTAGGTGATTTTCTGTATTGAATCTGGAAGTTTCGATCATCCTCTCATTGTCCGAGTCTCTATGAAATTGCCATTTAATTATTTTGTCTCTTTCCTTTTCTTGCTTTTTCTTCCGAAGCATCGATCGATTTGCAGGTAATGGAACAGCTCGGGCTGGGGCAGTATGCCGACTGGGAGTTGAATCTAGATATTGATATGCCCGAAGGGGCCCTGCTAATGAAAGGCGCCGATCCCGTGCTGGCCGATATCCTCGAGGTAAATTCTTATCGGAATATCACTAGTATTCCAAATGACTTTAGTCGGACCGCGTACTTTTCGCGGGAATTGACGACCTCGACTTGCCACTTGACGAGGACGATTTTTGCAATGGGCTAATTAAAGAAATTGATGGTTTGTTTTTAGGCTATTCTCGGCTAAAAATGACTTCTTTAGCTTGTATTACAAGCTATTTTTGCCCCTTAAATTTATTGGGTTGAATTTCTAAATTTTTAAAACCCCATTTGCACAATTTTGCCAAATCTACTGCCAGCTTATCACACGTTGCGTCATAATGTTTTGACAAGTCGACTCATGCAAGCCATAGAGGGCTGGCGACGGCTATTTCGCAACCCGAAGCGAGGTTCCAACGTGGCCTCGGCCAGCTGGGAAAGAAAAGAGTTGGCACCAACCAGCCAGTCGTACCCCACCCACACCCAGCACAACAACAAGCATAGGGAAATGGGGGTTCGGAAGGGGAAGGGGGACCCAGGGATTAAATAAAAAAAAATCCAAAGTGATTGACAAAAAACGTCGCATAGGCGCTAAAAATAAAGTTTTTCAGGCATGGAGCAAGAGCACCAAGACGATGAGCACAGCTACGCAGCGTCAGCTTTCTCCCCCGGTGGATCGGATCGTGGCAGCTCACTCGGAAGTGCCTGCGCGTCATCCCCATCATCAGATTGTGGGTTTTAAAATGTATATAATGCGGCTGAATGTCGTTTATGAAGCGTAGTATTTGTTAAATTAATAAAACCTATAAGAGATCGCAAAAGGAGAAAATTGAGCTAATTTGTAAGAGTTTGTATATTTAATTTCTCGCTTATAGCATACGATTTATTCAGCTGTTCTAGACGTCTTTAATAAATTGAGCTTTGAAGATAAAGCTACCTTGGAAAATTGCCAACCCGCTATTTGCCTTACAAGGAGATGGTCTCAGCTGGGAATCGAATTCGGATTTGAAAATTTGCACACTTATAGAGCTCGACGAGACAAATCGATTGGTGTAACTTTCAGCTGCTGATACAATAACCACGCCGAGTTATAAGCATTTTAAGTTTTTGCATACATTTTGCAATAAATTCGCCGTAGCTTCATAGGCCTTCCCCGCCTCCCCCATCACCGTGCTCTGGTGGCCTAGTGGTGTAGTAGGCGGGCTCCGGGGAATCTAACGAGGGTTCGAACCCGCTCACGATTTTTATTTTTTGCTTTTTCGTCCAAAGGTTCCTCTTTGCTTTCTGAAGGCCTTGAATAGCTTTTTACGCATTATTTTAACTGATCTGATGCGCAGACAACATAACTTCACCGTAAAAAATTTTTCTTACTGTGCATGGAGCCCTTGTCCAACAACCTATGACTATCATTCCCAAAAAAATTTTCGCTTATGAAAATTTTTGTTCGGATAACACACCATTTACAATAAATTACGTTTACTCCTCGATTTTTCATATACTTTGAATTTTCAATTTATTTTGGGATCTGCATAGTCCTTTCGGGTAAAAAAATCTAATTTTTTTTCAAAGAGATTTTTTTAGCCATTTCTCACCAGAGGATTTAAAATAATGCGTAAAAAGCTATTCAAGGCCTTCAGAAAGCAAAGAGGAACCTTTGGACGAAAAAGCAAAAAAATAAAAATCGTGAGCGGGTTCGAACCCTCGTTAGATTCCCCGGAGCCCGCCTACTACACCACTAGGCCACCAGACCACGGTGATGGGGAGGCGGGGAAGGCCTTGAACTACGGCGAAAATATTGCAAATGTATGCAAAAACTTAAAATGCTTATAACTCGGCGTGGTTATTGTATCAGCAGCTGAAAGTTACACCAATCGATTTGTCTCGTCGAGCTCTATAAGTGTGCAAATTTTCAAATCCGAATTCGATTCCCAGCTGAGACCATCTCCTTGTTAGGATTAAGCCCATCATGCCATGGGCCCACAATTTCCGGTCCCTTTAATGGCAGATCAACGCGGTTCCCTTTTTGATTATCTCGGCCGCGCGACAGGGCCAATATTTGTCGGGGCACGGGCCCTTGACCCCTGGCCGATCTTGTGCCCTGCTATTCCGGTGTTTGGTGTCTCTCGGAATAACTCGACGCCCAATTTCAGCCTCTGCCTCCTACAATGTCGACTACCTTCAGATGAGCGCCAATGAGGCGTTACAATATGAGGTTTGTGTTTTGTTATATTTTTATGGATTATATTTATTTAGGACGCCTCCGCCCTAGACAACTACTACGAGCCACAACCCCGTAAAACGATACCAGCAAGGTAAGGAAATAACTTTTGGAAGATTCTGAGATTTTCAGTAAAAGCAGCTTCTAACAAAAAAATTTTAGCAACACAACCCGGCCAATCCTTCAACAACACAAAACCGGCCAGCCAGGTGTCATGCGATACAGTAGGTTTTTGCAAAATTCCTACAATTGAAAATTCAAATTTGATGCGTTCTCTTACCCTTACCGCTCGCTGAAGTGTTTTCGCAGTAAATTCCAGTCATGGGGGCGTCCTTGCGCCTTTTTGGGGGCGCTCTTTTCCGGCTTTTTCGGGGGCAAGGCGGAGGCGGGGATGACGTCGCCTATTAGGGGAACCCCCGGAATGGAATGGCCGATTCTGACGCGGGTATTTCGGGAAATTGGGCGAAAATTGTTGAAAATAGTTTTTGTTAATAGAAAACGCGAAAACGGCTATACTAAATAAAGTTAAGGTTAGCTTTCGTAAACTTTAAAAACTATTATGGTTTGTTGACACGCTAAAAATCCAATATATTCTCTACTTTTGAGGGGCTTCACGATGCCGCAAATAGTTTTTCATCCGCGACGAAAATCCCATAAAATATTGTCTATTGTTGAGCGTTTTTTCCAGCATTTCGCTTTGGTCTACGCATCCATATTTCAAAGGCCAATCCCAATTCTGAATTTTCCCTTTTTGCCCTGCACGCGCGCCGCCCGAATTATTTGACAAAACGCGCCGGCCGGCTATTGTTGGCTTAGCGGACCGGCGGCGGTCCGGCTGGCGACCGGTGAATATTAGTAGTGTGCGGGCGGGCGGACACGATCGCCCCGATCCTTCCACAGGGGGTATTGATCATCGACCGCGCCACATCGGCGCGCCCTTTCACACCCCGGCCCATCTCCAAAACGGGACGATTCTATACTTTTTTTTGACGGTGGGGATCGGCTGCAAAAAAGTCGCACGAAATCCAATAATATCGGATTTGAAAGTGGCGTGGTGAAGGGAAAGTGGAAGCGAAAGGATGTGAATTTTTTTGTCGTTGGAAAAGTCGAAAATAAAAAAGCCAGGAAATCTTTAAAAAAGCTGTGTTAATACGCTACGCACCGATTCGAAAGTACAGTCAAATCCTGCGCTTAAACAGCCGGTTTTTATTTTGGAAAAGTCGAAAATCCGGAAAAAATCTTAAAAACTGAAAAGAGCTCTGGGCGCTGCGTTAACTACGCTACGCAACGTGGCGAACAAAGGCCTAAATTGCCCTAGAATGGTTTATGATTTCTCGTCTGAACAAAAGTGATTGGAGTACGCTACTTCACGATACGAGCAGTTCCAGAACCTAGATTTGTTTACATTTTCTCGCCTGAACACTCGCCCACCCACTCAATACCCTCGAGAGCTGATTGTTTATGGATTTGATGGCACCGGGGGGCGAGGGTCAAGGCCCACAAACCCCCAGGGTACATACCGCGGATGCAACCAAATTATATTAGCCCGCGATCGCGATCTGGGCACAGATTGGATCGCGGCCAGCAGCACAGTGAGATCCACCCCAATTCGATTTCGCCCCCAAAAAAACGCAAAAAAACACGGTCAGCTGAGTGGGGGATGGGGAGAATGGGGTCAGAACTCCGTTTTTGGGGTCCGGGCGAGAATCGGGAAAAGCCGGGGGTGCGGGATGTGAAGGAAATGAAAGGAAAAATGACAAAATAGCAATTTTTCTATTAAAATTAAGTTGGTGATAGTATTGCTTTAAAGAACGTTTTCCAGGACCAATCGGCCGACCCGGTGCAGCCAGCAGTCTCGTAACCCCTGCCACTTCATCGGGTGCTGGAACGACAAAACTTACCCCAGGTACTACTGCTTTGCTTTTGGCTCTCTCTCTCTCTCTCTCTCTCTCTCTCCCCCTCTACCAATATCGTCTAGTATCCCATTCTTTTTGTAAACCTTTATTTGTTGCAGCAGTCGGCGAGAGAACGCGGAAGTACCCACCGCTCGTGCTCACCGAGGAGGAGAAGCGTCTATGCAAGAAGGAGGGCATCACACTCCCCGAACACTATCCACTCACCAAGGTACGGTAGCCGAGTCCTTTTTTAGGGATGTCGAAAATTGCCAAATTCGGAAAATCATCGGGTGTTTTTAAACCATGATTTCTTGATATTTGCCATTTAATTAATTAAATAAAACAACGGTGGCTGCATAAAATCAAAAATATTCAAACTTCTCAAATCTTTCAAAACCATTTTCCTATTTCCAGGCCGAAGAGCGTGACCTCAAGAAGATCCGCCGAAAAATCCGGAACAAGCGCAGTGCCCAGACGAGCCGCAAGCGCAAGCAGGTCAGCCGTTTTGCAATTCCCCCAGAGGCCATTCCGAATAACAGTTCATCTCCACCATCACACAAACACACGCCCTGTCTATTTACCCTCAAGGAAACGGCCTAAAGGGCTCTACCTCGGCGAAATTCGCGCGCGCCCCTCGCACAAAATGCACCTTCTTAAATATTGACGAGAGCGGCGGTAACAGGCACGGAGCCGCCGCGGGACCCGCGCTGCCGATTTGTTTGTGGTCAGCTCGGAAGTTGTGACTATTGGGCAATTTAAACGAAATTCGGTGCTTTAGCATTCCCAGGGGGGGGGGGGGGGCTCAGATTTTTTCCTTGGTATCCAATAGTTCTAATATAAATACAGAATTTCTACAAACATTTTCTAGTTCTAAACGGAAAAATTGCAATTACAAAAAAGCTAGACTTTTGGAGCAGGTTTTTGGACCAATTTCTCATATTTTCAAGCATTTTTAGAGGTTTTTTTGGTTTTTCCCCCCTAAAAATGGTTTGTTTTTAGGGTTTGGTTCCCCACAAAAACATGGTTAGTTTTTACTAAAAATACCTTTAAAGTACCGTCTCTGGAATTATAGGAGAAAATTCATACCCCCCCGGTAACACAAAAGGACCCGAGATAAGGCCAAAGATCCTTGCAAAACCATTTAGAGCAACCTGACAAACTACCCTCCCAAATATCTCGCCCATTCCCTAATGACCCAATTCCCGTAAAAACCAATTTTTTGGCAAAGCATCTCCTCGGAAAATGTTTTTGATCGGCGTTCAAGGCCGTGTCGCGAAGGGGGGGGAGGATTGGCCTACTTCGGCTTCCTCACGGGGCTCCAGGCGGTGCCGGGGTCAAACCAACCGCTGGATACGATCTTTCCAGATGACGGACGGCCAATGGGGGAATTCGGGATCGGATCAGGGATTTGAAAGGGCTCTTTGAAGGCTTTTTCGGCACTGGGATGTTAGCGGGGGGGTGATTTTGGCGTGGATCTAAATGGTAATGTAAATATTTCCAAATAATGTAATACACGCCATTTATTGATCTTTCTAGGCGGGTTTTACCTCCAGAAAGTTCATAACAACCTCAGTTTTCTAAAAAAAGTGGAAAGAATTCAAAATTTGAATCTATTACTTCTCTAAAATAGTTTTTATGCATTTTTACTAACAAAAACTACTAAAAAACAATTGTTTTTTAGTAGTTTTTGGAAACAAGAACAAGAAAGAAACAAGAACCTTGAAAAAAGCTGTAGAACTTCGGTTTTTTGATCCTAAGTAACCCCGTAATTTATTACCTTGAAGTAACTAGGAACTAGTATCCATCCAGCCGAAGCTCGACCCTCCCTCCCGTGATTTCCCGTTCCGCCAGCCATCCCTTCCAGAAACTTTCTCCCTTCACCAGTCTCCTGCTGTCTGAAGCCAATAGATAAGACACGGGAGGAGGAGGGGAAGAAGGCATTCCGAGGGGAGATGCTCACCCCCCTTGGCGACGAAATAAAAAGAAGAACCCAGCCCGGAAGACCGGTTTCCCCTCGCTCATACAGCTCGCTGCATCGTGTCTCCATGGATCGAGACGATTAGCCGGGGGGTTGTCTATACGGGGGGCGGGGATGGATGGGATGGTACTGGTCAGGAGAAATCAATAAACTTTATTTAAAGAAAACGCCGATTAGCTGAAAAGCAGAGGTTTTAATCTTTACAAAATATCAAATAATTAAGGATAATACCAACTTTTTCCTTTTCTTGTAAAAACATATAGTACAGTTGCGTACCGTGAATATTCGTAGAAATCGCGCAGCAAAGAAAAAGAAAGAAAGAAAGAAAGCTTTTTCTTTTGTCATAACTTTTTCCGTTACCCAGCTGCAGCCCTTGCCCACGCAAAAAATCATAGATTTCTACCCCCACCTGGCCACAAAAAAACGCCTCCCCATATACCGGCAAAAAGCACGGGTTGAACCCTCGCACTTTTTGCACAGTCAAAAGCGGGCCTAGAACACGGACTAGCCGGACAACTGTCAATCTCCCGGCCGCCCTATCTATGACAGCTTTCCAATTTTGGGCAAAAACTTGGGGACCTGGAGCTCGGAACGGTCTAGAACCATTAAGAAGGGAGTGTGATAACAGTAAACTAGCGATTTTCCGCAATCTTGGAGAAAAAGAATCGGAAAGATGGTTTCAAAATGCCTTCAAATGCGAATTTAAAATGTTTTTTAAAAATAAAAACAACGAAATTTTAAAATTCGAGGTATAGGCCATTTTTGCGCCGGAATTTGCTCAAGAAAAGCGCTCATTTTATACGTTTGACCCTGAAAAATTCTGAGGTTTTCCGGAAATATTTAGTACATTAATATACGCAATATTATCATTTGGGTGCATCTCCCGGCTTTCTCGCCAATTTCCGGTTTTCCAAACGACACGTACATGATCATCGCATTGAAAATATCCAATTGTTGTCGAAAAAATATTTGTCGATGGCTCGACTGGCGGGATTTGGGCAAACATCGCAATGAATAGACCAGACCCACACTTCCCTATGCGTTATTTCCTCTCACTAAAGGTCCCCGAAAAAAGCCGTGTTTATCCCCTAAAACTTTTTTTTCAGGACTACATCGAACAGCTTGAAGACCGTGTCAACGACTGCACCCAGGAGAACAACGACCTGAAACAAGAGGTAAGGGAATTCGGCTTCAATTTCGGGTTCCTGAGGTTTTTCTTGTAAGAAGCTATAAATTTACATCCCCATTTCCAGGTTGAGCGCCTTCGCCACGAGAATGTGTACGTGCGCACGCAGCTGCGCAAGCTCCAAGCCGCCTTCGCCGCGTCGACGAAGCGCTCGACGCAAGCCGGCACGTGCCTCGCCGTTCTCGTCCTCTCCCTCTGCCTGCTGGTACGTTTTTATTGTTATAAACGGGAAAATACATGTTTTTATTCCAAAACTTTTTTTACAAAACTCCCTCGTTTTCACCAAAAACCCTTGAGAGAAGAAAAGGCTACAATTACCACCCTATCGCAGCCAGCCTGTCGTTTCCCCGGTTACCAAAAACCCCGTGTCTTTTCCAGGTGGCCCCAAACCTGAACCCCTTCCTGAAGCAGCTGCAGAACAACTCGGAAAGCGAAGAGGCGGCTAAGGCAGCCGGAGTGCTGCCCGCCAAGGCCCATGCTGGCCAAGACGCCGTTGCTGCTCGCGCCGGCTTCCCACCACGAGCACCACTCACTGGTTCGTTTTGTATTTTATAGATTTTCCGGTTCTGGTTCGTTAGGGGGGGGTGTATCTAATTATTTTACAGGACTATTTAACGCGATCGGATGGAGCATCAAAAATATACTATGCAGTTTAATTGCAACTCCATATGATGTATTTTTCGATAGTTATATCAAAAACAAGTATAAGTACGAAAATCGGCTAAATACGAAATATTCGACAAGCTTAATAGTTTTCGACATTTTCGATATTTTTCGATATTCTGTTAACGCTATTGGATAGAGCATGAAAAATATACGGCGAGTTTTAATTACACCTGAAAATGATGCAATCAAAATAGAAAAGCTATCGACAACCCCCGTAACGAACTAGAACAGATTTTCCTGAAACTTTCGACCTCCTCAACCTCAAATCATACGTTTCAGGTCGCTCACGCACTTTAATGGATGTGATGCCAAAGTGCGAAGAGGCGGCGGCGGCCGAGGAGGCGCCCGTCCGCGCCCAGCGCCTACACGCCTGGGCCGAAGCCCCGCAACAGCACAACGGCTATAAGGCGCCCGCCAAGGCACCACCTGCTCGCTTCGTCGAGAACAACCAGAAATACATCCATGTCAAGCCGGAGGTTAGCTACTTTTTCAGCCATTTAAATGTTTTGTTTTTAGCCGCGATCCCCGGAACACGTGCTGTTCGACGACATGAAGGGGGGCAGCCCATACATTTATGAGGTTGGTTGCTACGTAAAAAACCCCGGGTTTTTCGCTTCAAGATGTAGTGAAAAAATGGTTTTTATAAGGTTTTTAGTAAATTTAACTAAAAGTTCTTAGTTAAAATTTCTGAAATTGTTTTAGCCTCTTCTTTAAATTGCTTTAAATTTCTTTCTTTTAAAATTTCTAAAAATTGCGAAAATGCTGAAAAAATTTCATAATTTTTTCATTTTGGGCTCAAATAGGAATATTCGGTTTAAAAAGTAGATTTTTAATGTTTGTATGCTTAAGGATCTGTTAATTGACCCTATTATCCTCTTTCAGGTCGAACAAACGCACTACATCGACGAACCGCCGAGCCAGGTCGCGCACGGTGGCGGCAAGCTGCTCAACCGCACGAACCGGATGGTGTACACCGGCGGAGAGGGCCAACCTCCCGTCAAGAAGCGCCAGATCGCCGTCCAGCCCTACTAATCTACACACTACTACAAACCTACTTTCTACAAAATACCCCGTACCAAATGCGCCTTATCCACGAACCACACATCCCGGCTTTTAGATTGTTTTTAGATGCGCTCTCTGTTATCCGGCCCGTCCCTTCTACCCCTTTTTCCGTTGTAAATATGCGCCCTATTTGACTTATTTTTGCGTGTGTGTTTGTGTCTTTTTTTGTACCCTATGGCCAGCGTACACTTTTTTAATTAAAATTTTGGCTCTAGTACAACAGAGATTTAATTATTCTTTCTTAATAACTCCCAAGTGTACGCTGTGCTCCACAAGCTGAGCTGCGAAAGCAATCTGGGCCCCTTGTTGTGGGCCCACGTTTGCGAATGTGATATATCAGGGGCGTCGTCGGTTAGGTGAAAATTTGGCTTTCCGAAACTCGCCAACTTCACCCACCGACCTCTCCCCGAGCTATGCGTCTTGATGGCGATAGTTTGGCTTTTATTTGCTTCCATTTTTAAACATATTTTGTGCACGTTTAGCCTTCACCAGTGGTGAACAATATGGCCACCCCCACCCCAATCTAATCCAAAAATGCTAAAGTATTGTCATAGTCGCCGATTTGTCGTGTTTATGTGATCGTTACTTGTTATTCCGTTGCCCCCGGCCTACTGGGGAATGCTGACTGTCCTCTTGTTATATCTATCACCCGAATTCTGACCACCCTACCATACTGTACCCTTTCCGGAAATTGCTATTTTCTTTTCTCTCTTCTTCTTCTTTTCTGTCGTGTCGTTTCGAACCATTTCTATAAGTTTCTTTTCCGGGTTCTTCCGTCTCTATTTATGACACAAAAGAAACCGCGCGCCCTGTCGTTTTTATTCGAGTAAAATATTTTCTTGGGAATTACAGGCGGAAACGATACATAGTATACCATACGATATATTGAAAGACGAGCAATTGGTCGGAGAGCCGGAGAGAGAAAGTGGAGGCACAATTACCTATTAGGGTATATCTTAAATTAGCTGCTCGGCAAGCCAAGGGTCAAAATATGATCCGCGATCTTTTGTCGGGTATTTTGGCTTGCCGAACCCTTTAAAAGTGGAAAAGGCCTAGGAAAGAAACTGGGAAACTATAAAGTGCTTGGTTCATTGGCTTGCGATGTCTGTGAGGGGACGTTGATTGAAGAGTTAGCAGCCTAAAAGTTATATCGTCAATATTATAGATCAAAATTTTTAATTAATTTTTTGCACCTTTTTACAGCCTAAATTCTTCTCCTTAGCCCAAATTCTCACCTGGAACGAGACTGTCGGATTCTGTCTCACCCCAGGCGTATAGCCACTGGGCGGCGGCCGACAGCAAAAACGGTAGAGCAGCATAGTAACGAACGGCAATAGGCAGGCTACTGGCAAGACTACGATCGACACCTGATTACGTTTTTCACCTTTTGAAAAACCACCCACCAAAACCCAAACCCTCAGATGTGAGCAACAGTCCTTGTTCGTCGGCCCGCAGCATTTGTTGTAGGAAAAGAGGTCCGGTTCTGAAATTGCGTCTCGAAAGGGGTTTAAAAATCTACCAGGACATTTGTTGCCGATGGATGCGGTGGGACACCAGAGGGTGTTCGCCTCATCTCCCCGGTCCGCCTAAATATTTAGACAGTAAAGAATTTTTGATTTTACAAAAAACATTGATTCATTTCCCATACCACATTGATGATCGGGATATCCGTCGTCGATGTTTCCAGTTCATCGGCAACTAAAAGATTGGTGAATTCAAATAATACTGAGCATTCAAAACCCACCAATCTGTGCAAAGGCGAAGATGAGCGCGAGGGCTTGGATGCAGCCATTCATCGGTGTCCCCTCCCTGCTTACTTTCCACAGCCAAGCATAAATGGCCGGCCGCGGGGCTAAAAATAAAGCTGACGCTCCGCCGGCCATCTCATGGAGACCACAAGGAAATCCACCTCGACACGCAATATTGAAAATGAGCGGCTCTGGCTGGTCACGGGGTGAAAGGGGAGAAAGAGAAGAAGCCCGCACGGATTTGAAGAATGTCATCTTTTTGGGTGAGAAAGAAAAGGAAAAAGGAAGAAAAACCCTTAAAAGATTAGAAGGAGAGTGCTGCACAACTCCGGCAAGACGTACAGTAACAAGACCCGCCGAATCGATAGAAAAGCCCGCGCCGGCATCCACGTCAGGGCCAAAGTGTTGCCAATTGGGGGGTTGCAGGCGCTGGGAGACGGTGGTGCGTCTATGTGTGCAGATATGGCACACTCGAATGGCCCTGGAGGATCGATGTGTTGCTCAACGGACCGAAATGACCCTAATTTCGCCCCCTGGGGCTGTATTCCCAGGACTCGGCCCAGCAGGGGTCCACTTGCCGGCGAAACTTTGCTCGTGCCTCACTAGCTGTTTATCGTCATCAACCCGAGAAATGGAATCGGGGAAAAGTCTGACTGCGTATTCAACGATTCGGTGCTTTCCGTTTAGCGGGGGGGCGTTTATATTTTGTAGAAGTAACCAGAAAAAAACATATCTAAAAACCCATGAAAATCATAACATATTGATGTTTGAAGCAAAAATATACGTAACATCACCGAAAAGGCAAAATTTTTGAAATGGTAGATATAGGCGAAATGGTAAAATTGGCTCCCCTCCGCTAAACGAAAAATACCAACAATTCCAACTGGAAACATAGAATTTGTACAAGAAAACTGCATAAATCGTGGAACATTTCAAAAAGGGCAATTGTTACATTCCCAGCTCATCCAGCGCTGACTCGGCGTCAAAAGCCTCATCATCTTCTGCCGGCTCCTCGTCCGATGAAACGACAACTGCGCGTTTGGGTTGCGCGGGTTTAGGCGAATTCTGAGAAAGTGTCAATTTCTGGAAAGAAAACGCCAACCTCTTCAGGGATCCATTCTCGAGCAGGTTCCGGCTCGTCATCCGATGAATCTATGAGCCGAGCACGCTTCGGGGGATGTACCTTGTTTTGCTAAAATCTCTAGTTAACTATTGGGATTAATTTACCTTTTCTTCAGGGGAAACTTGAGAGCTTGGTTCGGCAATGCTTGTATCAAACCCGTCAAAACTTGGTGATTTTCTTTGGGAATCGGTCGCCTTCTAAATCCATATCTATCGTATATTCGCAAAACCAACCGATTTGTCCATCTTCTCAGATGTCTTCTTGGACTTTTTGGAGCGCTTCTTCTTCTAAAATTTTTTTATTTTTAGCATATATCCGCTCAAAACGTCACCTTGGGACTGACACCATTGTCAAAAATATCATCAACATCTCCATTATCTGAATTCGACGCGACACTTCCCTCCGATTCACTCGGACTCGAAGAGCGAGTTGCTTGCTTTTCTGGCGACTTTTGGACGGTAGACCCCGGGGCCGCATCCCAATCATCATCGCTCCAGCCGTCCGTATCTTTTTCCTTTTTCTTCTTGCCGGCACTTGGCTTGATATTCTCGTCTCCCTCTTCCACAAAGATTCCGCGACTTTCTTGATTCAACCGGATCATATGCACCTAAAAAAGCGCTATTTTATACTAGTAAAACCAACCTGGATAGCCCTTTTGTTGCTCAGCTTCTCGCAGTGCTGGATGACATCTTCAAATTTCTTCTGAGGGCACATTACGTGCGCCCAATGGCGATATTTTTGGAGCAGCAGATTGAGGTTGGCATACTGAAACAAGGTATCCAGATTTCGTAGAATTGCCGTACCGGATCGGCCTTCGGGTTCGGCTTGAAATCTTTGGTGAGGGCGACGAGATTGCGGACGCCCTTCGGCCCGGTCAGGAGGGCTTCGTTGAATTTCGGGCCCATCGTTCGCTTTTTTCGCTCGGGCTTCTGAGCATCGTCTGCCTGCTTTTCCTCATCGAATAGGTTCGCGACCGATGTTTCTCTAAAAAAAGGATATTTAAAGAAAAAGGGCACAGAAACCGACTTGTTTTGCTCACGATTGTCCTCGATGGCCTCTTCGCCGAAGAAGTCATCAAAGTCATCGTCTTCAAACATCTAAAGAAAATATGTCCTTTCGAAAGGCCCTTCGCCAAGTTCTCATTTGGCCTATTTTCACCTCGTCGATTTCTGTTTTTGGCGGTTATTTCATTTCGGTCAAGTTTTCACGATTTTTAAACCTAGAGAATAAAAACTACTTTAAATCTTAGTTTTTTCTCTAAATTTAGCTTTTGGCATGTTGTTTTTCGCATTTAGTAAATAAAAAGTCGACAAAGACGATGATAGAAATCGGCGAGCTGAAAATCGGCGGCATGAAAAACCGACAAAATGAACGGTCACCAATTCGAAGCTGTGCGATAAGTGTTTCTAAGGTTTATAGGTTTATAAGATCTGTGTTTTGGTCTAAACAAACGAGAATCTAGGATGGTCATGATGAAAACGGGTCAAAAGATTGCACAAGGTGGTGGGGGCTCTTCGAAGACCACCCATTCGCGCTCTTTCCAGCTGGCTACGAAGTATACGGCCAAAAGAATAAAGGGATGGGCCGTCGGGGACCCAAAATTACACCCGATTTCCTCGTAGATAACGCATAATTGACAGCCTTCTGGCTTATAAAGGAGAAATACGCTTCAACAGTCCTCGCGTTTGAAACAGCGTGTCAATCAGCCCCCAGGGCGCCTTGAACTCCTCCAAGTGGCGCTCATTCTTTTACCTTTTCTTGTTTTTATATTTTGTGAAAAGACGGTAACCTCTAGAATGCTAAAATTAATTCTTTTCGCAAATTCATCAGCTGATTTCCTAGAGCTGGTGATTTTATGATTTTGACTGCTACTCAACGCCGTATTTTTCGTTAGGAATTTCGTGATAAATTCTATAAAGCTTCCTGTTCCCTATTTTTGCGCTTGCTAAACCATATAACTGAATTTCTCCAGCTAATTTAGTGGTTTTTATTATGTTTGACTGCTATAAAACGCCGTATTTTTCGTTAGAAACCTCGTGACAATTCAGTAAAGCTCCCTCGCTCGCCTTTTTGTGTTTCCTGAACCATACAACTAAGCTTCATTTTTTTCAGGTTGACCGGAAATGGTTTTGTATGAGCGAACATTCCCGATTTCGGCGTGCAAGGCTGAACTGCCCTATTGTTCCCTGCTGACCCTCAACGCAGCCGGATTCAAATGCGGCAACTCGCTCTCCGTCACCGAGGACGGCGGCCTCGAGCTGAACCTGTAGGCTAAGTGTTGTTTTTGGCAATCTTTCATTTAGTGATGGCGTAATCCTCGACAACGATGTGACCATCGCCCGCTTCATTGCCCAGAGTTCCGGAAAATCAGATCTGTTCGGCAAGGATTTATTCGAGCAGGCCAAGGTATTTTGCATTGATGTTGTTTTTATGTTGTTTTTTTCAGATTGATGAGGTCTTGGTGGCTGCCGAGAAAGCCTGGGCCGGCCAGTCTTGCCCGAAGGAGGTCTTTGCCAATGTCCAATTCTCCAAAGATGGGACGCTCTTCGAGAAGCGGCGGACAGTGGCCGATTTTGCACTTTTCGCCCTGCTGGCGGCAAAGGAAGAGGTGCGCCCTAATCCCTAGCTTATGCTCACGCGAATTGCCAAACTCTCATTGCATAATTATTGATCTTTAGCTGAAGAAGTCGTTTTCCGCGCTGTTCCAAGCCGTTATCGCTGATCCGCGTCTGTTCGAGGCCCACACGATGGTTGGCCGCTTCGAGGTTCAGAAGCCCAAGCCATCAAATGACGGCGCCAAGCCGAAGGAGAAGCAAAAGGACGAGGGGAAATTCGTGGATCTGCCCGGCGCTGAGAAGGGCAAAGTTGTCGTTCGATTCCCGCCTGAGGCTTCTGGGTTCGTTTTTCTTCCTTTAGCTTTTAGTGTCTTTGTTTTTTAGATATCTTCATATCGGTCACGCCAAGGCGGCCTTGTTGAACCAGTTCTACCAACAGAATTGGGACGGCAAGCTCATCATGCGCTTCGACGACACCAACCCGGCCAAGGAGAATGCCCACTTCGAGGAGGTGATCAAGGAGGATCTCAAGATGTTGGAGATCAAGCCGGATATCTGGTCCCATTCCTCTGACCATTTCGAGTTGATGCTCGAGTTGTGTGAGAAGCTCTTGAAAGAAGGTAACTGCTATTTGTGATCATATTCTTCGGTTTAGGAAAGGCCTATGTGGATGACACCGATATGGAGACGATGCGGAAGGAGCGTGAGGAGCGGGTTGAGAGCAAGAATCGAAACACTGGTAGCTTGAAGTAGTCTGTCAAAGTAGTATTTTTTTAGCTCCTGAGGCCAACTTGAAATTGTGGGAGGAGATGAAGAAGGGAACAACGCGAGGCCTTCAATGCTGTGTCCGCATCAAGATGGACATGAAGTCGAACAATGGCGCAATGAGAGACCCGACCATCTATCGGTATTTTGAATTTTATGGTTTTTCAGAATTGGTTTTAGCTGCAAGCTTGAGGAGCACGTGCGCACCGGAACGAAATACAAGTAAGAATGCCTTATTTCTCCGACTTCCTGAGTTTTCCAGGGTCTATCCCACCTACGATTTTGCTTGCCCGATCGTCGACAGCATTGAGGGCGTCACGCACACGCTGCGCACTACCGAGTACCATGATCGGTGAGAAAAGGGCAATTTTTTGAAGTAGATAATTTTAGTGATGATCAATTCTATTTCTTCTGTGATGCGCTGGGCCTTCGCAAGCCACACATCTGGGAGTATTCGCGCTTGAACATGACAAATACGGTTTGTTTTCTTAAAAAGTGTTTTACATCCATTTCAGGTGATGAGCAAGCGTAAGCTCACCTGGTTCGTCGAGGAGGGTGTTGTCGAGGGATGGTAAGCTTTTTTTATATTAATAGGAAAATTCACTTTTAGGGATGACCCTCGTTTCCCGACTGTACGGGGAGTGTTGCGCCGTGGATTGACGGTCGAGGGCCTGAAGCAGTTCATTGTCGCCCAGGTGAATTTTTTCAAGATCGCAATTAGATTCTAATTGTTTCAGGGAGGCAGCCGCTCTGTCGTGATGATGGAATGGGATAAGATCTGGGCTTTCAACAAGAAGGTCATCGACCCGGTTGCGCCACGGTATTGAAGGTTCCCATAAAAAGTTAACGTTTTTTTTAGCTACACAGCTCTGGATACCTCCAAAAAACTGGTCACCGTCAATCTCGAATCTCCGATTCAGGAATACTCTGCTGACGTTCAACTTCATCCGAAGGTTTTTTTACTTGAAAATGGCTTGAAAATTATTTCAGAACGCCGAAATTGGCACGAAGAAGATTTTCCACTCTTCAAAGATCCTCATCGAGCAGGTCGATGCTCAGACTATCAAGGCAGGACCCTCATCATCATTTGTCAACAATATCTTTTTAGAAGGGCGATACCGTCACGTTCGTCAACTGGGGCAACCTGCAGATTACCGACGTGAAGAAGCAGGGCGACGAGATTGTGTCCCTGACGGCCAAGCTTGACCTGGACAATAAAGACTACAAGAAAACGCTGAAGGTCACCTGGATCGCGGATGTCGCGTCGCCCAGCACGATCCCGGTTGTTGCTGTCGAGTACGACCACATCATCAACAAGGCAATTATTGGCAAAGACGAGGACTGGAAGAACTTCATCAATTACGATTCGGTGGTTTGTTTTGGCCTTCAGGATTTTCCATGAAGTTAATTTAGCACTACACCCAAATGAGGGGCGAGCCGGCACTGAAGGGACTGAAGAAGGGATCTATCATCCAGATCCAAAGAAAGGTTTTTAATTTACTAAATTTTGTAGATATTTTGTTTTAGGGTTTCTTCATCTGCGACCACGAGCACGTCGAGAAGAGCCCATTCACGGACAAGGAGACCCCGCTGCTGCTCATCGCCATCCCGGACGGTAGTCAAAAAGATCAGGGAGCTGCTGCTCAATCAACGAAGGTTTGAGCTGTTCTATAGACAACCATTTGATCATTGTAGGACAAGTCTGCGCCCGCTTCGTCATCGCCGGCAAGTGGCGTCGATCCGCTGGCCTTGTATGAAGGTCTGGAACGCCAAGGAGCTGTTGTAAGGGACCTCAAGGGCAAAGATGCCAAATCGGTTCGCTCAGCTGTCACGATCATCTTATGGTTTTTAGCAAGCCACCAAGGACGCCATCGCTCAACTTTTGAAACTGAAAACCGAGTTCAAGGAGAAGACTGGCCAGGATTACAAGTCCGGCTCGCCACCTGCGGCAGCTGCCCCAAAGGTCTGTCATCTTAGCAGGCTCTAAATAACCTCTCAGGCGGCCACGGCTGGCGCCTCAGACCCCCTTGCTCTTTACGAAGCTCTTGAGCGACAAGGTGCCCTGGTTCGAGACCTCAAGGGCAAAGATGCCAAATCGGTTTGGATTCATCTCATAAAAGGCACTGACAATTCCTAGCAAGCCACCAAAGACGCCATCGCTCAGCTCCTGAAGTTGAAAACGGACTTCAAGGAGAAGACTGGCCAGGATTACAAGGCTGGCTCACCACCTGCAGCAGCCGCCTCAACGGTGGCCCCGGCTGTCGCTGCCACTTCTGATTCCTCAGACCCCCTTGCTCTTTATGAAGCCCTGGAGCGACAAGGCGCCCTTGTTCGAGACCTCAAGGGAAAGGATGCTAAATCGGTTTGTATTCCTCGTAAACGACATTGGCAAGTTTTAGCAAGCGACGAAAGATGCTATTGCCCAGCTTCTCTCGCTGAAAACCGTTTTCAAGCAGAGGACTGGTCAAGATTACAAGGCTGGATCGCCGCCCACTATCTCAACACCCTCTGCCCCAGCACCCCCTGCCGCTAGCTCCTCCTCTGCGGACCCGTTAGCCCTATTCAATGAATTGGAGAAACAGGGAGCTCTCGTCCGAGATTTGAAGGGCAAGGACGCCAAGTCGGTCAGTTTTTCTCCTTTTGTCCTATTATCTATCATCCATTTTTTCAGCAGGAAACAAAGGATGCGATCGCAAAGTTGCTCAAGCTGAAGGTCGACTACAAAGAGAAGCTCGGCGAGGTAGGCTTAGATTCATGGAATTTCAAGTGTTTTTAGGAATACAAGGCTGGCACGCCACCCGCAGGGAAGGGCACTTCTGCCGCCGCTCCAGCCCCATCCAATGCCCTGGCCCTCTACGAGGAACTCGAGAAACAAGGAGCCTTGGTCAGGGAGCTGAAGGGGAAGGATGCCAAATCCGTAAGCATTTAAAAATCATTCTTTTTATGCCGTGGATAGTCCAATAATGCAATTTGCCATTTAGCAAGCGACAAAGGACGCCATCGCCAAGCTTCTCAAGTTGAAGGAAGGATTCAAGGCGACCACCGGCCAAGACTACAAGTCAGGGACGCCACCAAAATAATTAGACATTTTTCGATTGTTGCCTTTAGGTGTGCATTTTTACCGACTTTATATTTTTACCTGTTGTTGTTTTTTTTCGATAAACGATTCAAAATTCGATGGCATTTGCTGGAATCGACATGGTCACGGAATAATTTATCAAATGATACTACACCGGTTTACGAGATGAGAACAAGAGATCATGATGTCTTGGATGGAATAGCGTTCACCCGTACGGAAAAATGGAATTTCAGAAAATAACAATCGTGGAATAAACACAGGTATTTACAAAGGTTCCCCGGCTTCAGCTTGTGGCTCTCCCTCATTGATCACGAAGATTGACGTCTAAAACTTTTTTTAAACGAAAACAGTCAACCGATGGCTGGGATCGGGTTTAAAAATTTACCCCAATCCTGTGAAACACGAGCGCGACGATCCAAGCAAAGATGCCGGCCCCGATCATAGCATGCAGTTCGTTGTGGCTCGGCTCGACGAGGAACATCTGTGGACCAGCCCTGAAAAAAAACATATCCACAACGGAGGGCTGTACTTACTGTTTGTTTGAATGAGCCACAGTGTAGGATGCTTCAGTCCATGTAGGCCATTTTGTAGTGGCCAGGTCAACGCCTAACAAATAAAAGTTGAAAGACGGGGCTCATGCCTACCCTCCTCAGTAAAGGCTGGTGAAAGGGCCTTGGTAAGGAACACGGTACTCTTCAGACAACGGCTCGTATTGGTTTTGTAATCGCGTTGCCAGGTGTAACGGTACAGCTAAACAACCGAAATGTTCAGCTACCAAAGCCGACTAACGTTTTGTTGATGGTTAAGCTGGTCGCACTGCTCGGCGTCGGCGACATTGCTCGTCGCATCGGGACGCCCGGTTGCCTCGACTAAATGTTTTTTTATAAAATCGCTTATATGGCAACGATACCAGCCAGCCCAGTTACAATGTTTCTGATGATCGAATGGCCGTCGGCGCCGATATATGTCGTCTTGGCTAAAACAAACAATCAGAAGCGCCCGAATACCTACATAGCTTTGCTGGCTTCAGACTGGCAACTGGCTCCAGGACGGCCTGGAAAAGGCGGCACGACCACCAGTCGTCAGAGTCGATGAAGCAGTTGTAGAGCTCGTTCACCTAAACCATAATTCAATCCATAATTTAACGGCTTACATAGCTATCATCTAGCCTTTTCCCAGCTGTCGTCACACCAACATACTCTCGAGCCATCGCAGCCAGAGCCTCGGCCCCTTGCCTGAAAACAGTTAATCGAAGGTAAGAAAGCTGGGTTCTACACCGGTAACGTGGTCTTTGTACGAAATCGTGGTCTTTGTACGAAATCGTGGACTTTGTCGAATCGTGGTCTATGGACGCCTGCGGTAACGTGGTCTTTAATCGTATCGTGGTCGTTGCCGGCACCGGGGTCTTTAAAAAATCGAAAAATCGGCGCTTTTTTGGGCCTGTTGAAAACGTGGTCTTTAAGAATCCAGGTTCGACCGGCTATAGACCACGATTCCAAACGTCCGGAAAGCCCCCAAATCGCTGGAAACGTGGCATTTCACCAGTTGTTTCTAACCTAGCCGTTTGTGGTTTATAGCCTTGCGTACCTGGCCTAAAAATTTCGGTTCGATTGGAAATGAGGCGGCCAAATGCCAATACTTTTCTGAGTAAGACCTGCTAGCAAACACTTCCGAAATATTTTTGCGGCGATTTTTATGGGAAATTGAAGTTTGGGTATTTTTAAATTGCAGAAACAGTTGAATCAGGCTTTTGGACCTTTTGAATAGGTTACTCTTGTATAGATTTGTGTTTTTTCGGGTTTTTTCAACGCCATCATCGAAAATATCGAGGTTTTTTAAGTCAAAATTTGTAATACAAAATAGTTATGGCAAAATCAAATATGAAACGTAGTTTTCACAGTGGAACATTCAATGAAAGCTAGTTTTCGACAGTTAAGACGTTTTCTCAAAATTTCTTGAATGTTTTCTCAAAATTTCTTGAACGATTTTCTCAAAATATCGTAAAATATACAAAAAATCTGTTTGTAGCTAAAAATGATTGTTTAGGTCGGCCCCGACAGTCTTTCCCCTCGACGTAGTCTACATACACCGGAATCGCGTTTTTGGGCTTTACCGGCTTCTTGAACGTCTTTTAACTTTTTCAACATACGAGTGTACCCGGATCATACTGGTGAAATTGCCACGTTTTCCAGCGATTTGGGGGCTTTTCCGGACGTTTTGGAATCGTGGTCTATAGCCGGTCCGAACCTGGATTCTTAAAGGGGCTCAGAAGTCAAAATTCGTGCGTGCTGGGATTGCCTACTGGTCAAAACGCAGGGTCACTGCCGGAGTGCCAGAAAGTGTTTCATTGCGAAAAAGTAAAATATTTGAGAAAATCAGAATTCTTTTTGGGGCGAAACGACTTTTGAGTGCGCGGCGTTACCTGTCGTATGCCTTGTAGGCACCCAATCTCTCGATCTCGACGATTTTCTGGCCAATTTTCATAATTTAAAGTCTAGAATGATCAAATTTGGTGAAGTTCCAAAATGCTTGTTTTTAATTTTGCGTTTTCGCGTCCAAACATGGGCAAAAGACCATGCGGCGCGGTCGCGTTGCGGTCGCATCTGGCTATTTGCCAGGAATCACAGCAGGGGGCCGTGGACCAGATTTCAGAGCCCCTTTAAAGACCACGTTTTCAACAGGCCCAAAAAATCGCCGATTTTTCGATTTTTTAAAGACCCCGGTGCCGGCAATCGACCACGATATCGATTAAAGACCACGTTACCCGCATCGGCGTCCATTAGACCACGATTTCGTACAAAGTCCACGATTTCGTACAAAGACCACGATTTCGTACAAAGACCACGTTACCGGTGTAGAACCGAAAGCTGTTTACCTAATGGCCAACTTCAGAGTCAGCTGACTTTCCAAGGTATAGTGGTTGATGTCCATCATCGAATTGATTCGTCTATTTAAACAACTTCATATAAGAAAAGATCACTCACGGGTATTGGTACATCTCATCAAATTGGGCAAAGACCATGGCCGACTGTAACCCGGGGGCATTTCGTCGCACAAACGAATACGCCGAAGACGGAGGCAGCACCCAGATCTTTTCGGTCAAATTCGCTTTTGGCATCTGCATGCGCAGCGACTTTCGGGCCGCCTCGATCAGAACGTTCGTCTAGAAAATACCACCGTAATTAAAGGAGAGTTTCTAACCAGTTTAGCTTCCCGTTTGTAGGCTTCATCATCAACATGAAGTATATAATCTTCTCCGTGGATAATCTAGGAAAAATATATCCAAATGCACACTGCCTTACGTGTTGAACATCGATGAACGCCTCGAGCTGCTCGGGTTTTATCAATTCCTTCTGTGCCTTCAATTTCTCGTTGAATGGGCTGGGGAACGCGTCGTGGTCCATATCGTACACCATGCGGCTACTTCCGATGTAATCGTAGGCCTCCTGAACTGAGGTTAGAAATGAAGAGAGAGGATGCTCACCCCATGCAAAAACGAGAACAGGACGTGTCGGTTCGAGCTGTTGGACGCCTTCTCAAAAGCAGTTCGCTCGTTGGCCACTATTCTAAATGACGGAAAATAAACCCAAAGCAGGTCAACCGACTTTGCAGCCGTCAGGACCGTCATTATTGTGGCGATGGCCGACATTTCACCCGGTGAATGCTCAGGGATGAACGATAAGGAATCCATCTGAATTCAAAAATATTTAACGACATTTCAACAATCACGAACCCGTGTGGCAATGGCGAGGTATTTCCCTTGGCGAGGCGCAACTTTCCTCTGCGCCGCCTGCCTAGCTGGGAACTCGATGAAGACGTTGTAGTCTTGCAACGGATCGCAGAACGTCACCCTATAATTTGTTAGAGAATGTGGATAACTTCTCCCTACGGATTGTCCAGTTCCAACGTTGTCCCCTCGCTTCGGGACATACACAGCGCAGAATTTCCAGCAGCATAAGAAAAGACCTGAACGAATCGTTGACGGGCCAAAAATTTCAAGACCGACCTTGATATTGATAGCGCAAATCGGGAAATAGATCGGCCAGTCTCCAGCAGTGCCATTGGCCTTATTCACAGCGTCGGCACACTGGAAAATACAATAAAAAATGAAAATTGGAAAGCCCGTACGGCGGAGACCATATCGATGTTTGTCTTGTTCTTCAGCACAACCACTGGCTTGTTCCAATCGGTAAAAACGAGACCCTCGGTCTTGTAGATCCCATTCCGATTCCATTGTCCGCATTGCTCGTACAGAGCTGTATGAAGGAAATTGGGAAAATAGCGTAAGACGTACTGGAATGGCTGTTCGGACAAAGTTGGTCGTCACTCCGGCTCAGGCCACCCAACAATGGATCGCGAAGATCGGTCGGAAGGACCAAAACCGAGCGCACGCAAGGGGCCCGTTGCAACATCAAGGCGATATTTGAGCTAGAACGTGGTTTGATCATTCCGGCGAAGTGAACATACTCGTGAAGCAGAATATCATCGATGAGAACGGCAAAACCGCCATCCCAATCAGGATAACTAAAAATACACTTCAAAAAAGCAGATCAATCCCACCGAGCCTTCCAACACTCTTTGATCAGTCGTGTCTCTGCGGGGTTGGTGAAACGAATCACAGCCCCGACGTTGCCATCCCGTTCGGCTAAATATATTTTAGGTCTTTATAAAATGTAACGTACTCTGACAGCCAAACTGATGAGTTGCATTCAGAATACGGAAGCAGCTGACCGTTTCCGGACCGAGCTGGGCGACGACTTGGTGGAAAAGCTGGGCCGAGCTTAGGTAGCAGCCCGCTAAAAAATCGCAGTTAGGACATTTTGAATGGGGGTAGCGGAAGGTTGTATTTTACCAAAAACCCACCTAAAAGCAGCAGGATAAGCCGCATGGGAACCGGAACTTCAGCCTTCTATCCGTATGTCGGGGGAAGGTTAGTCTGTAACAGGTATCTGAAGATTGACACTGTAGGCAAAGCCGCCGAAAATAAAATAAAAACAAATTCCTAAGCCTTCCGGACCGGGTTTTATAAGTACAAAATGCGCTTTGACGCCTTTTCGAAACATCCTCCCACTGGTCTCTAACTACTTTATTGATGCTCGTAAAGTGAAAGCAAGAGATCGGCAACTGGGGATAAACAAGTAAACCCACCGGTGCGGATGTCCACCGGGGTGCAAAGATCATGAACAAGTAAAGTACGGTGCTAAAGCTGGGCGTATTGCACAGAGGTAGGGGGGATGGGATCATATGTACACGTCAGCACCGGTAGAAATGAAAATGAGCAAGGCGATTATCATAATTCGAGAGTACTGAGAAATCAACACAAACGGGGCAGGGAATTCAACGGAGCGTGAATTTAGCGGCTGGCCAGGCGGCGGCATTCTCGGCCTCAACTTCTTCATCGGCCAGTTCATCCTTGGTCTCGGCCTTTTGCTTCGATTCATTGGAGCCCTAAAAGTTTGATCTAAGGAACGCACGAAAATCACACCTGATTCCTGCCAAATTTCCGCTCCAGCTTACGGAGGCGCAAAATGCCAAAGACGAGCTTGTGCCAGTTGGCGCGGACGCGATCGCGACGGCGCTAAAGATGCAGTTTAAATTGATATTTTCAATATACCTTGTCTTCACGTTCGCGGCGCCTCTGTTCCATGGCCTCCCACTCAAAGACGAGCTTGTCGGCATCCTTCTCCAACACGACGGCACCTTCGATACTAAACAGGGAGTATTAAAACACATCAAATACTAACATTGGATGATTCGAACCGCCATGGAAATCCCAGCCAACAACGGCAGCCACGTGCTCTTTCTGCGCTTTGCTAAAGAGAGATTTTGCCGAGGCCAATCCCCCCAAGCATACCGACAAATTTGTACAATGCCCGGCAGATTCAGGTGTACGCAACCATCGGGAATCATCGACTCGCGGTAGACGTAGATGTTGTCGTACTGGTTTCGCGGGATACGGCCCTATCAAGACGTTCTTGCCACCAACCAAAAAACCACTTACATCCACCACCACGGGCACTTTGTACGGTTCCGTCTGCCAGAAAACCGAAGAGCGGCAAATCCTTCGGGTCGCCACGTTTTTCAGCCGGGACCTTGGAGTTTGGCCGAGCCTTGACGATTTTGTACGGTTTTTCACCTTCCTAAAATCAGAATTATGCTCTAAGCAAACGGCAAACCCACCTTGATCGACCGGGCAAGTTTAATCCAGTTCAGGTCGCCTTGAAGGTGAAAGACTGTGGATCGTGGGTAGACGTTCAGGCCGCGCACTTGGCCGATCGGTTTCTGAACATCCGGCGGTGGGTAGATGGCCTCGAATTTCAGCAGATCCTTCTCGAGCACGTATCTGAAAAGCGGTAGGTGAACAAGATGGAACAACTTACAGTGGGTGATCCTTGTATTCGGCGATGGATTTGGGAAGTGGTCGGCCAGCCAACGTCTTCATAAAGTACATCTCCTCGAGCTCGGCCTTGGTGCGATCCGCTCGAATGACCTAATATCGGTCAAATCGTCAGCCCCTAAATTCACCTTGGCCCTGAAGACACGATCAAGCCATTCCTGATCCGTCCGCGCGCGCCGATAATTCGGTGTTCCAAACGCGGCGAGATATCTGGCGCCGACATCACGAACTTGGCCATCTATGACAAAGCTAATATCCAAAAGGCATAACCAACTGTTTGAACATCCGAAAACGTAGTTCCTGGCATGGACAGGCTGCGAGAACTTGGCCTCGAATTCGGTTGGATTGTCCACTTCTCCAGTGATAGGATTAACACCTTCAAAAAGCCATGAATAATCGGGAAAAGGGCTCACACATCCACTTCTTGAAGCCCTTGGACCAATATTCAATCCAAAAATCGCAAAAAACATCGATGGACGGCGCTTTCTTTTTCTTTTTCTTCTCCGCGGGCTGCTTCTTGCCGCCGTCATCTTTCTTGCGCGAAACGACATCGCAATTGGCGACGAGCCTAGTTTCGAGGTTTACAGCGCGGAAGAGCACAAAATAGGCCTAAAAAGGAGTTGCGAAAAGATAGCAAGATTTACGAGGGCGCGTTGCAAATCCGAATCGAAACAACGGTCGCGGATCGAGGTAGCAGCACGCGCCGTCTCGTCCCAGCGACAGTCCCATTCCTCCTTTGAAGCCTTGATCTCGTCAACGACCTGAAGGATTTAACTTTATTCTTCAAAAATGAGATCAAGTGCTACCTTGAAATTCTGATGGATCCATTTGGCAAATTTCCTGGCGAGTTCATCTGTGATCGGCTCGTCCCCACCATTCGAGTAGCTATAAAGATTCTGTTATGGCAAATACACCACACGCTTGCCACTTTTGCCTAAATACCAAAGCAACAGGGTCGCTAACCTTGAAGGAATATTGGTCAGGGCTAGCGACGGGACGAGCTGCTCGTGCAGCACCTGCTTCACGTTCCGACGTAGAAAACCGATCCAGGCCAACAGGTGGATCTAAAGAAAGCCTTTTTCACTTCTAAGTTTCCCCTACGCGATGCGCATTCTCGTACTTGGCCCGCACGTGCTTGTTCACCTCCTGACGAAGCCATTTCACCTCCCAATTGATTTCGGCTTTGCGCTTTTCAAAATGAATTTCGACCTAGAAACTTTGTAACTACAAATAAAACGTTTTACTTTTTTAGGAGCGGGCTTCTTGCTTGGCTCGTCTAGCTCCTCCATCTCTTCCCATTCATCCTCGCTGGAAGATTTGTAATCGGGTTCGGCCACAGGAGCTTCTTTTTGTGCGACCCGCTCTGCATCCAAGTAATGTTTGTTGCGCTGCAAACCGGTGGCGATACGTCCCCAGGTATAGATCTAAATCAAAGTATTCACGGTGAGAAAAACGCGTACACTGCCGTGCTTCTTCAGCACATAGACCAATTCGGCGGCTTCATCAATTGACATCTCGTCGTTGCGATCTCGGGCGAGAACTTTGAAAAGTCTGAAATTGAACAATTGTTAAAATTAGTTTCATTGCTAACCTGAAGCAATCAAGCACCCATTGCTTTTCGCGGACCTGCTCCGCCTTGACGTCAAGTCCAATGGTACGGCCCACCCCTTTCGCCTAAATCACATTATCCTCCATGTAAAGCAAAAATAACTCTAACCGAACTAGTGGAAGGGTCACCGGCGTCCAATGGATTAGAGCTCGAGTTTCCACTAGCTGGTGTGATGGGCCGAGAAGATGGGACGGATGAGCTAAAAACGATGAGGAACTTTGAAGAATACAAACCTAGCCCTAGGCTGCTTCACTTCGACAGCAGCACCGGTCCTGTATCGCACAACGCCTTGGGGACGCTGCTTCCTAAAAATATATACTAAAGACCTTAACACAAACAAACTTTTTAGGCTTCGGCGGCGGGGTTGCATCTGGTTCATCGACTTCTTCTTCGTCGTCGTCTTCAGAGCTGGACTGATGTTTCTTGACACGCTTTCCTTTCTTGCCAATAACTTCCTCGGCGGACGTATCGAAAACGCTCTCTTCGGATGATAAATCGGAAAATGACGAGTCGTCGTTTTTCCTAGAAAAATTGTCCCTCTTGAATCTGCCCAATCCCTCACTGTGCGTAGCTCTTCGGCTGCAACGTAGATCGGCGCTGCGGCCTCTTTTTGATGGGGCTAGTTTTCGGCTTCGTCTCCTTCTTTTGTTCCTCCGGCTCGGGCGTATTCTCAAACGGCACCATCTCGACATCACGGCTAAAATCAAATGACGCGTTCTCTTCGAAAGTTACCGTTCCGGGCGCTTCTTTGCGGGAACTTGCTTTGAAGAGCCGGCTACTTGCTCGGTCTGAATTATGGGTGAAAAGACGCCATAAAATTTACCTCAGAATCAGAGGAGTTGTCAAAAGGCACAGGGGTTTCCATTGCCTCATCAATGACTTTCAGCCTCTTTGGGGGAGTCGCTCCGGAATCACCGGCACCAATGGCCTTCTGAATTACTATTGGAAAAGATTTGGCCGTCAGCTACCTTATGCTTTACGGTCTTCTTCGCGCGACCTGGTTTCGACGAATTTTCCGACTGAGCAGCAGGCGATTTTGCACGTTTAGCTGCAGCATCCTCAGAAGCCTCGGGCGCAGACTGCTTCTTGCCTCGTTTCCGAACAGCTTCTGGAGGCGCTGAGGTCTCTACGGCTGTCTAAAATGCAGAATATGGTAGAATCTAGCTTGTAAATATCGCCATGCCTTTGCCAATCTCATAGAACGCCTGGAGGCCGGGCGTTCCGGTTCCGGAACGTCGTTCTCTGCCGATTTATCCGGCAGGTCACCAACGTTCTCTTTCCCATCCTTCGTGTCGTCGTTGGTTTTCAGTTCTGAAAACAATTTTTTGACGTAAACGATCTCATACCTTCCTCAGGACCATCTTCTGGCGTTTTTTCGGTCTGTGTAGGCAGATTTGGCTTACGGCGCCTTGTGGCGACCATGTTTCTGAATTACAGTTTTTCCAAGGTCCCGAAAGCGATGAAAAGAAACCACTGAAAAGGCGTCAAAGTGGCCGGAGGTGGGGGTTACAAAGTCTCATGATCCCCGCGATCCCAGCCCTTTCATGCTGCCCCCCACAGCCTCCCTATTTTGCCCTTTTGCATCCATCTTTCGAAAGATCTTCTGCAAGGGGCAAACACAAAGAAAGTTCTCGGTTAGTCAAAAGTAGTTAGCACGCTATTTGGCCGCAATGCGCCAGTTTTCTAAGTTTTTACCTGAAATGACGGTTTAGTACGAAAGTGACCAACATACAGTTTTATCCTTTGATCTTTGAAGATTTAGATTTGCTAGCCTTTCATCACTGTCATCTATAAGGCTGTGATACGCATTTTTGAAAATTTATAAGCCTGGAAAACCCGCAGAAAACCGGAAAAATTTTGATCCAATACCTCAAAGGATTTTCAGTCGGGCCCGGCTTTTCGCTGAGGACATGAAATTTCCGTGTACAGAGGCGCGTTGCGTAGGCTTCTTCTTTAGAAAAAATTCGCCAATTATTGAAAACTTTGGGGTTTTTTATAGTTCTAGAGGTAAATAAAGTTCTTTTTTACTGCCCGGTATTTTCCTAATCGCCGCACTTTTCAGCAGAGGATGCGTATGATGAGATTAGCAAGAACGATACTCCATCCCCCATGCGCTCTGGAAGCCGTCGCGTCAGCCGGCCTACAATCGCGCTTCAACCACGCCCGCCCATCTTATGTGTAAGATACAGCTCTGTTCTGTATGCACAATTTATAGCGATTACAATTCCGGCTACAAGGAGCATAGGGAGTACAACGCACAAAACAGATCTCGCGGGCATCCGTTTGGCTGTGAGTTTTTGTATAGATATAATCTTGAAAGATAAATAACGATTCACTCAATCTGATTTTCAGCGACTCGCCAGGGAGCATACGGGGCAGGATTCAGACGCCCCGCGCGGAGATCCTCAGACCAGGGACCATTGGCCGAGGTCGAATGGGGACAATGCGATCTGCCCAAGATTCAGGAGAATATCTACAAAGAACATCCGGATGTAGCGGCTCGCAGTCAGGTGCCTAGTTATTTGTTTATTACCAAGAAACGTCAATCCTTAGGACGACTTGAAGGCCTGGATGTCGAAGCATAATGTGAACGTCAACGGATCAAATATTCCGAGCCCTGTCCTCTCTTTCGAAGAAGCCAATTTCCCTGCAACAATCTTTAAGCACTTGCAGGAATTTAAGGTAGCTTTTTTTGAATTCTCGCAACCCATTTTAGGCTCCAACTCCTATCCAGTCAATTTCTTGGCCGATAGCATTGGGTGGTCGTGATCTGATCTCTGTCGCCCAAACCGGATCCGGGAAGACGCTGGCTGTAAGGCTTAATAATTCTATTTATTCTCTTTTTCAGTTCATGCTGCCTGCCATCCAGCGGCTCGCCTCTAGCCCGCGTACAAACGGGACTTCGGTGGTGGTACTCGTCCCCACAAGAGAACTTGCTCAGCAAGTAAGCCAGGTTTCAAGGTCAGTTTGCTACGGTATCGTGAATGGCTTTTAGCCATTTGCTATCTGATGGTCGAAAATAGATCGTCGTTTTGTTCTAGGGGGTGTACATTTTTTTCTTGGGCTTCATTTTTTAAATGTAAGTAGGGGAAGTGTTTCTAAACGGTTTTTATTAATCCTGAACTTAAAAACGTTCCAAATTTTTATTACAAAAAAAACAACAAAAATATCTGTTTTTCGGCCTTTTGAAGGTTTTAGATAGTTTTTCTGGTTGAAATTTAGCTTTATTTTACTAAAATCATTATTAAAATACTAGTTGTTTGGTTATTAGGCATTTCGGGATATACAAAATTTTGCCCCATCCCCCTTGATAATGCAAAAGCACCTCAAAAATTGTCTGAATTGCCACAAATTGCATTTCGAGGTTCTAATTTTAAACAAATTAAAAATGTCCTTTTTAGCCCGTTTCTCCAAAGCATCAATCGCCGCTTGGTGTGCCTGTATGGCGGTGCGGATCGTTTTGCACAAGAGCGCGAACTTCGTAAAGGCGCTGATGTTGTCGTTGCTACACCGGGTCGCCTTATCGATATGCTCGGAACCTCCAGCGTTGATATCAAGTGAGGGCTATAAGTTACTACCATTAGCGAGATTTTTTTTATCTTCGCTCAAAAGCTTTTTTAATTTCGCTGTTTAGAAACTGCAACTATTTGGTGTTGGACGAGGCTGATCGTATGCTGGATTTCGGCTTCGAGCCGCAGATCCGCAACATCGTCTCGCAAATCCGGGTTGATTTTCGCCTTTCGAATTTGATTGATGTTTTATAGCCAGATCGCCAAACATTGATGTTCTCGGCAACATGGCCAAACGATGTGCGCAAGCTCGCTTCTGCATTCCAAAAGAATGCCGTCTTTCTGAACGTCGGCTCATTGGAACTCTCGGCTAACCCAGATATCAAGCAGGTAACACAACAATCCCATGCTTCATCTTTGTCTTTTCAGCATGTGAAAGTGGTTAATGATCGATTCAAGGATAAGGAGCTCCTGAACCTGCTGGAAGAGCTGAATCAGAAGGCAAGCGTGAAATTGTTATCTGATCGATACTGTTTATTTTAGGGGTTGAAGAAGACGATCATTTTTGTGGCACAGAAACGGGATGCCGAGCGCCTGCGTGCCCTTCTCATGCGGGTCACGTCAAAGGCCATGGCTATCCACGGCGACAAAACCCAGAACCAACGTGATTACTGTCTGCAACGTGAGTTTATCTTTATCGAATTTTTAATTCATTTTACAGAGTTCCGCGCTGGGCACATACCTTTGTTGATCGCCACTGATGTTGCGGCGAGAGGAATAGGTACGAAACAAGGCGTCTATATCCCAAATTTTTGATGTTTCAGATATTAGCGATATCGAAAACGTAATTAATTACGATTATCCGAACAACACCGAGTTTTACGTACACCGTATCGGCCGAACGGGCCGAGCAGGAAAAACGGTAATATCAAGTTAATTTAACTCAACCTTTTTTGTAGGGAAACGCATACACGTTCCTGACCAGTGATGACGCCGACAAGGTTCCCGAGCTGATCGGAATTTTAAAGAAGGCTGGACAAGAAGTCCCGGAGGAACTTCTCCAGCTACAAAATTATAAGAAAAAAGGTAAAATTACTAGACCAAACAATAACGTTTTCTAGGAAATTCGAATTGGAAGAATCAATTCGGCACGATCAAGAAGTACCGACAGTACTAACGATTATATCGACTGGCTTTCAGCCGATGCCTACGTGAATTAGGGATACTAGATCTCAACTTGTTTTCTAGAAGTCTGTTTGATTGCTTACGGGTATCTCTTGTTGATTTTTTTGCTAGGTTTTGCTTAGTTTATATCGGATAGGATTGTTTTGTTTTGATAAAAACTTCTGCTTCTGGTCGTCTTGTTGGAAATGCGTCAAAGTTGATTGTCTACTACATACCTATTTATACGTACAGAGCTGCGAAAGTAAAATCACTTATATAGGGCATGTCCGACTCGGACCCGGTGTTGAAAAAAGATCGACGAAAGTGCTACGAGGTATTTTCACTCTTCTTGGTTGTTCAAGTGCTAGTTCAGTCGCGCGACAAGTTCTTCGTTTGCTACGATATCCAGAAGGAGGCTGGGAAAAGTGAAGACCAGGCAATTCGAGCTTGCCGAAACGAGAAGAAGGTTCGAAAAAGGGGCAGAAGTGTATTCTCTTCCAGCTTTTCGACGCAGATTGTCCCGCTTCTTGGGTTGGCCATTTCATACGGAAGCACAACTTTGAAAAGTACAAGGAGCAGCTGATCGCACAGGTGAGCTTCCGTATGAGGTTGCTATATAATTGTTTAATTAAGGGGGTCAACATCGCCGATAAAAATGCTCTGGAGGGGAATAAAAAGTAACAGCGCAATTGAGGTATTTTTGTTACTGATTTACTAAATTGTTTTCAGGCCGTTCTTCTTCGCCTCGTTTGTAACTCTTCGTCTACTATTTATGTATGAAAGTTTTTCAACCCGAAATTTTGCCTTTCAGAACTCGCCACCCAGATCCTCATACAGTTCGACGGCAGTTGCGGCTCCTGTCCAACGACAGCTACTCGGTTTTACCAAGGTTGTTTCTCACAAATTTCGCTTACATTCTTGTTTTGATTTAGGATGCCGAACGTCTCACCATATCCGATGAACGTTTTGTGCAGAAGCACTTATTTAATTCTAAGTCTACAAAAATTACTCCCCTGATCGCACAAAATTTGATGACAGTAACTAGGTATGATCCAGTATTCGCGAAGCCAGTCTCCCATTTAGAAAATATCATTTATACGACGATGGTTTTACGCTTCTTTCTCGGATTCTCGACCCAAAGTCCGGGATCAAGTTGAATATATCGACGCTGGTTGAGGCCTCGATATTTCTGGGGAATTTATGGTTTGTCGATCGACCCATCTGCAACACTGTTTTAGCTGTCGTCGATTGAAAGACACGGACCAAGTGTACCCGTTGGCCCTTCAACTTTGGCAATTCTACAAGACACTCAAGTTGCCCCCTCTTCTCAGCTCTCCTATAGGTTGGGGATCTGTTTGGTATCACTTGATGATATTCTAGAGATTTCTTTAAATTATGTGATGACGGTACTCGGCGCACCTGAAGCAGTCGCACCTAATCGAAATTTATTACTCGACAATGGGAGACTGGTAGGGAAAATCGCAAATTAAAAACTCTGGTTCTTCAGAAAGAAAGCCACTTCTTCATGGCTTTGATGCATTTGGAAAATGTGGCTGCAACATCGGGCGCTATCAAAGAAGAATGGGATTATTTTAGGTGGAATTTGTTGTCGTGACTTCAATACCTTTTTAGGCTTTCTTTCAACGAGAGTCGAGCCTCGATTCTCTCAAATCCTTGTCTCTTTATCCCAATTTTACAGTGCCGGACTGGCAATAGGGTAAAACAGTTTTCTTTAGTTATTCCCTTACTCTAGGATCTCTTGCTTCGGATGACGACCGATTGGCTCTACGAGACACTTTGTGAGGCTGCACAACCAATAGCGGGGGCAGATTGGCCGTTCCTAGAAAGTTTGAACAAGTTTGTCCTTCTGCTTTATGAAAATAGCCTCATTTTCAGATCTCTAAAGGTCAATTGCACCCGCGTTCGTGTCAAAAATGATGGATCCCTCGATTTACCATCATCACTAGCAAAACGATTTGCTCAAGGCAAGAAAATCCTAAAAAAATTAATTTTTTTTCTTCCAGTGCTAAAATTGCCAGCCCAGGAACTTCCCGCCACGCTAATTCCCGATGTGCTTTCATACTTACGCGACAAGCTTTCTACAATGAAGCGTGAGAGAGGTATTGGCTCTGACTTGTGTTTAATATTTTGTTTAGCTGAAATTACGCTGAACGAGCTACAGCACCTTGAAAAACGCATGGTCCAGCTGAAGTCCAAGTTAAAAGGTAGAGTACGACTTATACGGGATGCTTTTTTAGAAAAGCAACGAGTAATCATTGTCGACACCCTGAATCTCGCCTACAAATCACGAAAGTTTGATATGGCCTGGGTCGGCCCCTTCATAAGATCGTAAGTGAATGGGCAGTAGTTTTATTCAATTGTTTTTTTATAGCATGGAAAAACACTTTGCCGCAATTGTCTTCATCACGAAGCCACACGCAAAGACAGCTCTCGCCAAGGCCCTTCATCAAGCGAAGCCGAACGACATTGTTGAGGTCTTCAGCTCTTTATCAGATCGGTAAGTTTCTTCCCCTTAATTTCTACATTTCCCTAGGGCCCACGACGATTTGTTGTCGATCTTTGCAGCCGGGCGGATCGGTGAACAAGCCTGGATACTGACCAACGATCAATTCAAGGCTCATGTCGAATTATTACGGGTTAGTAGTGGCTCAGTTAACGTAACCCGATTCTGCTGTGTTTCAGGAGGATGGCGATTTCGCCGCCAGCGAGAAGCTGGCCCAGTGGATCAACCGGCGGTCGATTCGACACTCTGGCGATCACAACTCGCAATTTGCATTTGACGTGAGGATTTTTTTAAAGGAGTATTTGCGGCTTCATTCCTTGACCATGCGCCCTCACTTATTGCTGCTTTTTCTCACCGTCTTGCTGTCTATTATGACAACGGGTTGTTTTTCTGCTCAATTGGCTAACTGTCTGTTTATTCAGTCAGCTCGCAGGGACAACCACCCGTCGTGGTAAAGCCGGTTGAGTGGAAATTGAACGTCCAGCAGGTGGACCGAGTCCCTTGATATTACCGGAGTCTAGATGGCTCCCAGGGATGTCCCGCCTGCCGTTCATGACTTTGTTCAGACCCTAAAAAATGCGCAAGGTTCTACACAACTTTATGTTTACTATTTATTATTTTAATTTTCAGGAAATCGCGTTCTTTAATCGTGATGTGAGATGGATTAATTGCCAGGCCCCAATCGATAAGGTATCATCACGCTATCCAGGAAATTCATCTTCTTTAGGTGTTATTTCTACCAGTGTGCCACACTACGGAGCAAGGACAAATCCAAAAATACGAGTACCACGTCGCCTTCCTCCCCAGCTAGTCAAATAGTTTAGTGCTGTTTCGTTGTGTGCCTTTGTTTTGTTTTTATTATCGGCCATTTTGTTTAATCACACACTTTAATAAATTTCCCTAGAGAGCGGTATATACACATGCGAGTTAATGCCAGGGCAAGGAGCGGGGTGGCTTCTTAAGCCTTCAGCAGGAAATGACGTCCAAGGACGAAGCCGGCCGACAGCGAGGTGCCGATGATCAGGGTGTATTTAAGCGAAGCCTTGGCGTGGAGACGGAGGCGGTACGAGAACGACTGGCAGGTCTCGATCTAGGAGGGAGATGGGAGAAGCTTCTTCCAACTACCTCGCGCACGATGCCCTGCAGGGACAGCTTCAACTTCTCGCTGCTAATTTGGCCTTGGTTGGCGAGCAGGCGGACACGCAGCGCGTTCACAAAGTCCTCAAAACAAAACTGAACGGGAGCACTTCAAAAGTTACATCATAGCCTTCCTGTCGGGCGCTTCCCTCATCGCGAGCCTCGGCAATAATCTTCCTTTAATGGGAATTTTTTTATAAAGTAAATCGACAAACGCGATTTCCGTAGCTTCCTGACGCATCGTCAGCAGCTGGACGTCGAGATTTTGCAGAAAGTAGCACACTTTCAGCAGCTGAGCATCCTGACCGGCATCTGAAACAAGGGCATTGTTGAACACACTCGGGGAATACCGCCGGCAGCACCGAACGAGCCCCTGGCTCCAAGGCCGTTGACGAGTGAACCAGGCTGCCATTTCGACAGCAATTCCTAAACAATTAATGCAGGAAAACATTGAAAGCAGCTCACCTCCTGCATCGTGGAACGGATTTTCTGCAGCTCATTCTTGTTCAGGCCAAGCTAGAATATTCCGTTGAAGCATGGCCATCAAACGCATACCGATTCATAATCGGTGCGCAATTGCTCGAACGGGGTCTTCTTGATGATCTCCACACGGTCCTCGTCGAGCCCAGCCTTGATGGCCACGCGCTCAGACAGCGAGATCGCCCTTTCCGGCACATTTCCGAAGCTAGTCTGCGGGAAGGCGGAGGTAGCCTTCTGAAAGTATGAATACGTAAAAACGAGAGGCGTTTTGCTCACCGCGCTGGGCATTCCGGAAATCTCCTTGTTCCTCTCCACATGCGTCGAGGAGACAAGATCGGCAAAGCTGGGCACGGGCGTAAGATTAACCTTGCCCTCACAGCGATAGGCAGGCACAAAGTCTCCATCCGATTCGTAATTTTCGATGCTGAAGGCCATCTCGCTCATGCTTCTGAAATAGGACGGTGTGCATGACGATGAAAATATTACTTGCGAAAGCTGTCCGGAAAGCAAGCCGACAAAAAATGGAGAAAAGAATGGAATGAAATATTTATCCAAAAAGCAAGACAGTCAATGCATTTATGCAAATGATAGTAATTGTCAACTTCCGAATACTCGTCTGTGAAGGGTATTGATTGTATCCCGTCTGTCGAAGCCTAAAGCAGTGTAAGAGTTTTCAAGACTGAGCGTACTATTTCGATCCAGGAGTAGCAGCAGCTGGTCGAACAGAGCTGGCTGATGGAGGAAGATCAACGGGATCGTCTCGAGTAGGTTCAGCAGCCGAGCCAGGCGCCGCTCCGCCCATGCACGTGTAATAGTCGAAAATATTCTCCATGCGGCGAGCGAAGTCGGCTTCATCCTCGTTGGCATCTCGGTATTGTCGGGCGGCAAACGTCGTCCCCAAGACAATTAGCACCACGCAAACGATGGCCGCTCGCACTAAATCGGAAGATTTGACAACGCTTCATAAACGATACCGCGAATTTCACGGCGTTGCTCAGAAGATGCGGCTAACTTCTCGGTATATGTCCAGCTCTCATCCTTCTGCGAAGCCGCGGCCACGGGCCTGTAGGGGACCACGGGGGTGTAGCCGCCGTACGGTTTCCCGACGTCGTAGTGATAGCGATCATAGAAGCCGGTGGGCAGCTAAAGCAAAGAGGATAAGCCTGGAGTAGCCCTTACCGCCAGACGCATGTCCTGCATACAATGCACAACCGTCCTCCGCGCACCCCTCAGATCCCACGAAAGCGACTTGAGCTGCGACACCATATCCGGTCGCAAACAGCGCTAAAGCTCCGTTTCACAAATTCACTTGCATTTACCCGAATCGCCGCTTTCTTGTCGCCGTTTTCGTGGAAAAATTGGATGGTGCAGCAACGGGACATGTACTCGCAAACAGTCTCGTTACTCGTCTCGACGTCGAATTGCAACGCACCATCAACCATTCTATCCAGCGGTTCGCAATGATTATCCGTCACTGCAAAAAGTTTTTCACTCGGTACATAGCAAGGTCTTACAGCCATGATGCTCCCACGTCAGCACGTCACGGAAGATATCGGCAGATATCTAAAGTAAATGTCTTAACAAGGCCGGTCAGAAAAAGATGGTAACTTTCTAATTTACCATTTTTTTTTGTTCTCGGCTCCCCTTCCCTACTGGGCTGTGTAATATACCAAAATGTTCGCCCTGTTCTGTTGAGTGAATACATTAAATTTCGCTCGAATTAGCGAGATAAAGAATTTGAGGTGGAAAGATCGTAATCTAGACTAGAGTTCAGTCAAAAGGATACCCCTAGCTCATGATTGCAGTAGTCCTGCTGGCAACAACAGACGTAGCTCTGCAGCTCTGGCATGTAGGCGCACAAGTCTCCGGTGCGCGAGTTGAATCGTTTAGCCATCTCCTAAAAGCGACTTCCATACAAATAAATGAAACGCACCTCGCAAAAGCCACCCAATCCACAGCTCGCCAGGCTGGACACGGTCTTGTTTCGGCCGATATGGGGATGGCGGATCCGTTCATTGTAGTAGATGTTCAGCGTGGGACGGAAGTCGATCGCCCGGACGCAGTATTTCTTGTGGAGGATGTACTGTTAGTAGAGAGCCAAACCCCGCAGGACTGTACGTACGTCGTCCAGCCACCATCTGCTCCGTAGTAGTCTGCAAAGCAGGAAGTGGCCGAAACCAAGCGTAAAGCTATAAAAAAAACATTACACGACACTCGGATTTTACCCAAAGGCAGAAACACTGCAGTTAGGAGCATAACGGCAAAGTGTCTGAATATCGTTGAAAGCCACTTGTAATACTCTGAGCATATGTAAAACGCAATTCATATGCAGTGTAAGGATCATGTAAATATTTATTCCAAAAATTCAACAAGGGCATCAACAACAAGAACATTTCAAACATAACAACTCGATAAAATCAACAAATGTGTTATCGCCTTCGCTTTCGCTCCACCTTCTCCTTTAGCGATCCGAGTGCATTTCTGTAAAGAATTAAATCCAGCAAACGAACGAGGCAAGCTCACCTATATGCCGCAATCCGCTCCTTGTTCTCCTCAAAACCGGCATCAGCGAAAGTGGCCACTTTGTGGTCTCGCAGGCCATTTTTCGTTAAGAAGAACTCAAAATCTCTGAGCTAAATTCCATTTGGGATAAAACCGTAAAAATACGCGAACCTGCTTGCTTTCAATTATCGACAACACGACTCCACTCGATCCAGCTCGCGCCGTGCGACCAGACCTGATTATGCTACATTGAACTTTGAGATAGTTACGCACCTGTGCAAAAACAGCCGGATATCCGTTGGCAAATCATAATTAACGACAGCCTCAATCTCCGGGATGTCGATACCACGTGAAAGAACATCAGAGGAGACGAGTACTCGCGTCTAAAAATGGTTATTTCAACGTCTTTGTCTTTTACCTGTCCCTTGATGAATCGATTCAACACCTTCTTGCGCCGATTACCAAACAAATCAGCTGTGAGCTGCTCTACCACAAATGAAGAGCCAGCCATTGTAGAAAGCACATGGGCCAAACGGTTTGAAGAGTCTCTAAAAGAAGTCAATCGCATAAATCAAACCAGAAAACAGTTACTTTCGGTTTGTGAAGATTAGCACACGTTTCCAATCGTTTTCTACTAATTTCTGATAAACTAGCAGCGGGTGATATTTCAGGAAGCCGCAGCACACTTCATGTGTTAGGGTATCCGGTAACGACACGCTGGCCACCATCTCTGTGTTCATCGCTGGCGTAATGTTTTCCTGGAGACTGTATAATGCAAGAAACCTAAATCGAACTCACCACATGCGATGAGGAGGCAGTGAAGAACTGCGGACAATAAAGGTTCCATAGGTTCAGATATTCAACGTCTCTCGATAGAGTAGCCGAAAGAAGGATTTTCCGGGGAAAACTGCGCGATTTCAGCACATGCGATAGGGAAAGAGCGCGACCGATACCTAAAAGTGCACAAACGACCTTATAGTGATGATTTTCAAGTACCCGATGCGCCATGGATCGCTCTCTCCAAAGTGTCCAGCCATTCCAGATGGAAAAAATTGCCCATACGATCAGCCTCGTCACAAATCAAAAACCTAGGAAAATTGTGAAAAAGGTCCTCTTCATACCGCAATTTCGTCAAATCCAATTTTCCGAACGTGGAGTCGAGGAGATGATTGACCAGTCGACTAGGGGTGGCAATGATGATGTCGGCTTTCTAATCCAAAGTTCACACAATATTTTTTCAACAAACCGCTGTTTGCGAGTTCCCAAATAGCTTTTACGCTCTGACAATAAGTCGTCAGAGCCGGACATTGAGAAGATTGTAGCTCCGTACGCATTATAGCGGAGGAATTCCTAAACGATTCTAAATGCATAGAGAGAAGAAAATACCTTCTCTGATTGATGAACCAGCTGCTGCACGGGCAGTACAATGACGGCAGTGGGGATACCATTCGGCTTCGTACCAGCGGCGGCGAGACAGGGAAGGACATAGCATAGCGTTTTCCCACTTCCCGTTGGTGCTGCGATCGCAACATCACTTGGTCTTGACAATGATGGCATCCGCAGCTCATCCAGGAGATTTGGCAGCACTACTTGCTAAATTAGAGTAGAAACGGAAGCCACAAAACCACTTGCCTGCACCGGAAACCAGCTAGGCAACAACTTCGCGCAGACCTGAGCTAGCTTTTCGGGAAGATTTTTGATGGTCTCCAGAGGTGCCAGATTATCTGGGGCCAACGAACTTTGAAACTTTTTCGCAGTTTTCAACCAGGAGAGCTCGTGTCTAAAAATAGGGATTAGAAACCGGTGCAGGTTACCTGATGGGTTTGCTCTTTTGGAATGTCTCTTGCCCGATCACGGTAAATTTCACTTCGGCTTCCTCAACCACCCTAAAATTGGGGGCTCTTATTAGAAGAAACAAACATACGGAGGTGCATATGGATCACCATTTTCGTGCGCACCTAAAAATTTGAATATATCGGGGCTACCGGATCAGAATATACCTTCTCCATGTGCTTCTTCTTCTTCCTCCGCGTATCCGTTCTCCGTGAAATGGTCGTCCGTCATTTCTGAACAGTAACAGTGTTGAATTGAAAAAAATAATAAAAACGTTTTGGATCAAATTACGCTTTTGAATTCTATGCACAAAGAGCGCACGTGGGCAGTGGCGCCCCGGAAAGAGGGGCAGAAACGATCGAGACCAGCACCCCGACTGTGTGAAAACGTTGCTTGTGTGGAAAAGCTGGAAGTAAAGATGAAATGTAAGAGTCTAATTTAGTGGCAAAGGAAAGACCCTGTTCTATTGTGACTTGAAAAAATCGAAACGTTCGGAAATGAAGGAATATCGGAGCTATTGATGTTTGGGGGGGCATCTTTTTTTGGGGTTTTTCCGGCCTGCTGCCAAGTCTAAGCTAACCAGGCCAAGCCCAGCCTAAGCATAACCTAAGCCAAGCCTAGGCTTAAGCCCAATCCTAAGCTAAGTCTAGAACAATCCTGCTGGGCTGGGCCAGCCTAAGCTAGGCCTAGACTACATACTGACTAGCTAGCCAAAACCAAGCCTAAGTTGCCTAAGCTAGCCTAGCCTAATCATAAGCCAAGCCTGGCCTAAGCAAGTATAGCCAAGCGTCGCGAAGTCAAAGCTAAGCTGCCTAAGACTGGGCGCCAAAAAAGAGATGTCCCCCAACATCAATAGCTCCGGAATCTTTTGTATTGAATAACACAATATCTGTTCCGAAAATATGAACTTTACTAACTTTTTATTGTTTGGAATTTACTTTTTCAAAAGTTGCGAAAAATTTTTGATTTTTTTGGCGGTATTCCAGGACAATACTAAGGACGGTATGGGCTATTTTCTAAACAGCGGGTATTACCGTAACGGACGCGCAACAGTCGACACGAATTGCTCGGTCGAAATCACATCATTTCATTTCACTCAACGTCCTTTCACCCGAAAATGAAGTTCCTCGTGCTGTCCGCTCTGCTCGCCGTCTCGTTGGCCATCACTGTGGAGGAAGTCGACACCAAGGAGACCACCATCGAGATGGTCATCTTCCCCGTCGATGGCTCCGGTGAAGGCAGCGGCTACGGATCAGGATACGCCAGTGGCTCTGAAGACTCTTCGGAATATGGATCAGGATACGCCAGTGGTTCTGCTGAAGCCAGCGGCTATGGAAACGGATATTCCAACGGCTACGGAAGCGAATATGCCAGCGGTGAACTCGAAGAGATCGAAATTATCAAGATTGAGGAGATCGAAATCGAGTTCGGCTCGGTGAGTTTATTTTAAACTTTTTGTTGTTTAGCCTATTTACTTTGACATGAAAGTTTTTTAGGGCAACGAAGAACATGACCGCTCTCCTCGCCAGGCCAATGCCAGCGCCACCGAGGCCCCTGCTACCACCAGCCAGACTACCACCGACGACGACAAGAAGTGCACCATTGCTGCTCTCTGCGAGTCTGACGATGAGTGCAATGGCGGTCAGTGCCTTGGACTTGCTCCTGGAAAGTGCAACTGCAATGCTTGCCTCTCCTTCCTCGCCTGCAAGTCCGACGCTCACTGTGGAGGACTTACTGGCGCCTGCAACAAGAACTCTAGCCTCTGTGATTGCCAAGGAGTGAGTTTTTTAACAACTTTCCTTTTTCCTACATGAGCTTCCTAATTTTTCGTTTTAGGCCTTGACCAAGCTCGGGTTCGCCAACTTGATCGAGTCGGCCACCAAATTCTGCAACGTGAAGACGTGCAAGGACAATGAGTGCAATGGATTGCCCTGCAACAAGGGTTTCTGCTCGTGCCCCGCCAAGAAGGACGAGTAAACCACAATCTGTGAATACCGCCGAATTTTTACTTTGTACTTTGATGCATGATAAATTTGTCATTGAAACCAGAATTGCACCGATAATGAGCACACGATCCGCGTAACCCACTATACCTTGTTGGCGCTTTGAAACGCTTTGCGGTTGATGCACTTATTGGCGGGCGAATTAGGGTGTGTGCGAAGAAATGCTCGTCTGTGCCCGGCGGTGACGTATCGATCCCGACCAAGTCTCATGGAAGGGGTGTCGGCTATCGCTCCCCCAACAACAACCGAAATGATTTTTCCATAAATAGGTTTTGAGTGAGATCTATTCTTTTCCATTAATAGGGGTGAGAATCTGGAAGAACTTTTGGATAACAGTCTAAGATTGGGGTTGTATTGACTTTGACTTTTATTTGCAAGAATAGTTTGTGACTGGCAATGTTTGTCGATGTGGTTTCTGTCGAACGTTCTCAGATTGGTCTGCAATGTACCTTGTTTGGCTCTAGTAATCGATGTAGACGGGTGGACCAATGCCAACGTATGTCTCTCTCCTCTTCCGGGATGTCCATGCCCCGTTCACATGTGCCGCAATTTTTGTTTTCCACGCCCGGCCGACCCCCTACAAGAGAGATGGGGCGCTAGGTTTTGAGATCTCGTTGTGTAAGAGCCATGTCCATCTCTTCCCTGATCCTATTTGCTTTTGTCGCCTCTTACCGATGAGGGCGAATTGTGTGCAAAATCGTTTATGCTCTTTGCTACCGGGTCGGGCTTATCAAGCGGGGGTGGGAGGGTCAGCACCTGGGTTGTTCATCATTCTCTTCTTGTATTACACTCGTGATTTTCATGAGTTCATTTTAGTTTATGAGCCATACTTTTTCAGGTAGTTTTATGGTTTTTTGGGCGCTACTTCAGTTTGCTGGCCCCACTTATATTTCGCCAAAACCTCATGTTTCCGGGCAGTTTTTGCGCTGTAAAAACACTATCCCCCCCCCCCCAAACAAAAAAAAAAAAAAAAAAATTAAAAATTTTTTTTTTTAAAAAAAAAAAAAAATCCCCCCTCCCCCCCCAAAAAAAAACTCTCTTTTTTTTTTAAAAAAAAAAAAAAAAAAAAAAAAAAAAAAAAAAAAAAAAAAAAAATATTCTTCCCCCCCCCCCCCCCAACCCCCCCCCCCCCCCCCCCCCCCCCCCCCCCCCCCCCCCCCCCCCCCCCCCCCCCCCCCCCCCCCCCCCCCCCCCCCCCCCCCCCCCCCAACCCCCCCCCCCCCCCCCCCCCCCAAAAACCCCCCCCCCCCCGACAAACCCCCCTTTTTTTAAAAAAAAAAAAAAAAGAAAAAAACTCCCTTTAAAAAATTTTTTTCCCCCCCTTTAAACCCCCCCCCCCTCCCCCCCCTTTTTAACCTTTTAAAAAAAAAAAAAAAAAAAAAAAAAAAAAATTTTTTTTCCCCTTCAAAACACAACTTACTAGTGTTTTTCGGAATCAGCGCAAAAAACTAGCCCGGAAACATGAGGTTTTGGCGAAATATAAGTGGGGCCAGCAAACTGAAGTAGTGCCGTTTTTTGAGCATCGACGAACGATGTTTCACCGTCGAGCTGCCAAGGCTGGACTTGCGCTACTCGGAGGTTTATTAACTATGTGATTAAAGAGTTCTGTTTTATAGGCTCGGCTGCGGCAATTTATGCGATAGATGTGACAAATGAAAACCGGTTTAAAAATGGCATGGTGGGTGCATTCCTGTCTAGCTAAACCGCTTGTTTAGAAACAATATTTCCGCACGGCACATGCCGATTTATTAACGGAGCTGAACAAACGCCCTTCCGGTCAACTACCGACTAGGACAGACATTGTCTCCAAACTGAAGCAAGAGGTAGTTTGCTGCTGCATTTCAAGACGGCGATTTTTTATTCAGGAGTTCGATATTTTGGTGGTCGGCGGCGGTGCATCGGGTGCTGGTGTGGCCCTGGACGCCCAAACACGAGGTTCGAAAGACTCAGGCTTCAACAAAGAAATAATCTAGGTCTAAAAACGGCACTTGTCGAATTTGATGATTTCTCCTCGGGTACTTCTTCGCGCAGTACTAAACTCATCCATGGTGGTGTCCGCTACCTCCAGGTGGTTTTGTTTGCGCTATCGAAATTCTTTTCAGGCAGCCATTTTCGGCCTGGATATTGAGCAATACAAAATGGTCAAAGAAGCATTGTTCGAACGGGCCAATCTACTCGAAATTGCCCCTCATCTGAGTTGCCCTCTACCTATTATGCTTCCCATCTACAGGTTGTTCTTGAAAATCGTCACTTAAAACTTATTTATTATATATTATTTAAATTTAAAATTCAAAACTTATTTAGCTGGTGGCAAGTTCCTTACTACTGGTTCGGCATCAAGGCGTACGATTTTGTCTCTGGAAAACGTGTACTGAAGAACTCTTTTTATATCGATAAGGAGAAGGCTATGGAAAGGTGCTATTAACTAGTTTTATTTATCTCGTGATTTAGGTTTCCGATGTTGAAAAAGGATAACCTTCGTGGAGCATTGATCTATTATGACGGGCAGCACAACGACGCCCGCATGAACCTGGCTATCGTTTTAACCGCTATTCGCCACGGAGCAAAGTGTGCTAACCATACGAAGGTGGAACGACTTCTGAAAGACGAGAACGGGAAAGTATGTGGAGCTCGAGTGAGGGATATGATCAAGGGTGAAGAATATGATATCAAGGTGCGTCTTCGGGCATTAGTCTAATGGATTTTCGATAGGCGAAATCTGTCGTCAACGCAACGGGCCCATTCACTGATACCATTCGTAAAATGGCCGACCCGACAACAGAACCGATTTGTGCTCCGTCCGCTGGTGTGCATATCGTGTTGCCCGGATATTACAGGTTGGCCTGGGCTTTTTTTCAACACACCATCGTTTCAGCCCCTCGAATACCGGCTTGCTCGACCCGGCCACCTCGGATGGACGTGTGATTTTCTTCTTGCCATGGGAAAGGATGACGATTGCCGGTAGAACTTTGCTAGTGTGTGAATTTACTGGACCCAGGCACCACCGATGCCGCCTCCGAACTGACGCATTCTCCGGCACCGAAGGACCAGGATATCGAATTTATCCTGAATGAAATTCGCGGCTACCTTAGCCAAGATGTCACTGTTCGTCGGTATGTGTTTGGAGTTTGGGAAGTCGTGATTTTTATCCTATCGATAATGATAAAAATTAACGCTTTAGTGGTGATGTAATGTCGGCCTGGGCAGGCCTTCGTCCTCTCGTCAAGGATCCGAACAAGAAGAACACCGCCAGCTTGGCCAGAAACCACATTATTGAGGTTCGAGCTTGGTTTGTGTTAAATCATCATAATTAGGTGTCCGAATCCGGGCTCATCACCATTGCCGGCGGCAAATGGACGACCTATCGGCACATGGCTGAAGAGACAGTCGATGCGGCAATTAAGGCACATGGATTGAAGGTAATGCCCGCGAATGAGTTGGCAATATTTTATTTCAGCCCGTCAACGGATGTATGACGCCCGGTTTGAAGCTTGAAGGAGGCCACGATTGGGATCCGCTGCTTTACATTCATATCGTGCAAGATTACGGGATGGAGGTTGATGTCAGTTTTTTAAGGAGATTGATAGATTGGATTGACGTGCTTGCTTCTATTTATGATTTTTCTAGATTGCACAGCACTTGGCCAACACCTACGGTGATCGCGCATTCGTGGTGGCCCGTATGTGCAAGATGACCGGAAAGCGGTGGCCAATCGTCGGAAACAAGCTGCACGACGAGTTCCCGTATCTCGACGCCGAAGTGCGATATGCTGTGCGCGAATATGCTGCGACGGCCGTCGATGTGATTGCCCGCCGGTTGCGCATCGCCTTCCTCAACACGTACGCTGCCCACGAGGTGCTCCCAGAGGTAATTTGCTGGCCCAAACCCATTCATATTTTTATCTAGGTCGTCCGGATTATGGCTGAGGAGCTCGGTTGGAATTCTTCCGAACAACGCCGACAGCTCGAGATTGCCCGCGAATTTATCGATCGCGAAATGGGCCAGGAAGCAAGGGCACAGGTGGACTTACTCTTTTACATATATTTTTGATTGGTTTAGGCTGTTTCAAACGTTGCCCTGAACCTGACGCGCGAAGAGATGCAGCAGGCCAAGGAGCGCTTCAACCAGCTTGACAAGGACCGAAAGGGCCACATCACCGTCAACGACTTGCGCAGACACTTTAGGGTGATCGTTGTCATCAAAGTGTTTATTTTTTTATTTTTCAGCAAAGAAATCAGAAGATTGATGAACGTTTGTTGCACGAACTCTTGAACGAAGTCGACCTGAACAAGAATGGCGAGTTGGAAATTGCCGAGTTCTTCCAGGTACTGCGTTGAACTTGTTTCCTTAGTCTCTGCCTGCCGTTTCAGCTCTATTCCGGTCTGAAGGGCGGTCAAGTTGTGCAGAATCGTCTGGTGCGCTACTTGGATGAGGCCAGCCTGGAAGTCCCGGTGCATAGGTCCGGCGGAGGTGTCTAATTCCGGAATCACATCTCTTTAGGGTTTAGACTAGTTTTTATACATCATTTCTCGTTTGTTCCTGCCATGTTTTCTTGTCACGTTGCATTTTGTTAGTCTCCTTGCACTTTAACAAACATCGCTTAGCCTGCTGTGTATATCCCCCGTTCTGTGAATCCTCCCCCCTCTTCTTTTGCTGCTCATCTCGTGTTATCCCCTGAACAATGTGCCCAAACCCGTATAATGCATTAATAAATCCGATCATTTTCACATACTTATACTTTATTTTCCGACAGGGTTTGCCCAAGGATGTAGAGATGACGACGAGATCTGTTTGGGAGAAAAGGGAGTGATCTTTCGAAAAGCTTCTGCCCATAGCACTATGTACACCAGGTATGCGACACGTGGACTTTTAGAGAAGGTCAATTCTACTTCGGCCACTGCCGGCACCGGGGGAATGGATGGAATGGAAACACCGAGCAAGTCTACTGGAAGAATAGGTTAAGCACAGCGGTATACTGCTTACAAAACAGAAGTAGACGAGAATTAGGGACGCAAGTAGTCGAGATCAGATGCGCTTGCGTGTATGGCACTATAGGTTATTGCGACGGGAATTTCTGGGGGCTCCCTGACTAGAGTTTGGAGTGAAAAAAATAATCATCAGTTACCGCGTTTTCGGCTATATAGGCTGTAAAGAGGCGATGGATAGAAACTAGGGACACTGGGGGGGGGCATGAATTCCTAAAGAGCCGTGATTATATTATTCCAGTACAAGCAGTCAGTCACATGAGATCGGTCAGCGAGAAGATTGTGGGATTAGTATGGCTTGAATTGGTTGTGGGGGCTCAGCCGCGCTTCGTGTCCTCGTTGATCTTGTTCCGGATGAGGCCCGGGAGCTCGCTGACGTCTTCGATCTGGGGTCATTTTTGGTTTTGAGATTAGCTTGGGTGACTTACGAAGTAGTCGGTGTACTGGGCGAGGGTCTCGCGGTTACCGACGCCGGTCAGCACGCCAACGCTGGCTCGCAGGCCGGCCACGCGGCCCATCTTCAGATCGGCTATCGTGTCGCCGACCATGATCGTGTCCTGAGAGAAATTGTTTTCGTTTCTTATTTTTATTATTATCTAGGTAGGTTATGATTTTTCAATTTTTTACAAATTACAGATTCATTTTTACTAGTTTTGGTTTGTAAAATCTCGGTATTTGCAAGGGGGTCGACTTTTTCCCATCGCGTCTAGTTTCTCGAATATAGATACAGCGTTTCTAGACTGTTTTTCCTATTCAAAAGCGGAAAATCTTTATAATTTTTAGTAAAGCTCAAAAACGTCATTTTGACCAACATTTCAAGTTTTCCAGCCGAGTTTCAAGGGTTATGAAGTTCCCACCGTTTGAAAACATTTTGAGTACAAAATTTCGAGTTCCTTTAGAAGTTTCGCGTTTTTCGGCAAATGGCCGGTGCACCAAGCGAGCCATGGGAAGCCAGGAAACTCGTTCGTCATCACGAGGCAAAAAGCACACGCCATCTTTCGCCCCAAGCAGCCCAGCCCGGCCCCGCCGCCCCGTTCTCCCAAGGGAGCCGCTTCATCCTCGAGAATACGTCTCCATCCGTTTCACACAAAACACCGGCCGGGCGGGGCCCCTCGGGGGGTTCACCGCCGCTCCGCGCGCACACTGACCCCCGGGCATGCCTCGCTTTTTTTAGGGTGAGGATGAATGTGGCGGAGTTTTGGAAAAGCCGAAACCCACCTTCAGCTCGACGTTCAGCTTCTTGCAGATTTGGACGGCGCAGTGGGGAGAGGGCTTCGGGATGATGCCGACATCGTTGCCGCACACAACGTGGTCCATGTAGTGCTCAATGCGGAGCAGTTTCAGCTGGTTAACCGTGGCTGCCCTAAAGTCGTATATTACGCGGGGGAAAATAGCTGATGGAGTAATATGAGAATAATAGTATTAAGGTTTCTTCGTAGTAAATTCAAAATTACAAAAATTAGCTTAGTTGAACTTTATAACTGCGATTAAATCTGTTATATAATGTAACATACGGATTTAGCAAAGCTACTTACCGACTGTCGGCGGTGCACACGGCGCTCTTGACGCCCATCTGGCGCAGCTCCTCCATCAGAATCTGCAAATCGCAGACGGGCCATGTCTCGCCGGGTGACTGCTCGGGCACGGCGTGCTCGACGATGCGGTGGGCCTCGTCGTGGGGGATGTCGTGCTCCTCCTAGAATTCGCGTCAAGGATCATGATTTCTGGATGGTCACTCACAACAAGTGTCATCGCCACGTCCTTCCGGATGCCGAGCAGCGTCTTTTCGGCCAGCGATCCCATCGACACCTGGGAAATTATTGTTTTAGGTATTTTTTGAACTTTATTTGGCGCTTTTTAGCCTTTTTAATATCGGTGGGTGAAAATAATGTTTTTTCCCAGCGTCCAATTTTTGTAATATTAATAGAGGAAGTATTTTTAAACCGTTTTTTACTAGTCCGAAACCTAAAAATTTACAGAGCTCCATAAACAAAAACCTTCTAAAAAATAGATTTTTCCAACAAGACTGGCGAATTTTCGACCAGATTTGAAATAAAAACCATTTTTCTCGGTTTTTTTGGTAGCTTTTCCGCTCGAAATAGCTTTAAATCTGACTAAAAACCACTATTAAAATAGGTGCTATCAAATAACTAGGCATTTCTGCACTTATTGAAAAGAAAATCGTCCCCAGCCGATATTGCGAAGCACCAACTTTCGGCATAATTTTCTTTTTCGAGAGCATTTTTTGAGGTATTTTCAGGTACCAGCTGTTTTTTTATCGACCACGAGACCGACAAGGGGTTATTTCGGGGCATTCTCAACGACCACGTTCAATCCCTTTCTCCTCCACCCTCCTCAAAATATGGAAATCCGATTTGGTCGGCGGCCACGAAAAATGCGAGGGCCCAGCCGCCGGAGACACGACAACCTCGACTCAGCCGGCCCAAACTCGATTGACTTGCCCCCGTCGCATCAAAGAATTCCGCGCGCCATCCCCCGGAAAAAGGCGCGCCCTATTTTGATGGGGTGCGTTCGGGCTTTTGGGTATGTTTTTGAAGATTTCACGCAAACAATGGGCCGAAGTCAACAAATTTGAAGCTAAGCTAGGCCAATCAAAGCTCACCCTCTGCTTGTGCGGGTCGACGCCGAGCGTCTTGTACACGGCCGGGCCAACGCCGCGTCCGGTGGCCGTCTCCAGGCTGAAAAATGGGGTTAAAAGACCAGTGATAAAATATAGACGATAATGATTAATTTCTGAATGTTTTTAAGCCTAGCAAAAATTTTAATCGGAAAAACATCTGGGCAAAATGGTAGACAAATTATGAAAAAATCGGAAATATCGAATTTTAAAAGCTTTCAAAATGTTTTGAGAATTGCGTATCTGTCGGTAAATATATCAAGACCAATAAGATAGACTATAAAAGATAAGCTAGAAACATCAGCGAAAAAAATGGACTTTTTCGTCAAAATGGTAGAAAAACGATGAAAATCTTCTAAAATCTCATAAAACTAACAGTATTTTAAAAGATTTAAAAATGTTTTTAGAACTGTCGATCTATCGTAAATTATTAAATAACAATAAATATAACCCATACTAGACTTTTGATACTAGACATTTTCCGAGTATATAAAAAAGACGTAGTTTTGGTCGCGGCTAAAATTTTGATACCCCCAGAAGAAATAATCAATCAATAAAGAATAAAAAAGAATATCCTTATTGTCAAAAAATAAACGTACAGTCGAACGGTAGCGTGGGCATAGGGCAGCCACATGCGATGGAAGTCGACGAGGGTGCCGTCCTTGTCGAAGATCACCAATTTCACCGAGGGGTTCGTCATCTGGAAATTAGAGGAATTTGAGGCGGAATTTGGGAAATCAAAAGCTAACGAAAATCAAGAAAGAGAGAGAAAGATCCACAAAATTATTCCCAACGCCAAGGATGGGTAAAAATTTGCCGGGGGCGCCAATTTGTGAGGCGCTGGGCAGTAAATCCGAATGTGCGCTGCCAATTGTTGGGTGCAATTCTGGGGGAAGGTGAAGCCGAGCAGATTCCCGGGGAGGAGCATGAGCTACAATTAGAGGGATGCGTGAACATCACGGGACAAATCATTGGCATCTTCCGGGGGCCAGGGAAAGATTTCTGGAATATGGCACAGCCTTTTCGGGAGGCCCAAAAATATTTTAGAGTACTGGACTGTTAGCGGGGGGGGGGCACGGAGGGAGCTGATTTTCGAAGAAGCTCCGTGCTCCGAATAATAAGATACATATCGTTTATGTAGCTTTTACGCCGTATTTCGGAATAGAAAATTCATAAAAAATGAAAGTGAAGCATAAAAAAAAACATTAAAAAAGGTTTAACGACTTATTAGCAGTCAAAAACTGCTAAAACACTGAAGATCTTTCTAAATTCGTTAGTAAAGACAAGATAGCTGCACTCCCCCTCCCCCGCTAACAGTCCAGTACCGAATTTTCCACAACCTATCGCAAAAGGTGAAAAGCTAAAGATGAATGTTTTAGGTAAAAAGCCCTCGAAAACCTCGTGCTCCTTCGCAAAGTGCCTTCATTATTTTAACGTGTCATTATCGCGACTCGCGAGGTTGTTGTTTTTTCGTGTTCCCGCCCGAATAAAAGAGGCTGATTTGGCTGGGGCTCTACTCGCCGGGCCAGTCATGAGCACCACCCCATAATAGCCAAAATCAGCGGAGCCGAACCGAGGGCATCTGAAAGCACGTTCTCCCAAAAGAACAGGGCGATTAATTGAAATTAGAGGGCGGTTGTGGCTGGGAACGGCGATTGAGGTGGAAAGGAAAAATGAGAGGACGGCCTCCCCCTTTTAATCTGAGCACGAAAATAGGGGCCAGAGGGCCATAGGCGGGTGACGGCGAGAATCAGAAGGCCACACGGTGCCCAATTATGGGAAGCGGAGGGAGGGCTGAGATTGCGGATTCACATTCATAATTCTGGGCGGCTTTTCCAGCCGGGGCAAAAGCCGCAAACACTTTTGGGGTGAAACTTTAGCTTCGAGTCGAAGAAGATGTAGCTCGAAAAAAATGGCGGTACTGGTTTGTTAGCGGGGGCATTGATTTTTTAAGACAAAACGATGGATTTTGGGTTCTTATTCATTAACGGGGGGATTTGTGGCTAGGGGAAAATAACTTTTTTTTCAAGGTTCTTTTAGCCGCCTTTAAAGAAATCCGTAAGCATTTTTCTTCAAACATTTTGAAGCCTTTAGCGCGCATTTTTTAGATATAAAAAATCATAGTCAAAATTTTTACTGTGACACAACAATATTAACAATGGAGAAATTTATAGTTTTTAAAGAAGCTTCAATACATTTTTATTAACGGAAAACTACCTAAAATAGCATAAAAATAGTATTTTTTTTGGTATAATTTTGCCAACTAGACTACTTTTCTAGTACAGGCTGAATAAAACAAGCTAGCCCCCCCCGCTAATGAAACAGAATCGCAAAATCGATAGTCACACCTTGCCAGTCCCTTTAAAAAACGGCAAATCCTAAAAAATCGCTTTAAAACGACAAAAATTAGAATTCCGAGACCAAACTCCTTCCAAAAAAGGGACAAGCTCCCCAGAAATTCCTCGAAACGAAAGTTCATTTCTGAAGGGCGATGGGTGTGGCCGGGGGTGAAGATGCGACACCACGGGACGTGTCTATCGCCTCGCCTTGGGGCCCGATGAATTTTTCAAAAAGTGCCTCTTCTACCAAGTGGACCCCCTGGGGCAGCTTCTCCCACGAACACGCGAGAACCCAGCCAGCCTTTCGGTGGGTGGTGGATACAATTTGGTGTGGGCAGGGCGGAGGCGTTTTTGGGGGTGTTCTCGGAAAAAAAGCAGATAATATGGGAACGGAAAAGCTTGAAATAGTTAGAAGCGCCACGTGACGAGGCTTGAGAAAACCTAGAAAAAGGCATCCTGGAGCTTCTGTGAGAACCTTTCAGAAAAAGGTGGATAAAAACAGAAATCCTAAAATCGTCATCAGCTAAATGTGACGAAGCTTGAGAAAAGGGTACTCTTCTTTTAGCGGGGGGAGGGGATTTTTAGGGGAGAACCAAATTTCCCCAGTAATTCCGTACGCTTTGATATAAACAAAACCAAATTTTTATACATAGCGTTTTACATTGTTTTTAACTATCAAATGCCATAAAAAGTATCAAAATGTTGCAATTTTTTTACTTTTTGCTAAAAAAGCATGAGAAAATTTGCGATTTTCAGCATTTAAAATATTTTTTAAACTTTCGAGCCATCAAAAACCTATTAAAAACACTACAAAATACGCAATGTATTATTATCAGCAGAAAGTCTAAATCAATTTTTAGAATTTTTAAAATGTTATAATTTTCTGGCACCCAAAAACTATCCTATACCAGAGGGTGAATAGAAAACTACATACCCCTCCCCCCGCTAAAAATACAGTACCTTCTTGAAAAAAATTATAAGAGTGGTCATGTGAGGACTTGTCTTGTTGAGCCTCAAGTTTTGAGCGCGAGAAAAAGACATTCTGGAGTCTGAAGGCCCCTTGTCTCGGCCTAACGAACGCGGAAGCAGAACCCGAGGAAGGAGCAGCAGAAAAAGAGGGAGCACAAGAAGAAGCCGACGACTTTCCCAACGAACCAACAAAACTCGGAAAATCCTGGGGCTCGTCACCGCGCGAGAGCGAGCACAGCCCGAGGGCTTTCGGCTCCGGCCTCCGGAAATCCGAGCTGTTCGGACCCATTTTTCCCAGTGACAGACAGCCCGATGGGGCCAGCCCGTTTTTGGGTGGGAGCCCGGCAAATTTTCAGGAAATTCGAGCGGGTATCGCTTTTTTTCACTTTCCCACCACCTCGACCACCCCAAGTTTGAAGGAGGAGGATCGGGATCGGGTGACGATGAATAACCCAAAGAAGACGCCCACCATCAGCTGATGGGGGCAATGGCATTGAAGCGTTCCGGGTTACGGTAGTCGGGTCAAAATATAGAGGGCAAGCTGGATAGATTTTTAAAAATGGGATTTGGGAAGTTGTAAAATAATATAAACGTTTCTCTTCCACCTACAGCGTTCTAAATTACACCAAAATGTTCAGATCCGCTTGGGGAACAGGAAAATGGATAAACTTTAACCAAAAAAATAGGACATTTTAAGCTTGAAAACCTAGCTGGAGTTCTTCAGAAAATTTTTGCCGTCCAGCTGCGCTCTTAAAAATGGAAAAATTAAACAAAATTTAAGCGTCTTTTTAAAAAATTCTATAAATTTCTCCTCTAACATAAAAAACTCGAAAATAAAATTCCCTGGAAAAAAAATTAAGAATCTCGAAAATTCTGGGATTTCGAATTTTTGATCGCCAATTCTCAGAATCTCAAATTTCCTAAGGCTGGATGCAGGGCCTAGATGTGTGAATCCGCAGTTAAATAAAGCAGGATTCCGTCTATGGAAATTTCGAAATTATCAAATTATCTATCTAACTATATATATAAAAAATAGTGTTTGTGTGTGTGTGTGTGTGTGTGTATATTTGCATGCAACTTCCGTGAGTATGTACCGCACCTACAGCTTCTGGGGAAGGTTTTTAAGGTATGTTTGATACGTCATTAGGTGCGTAAAGGTGCCGAGATGAGTGCACAGACATAAAAGTGTTGAAAAATTACTGTTTTCGCTATTAAAATTCGGTTTTTGTAAAGATTTCTAAAAACCTCTTTGTTAGGGACAATTAGCATGCGCCGGAAGCAGGAAGAGCCTATATAAAGGGACAAAGGAACCGTTTTTCATTTTTTTCTTGCTTGGATCCAGGAAGAAACATGCAAATTGAGGGCTTTCACGGGTCCTAGACGGGGCCAGGGTTGAAAAGCCGCGAAGCGGTTTTTCAACCCTGGTAGTATGCTAATTATCAAAAGTCCGAGCAAACCAGAAAAGGTCCCCCAAAAACCGCCACTAGAATCTACAACCACTACTTGTTATCAAGGGATCAAAGGCTGGGGAAAACACATGTTCTGGCAGGGCACTTCCCGCCCCGGCTGACGATGGGATGGAGATGAGAAGCTGAGGGCAAATAGGTTCGGAGAGTTGCTGGTGAAAAATGCGTGTGCAGGAGGGGCCCTCGAGAACCCACAAACACTATCCCAAAAAGCGGGCGCGCGAGCCGTTGAGCAAGCGTTTAGCCTAACATATCGGTTGCTCCCCTGTTTTTTTGGCGGTATCATCTGATGCGAGGGTTGACCGGGGGAAACAGACCTTTCTGTAAATTAGTAGGGCTATCGCAGATTAGTCGATCAATAAAAGTAATGATAAAAATTTTTGGGCTCGGGAAAAGGTGAAATTATGTTTATTTAGTTAGAATTCAAAGTGAATTATGTGGTTCTTTCGCATTAGCCGGGGGGGGGTCAACTTTTGCTAAGGATCCAATTTTTCCGATAGATACATGTTTCCAAACTAGTTTTTTTTAATATTCTAAACCTAAAAACTTTGCCCATTTTGATTGCAAATACAAAAAATCTAGATTTTTCGAACAACATTTCGACTGAAAATGTTTCTAAGTTTTTTAAGTAGTTTTTCCACTTGAAATATAGCTAAATTTTACTAAAAACACTTGAAAATACTTACTATTACACTACTAGCCATTTCTGGGCTCATAGGAAACCCCCCTCCCCGATGATGCGAAAGAACCTCAAAAATTTCTCTGGCTATTCAAAATGCGCGAATTTCGCCCACGCACCACGTGCTTCGCCCAAAAGTCAGCGGGGCTCGGGGGCTTTAGTTAGGCATTCCAACCCGGTCGTAGAGGAGGATAGCTGCCGAAAAATGGCTTTGTTAGCGCCGTCGACGACATCCAGCGAGCTCGTGGCAAAGGAATAAAGAGAAAAAAGAAGTAGAGATAGCCTAACTAACATCAGGAAATCTATAGAAGCCTTAAAAAAAACTAAAAACAAGCTGGAGAAGTGGGGGTTTAAACAAATCTACCAAAACAGAATTTAAAGTGTCATCACTAAATCCTAGAAACCGAGAGCCCAAAAATAATCTGAAAAACCGCGCCATATGAAGAGCTAGAGAAGCAGATTAAGCCCCAGTAAATTCCACACTTTTCGTGAGTGACGCATCTTGAAAAGTTTTTGTTTCTTAAAACTTTGGGCCCAAAACACTTGCCAAGCCCCCCCCCCCCCTAATAAAACCCCATTGAACGAGGAGATGATTGCGGCGGCGGGGAAATGATCTTGCCGAGGAGGTGGAGCAGGGCGCTAAGCAACACCAGTCTTCTTCTCGCGTTTTTCGCCGGCCAGCCGAATGGCCGATGAGCGCTTTTTGGCCGTTGAACATCTGTTTGCGGGGATGGAATTTGGGTGTTGATCTGCCAAAGTGAGATTGAGGGTTTTCCTTAGAAGATTCGATCGCGAGCTTGGGATTTAAAAAATGGTGCTGGACTGTTAGCGGGGGGGGGGGCTAACTTTCGCATAGGGCCTCCGACCCCTAAAAATGCATAAATTGAGCCAATTTTGGAGGCTTTTTGATTTTTAGGCAAATTCAAAAATGTCAAAAAAATTTTATTCATTCTAATCCTTAGTCAAAAATTGTCAAGAATGAAGTTTTTAACTTTATAAATGACTTTTTGGTTATCAAAAACACTATAAATATTTAGGTGTGATAAATAATGGCATAGCCCCCCCCCCGGTAACAGTCTATTACCAAAAAGAGTGCGAAAATTCCCCCGGAACACTACCGAACTCAAAAAAACTCTGGCTCCGCCAACCCCCCGGAACTTCCACACGCTGCAAATAAAATTATACAAAGCCATCCTCATGGGGCTGATGAAGCCGGCGGGCTCCATTCAGGATCCAGTTGAAAGGAGAAGAAGCCTTGGGTTGGTGGTGGTGGGAAGATGCGGGGGAGTGATTCCAATTGGCCGCACCCCGCCGACTTTTCTCCGCCAGTCTTCCGCTTCTTCGGAACCGGAGCTCTGGGGTGGGTCCCTAGGGGATTCACGGGCGCTCTTATCCAAAACTCGACGTGTGCTCAAAAAACGTGGGATGGCCCGAAAAGGGGGATGGTGGCCCTAACGGTGTTATCTGTGAGTACTACGGCGGACAAGATTAGGGCTAGCAGCTAGGGAGAGTTGGTTTTAGGTTTAGGTAGGGGGGGGTTGTGGACTTGGAAAACTACATTTAGGGCCCGAGGACTACGGTAGCGGGGAGCTATTTAGTGTGTTTCGAAAAACCCGTTTAACTTACGAAGGCAATTTTGAGAACTAAAAGAACAAATTTGCTACTACGAATTTCTGAGCGAAACTACCTTTTCACCTTTAAATTTTGTCACCAGGCCAGTCAAAACTGTTCTTTCAGATGGCGTTGAACAATAGGGTTGAAAACTGTGCAAAACAATGGTAATGTCCCTCGAAAAACCCTTTTCACTTACGAAAAAATTACGAAAAGTCCCGCTCCTACAAAGTCAAGACCAAGGCGTTAATAAAACGCTCTTATGCGGAATATTTATAAAGCCTAACACTTCAAATAAAAATCTAACGTAGCAAAATAATTCAAACCGAAAAGTCCGCTACTTGCAAAATTTGGAAACTAAATCTTCTCACCCCACCCAACGACTACAGTAGCCTCGGGGTCACCGACAAGCCCCCGAGGAAGTGAAAGTGTCAGCGTCTCGAGACGACGACGTCCGAAGTTAACTCCGAAGCGGTGACGAGGGGCGGTGCCCTCCAGAATCTCGGATGCCCCTCCTCCTCCTCCCCGGCCAATACCCCGTGACGCCAACGCCCACCTCCTTTCTTCTTCTTCTACTGCTTCTTCGAGAAGACTTCTTTCAGCAGCCACTTCTGGCAGAAGTCACCGCTGGTCGCGCACGGCAAAATGACACCAGAATTGGATTGTTGGAAGTGTTGAAGTGGGGCCGTTGATCAGTGGGCGGGTCTGGCAGTGGTGGGATTGTGGAGGCGAGATGGCGCTGAATAGTTCAAGTCGTTCAAGAAAATGGATGTTTACCTTTTTCAGAATTTGATGATCGCGGGGGAACGCCGGTCGTCAAGGGGTCAATATCTAAAACTCGTTAAAAGGAGAAAATTGTCCAGACGATTTGGCGTAAAGTTGACATCATCAGGCTTATTCTCTAGGTCATGCTCATCAGCTTTAAAAGTCGTTGGAGTCATCGAATCATCCGCTCGACAATGCTTTATTGACAAGCCTCCATTCTGCTTCTTCTTTCAATTCAGTCATCCCCGGAACCTACCCCCAGACAACCGCAAAGTCGTCAACCAGTTTTTTGAAGCGCCAATCCCAAAGCGCTCGGAAGATCCGGGTCAACGGCCTGCCGCTCCTCCTCCCCAGACAAGGAAGCGCCCAACGAAGCGTTGACGAACAATCGGGCGGCTCACTCGGCCGCCGGGACACCCCGGCCAACAAGAACCAAGGCGAACAGAACCCAATTGTGGCACATGTTGCCCCAAAATTGAATATTCCCTCCAGAGGCGCGGTCGTGCGCATTCTCCCACCCCCATCCGAACAAAGAAAGCAAAAAAAGAAGGCTCAGCCTTTAGTCTCGCGGTGTGTTGGAAAGATTAGATTATATGGGTTACGGTGACAATCAACCCTGACGCACAAAAAGTTGTTAGAAGCCATTTCCGTGGCTGGGCTAAAGGAGAAAGCGGCAATACCTTTTTTCGGGGGGCTACGAATTTTCTGAACCTGGACTGCTACCAGGCCACGTTAGACACCTCCTCGACCCATACAAACCCTTATTTTCGGATGATTTTTAAACAACTTCCGGAACAGGTAAATGCCGTTTTGCAAGTCCAAAAAACTCAGATTCTTATCCTTACTCGACGGTGTTCCTCGCAAAATCCTCAGCGCAGGCTTCTGCGGTCAGAAGAGTAGCTCTGCTCATCATGTCGGCACAGCCGCTCATAAAAGTGGGGGCTACGGTGATCCCTTATCTCTGCCCGCCTTTCGAGGCGACAATGCAACAGCAAAGAAACCCGACACCAGCTTGAGCCCAGGCCCCCGTTTTTTCCTTTCTTTCAGTGCATATATCGACCTTACAGTGCATTTTCAGTGGAATAAAACACAATCATCATTTATTCGCTGACAGGTCAACATTAAGCCTAAACGTGGCAAAAGATCGGGGGGTTCGCTCATTAATGGTGTACTTTTAATATGCCTATTAAAGGGGCTTGTCTTATCTAAATGAATTTCTGGATCTCGTCGTAGATGGCCAATACGAGGGCACCACCAGTTCCACGGAAGACGTTGGAGAGGGCTCCCTATAATTTCCGTAAAGCAAAAAAGACCGTTGTATACCTTGAACATGGCGCTCATTCCTTCGTTCTTGACAATCTTGACGGCGCAATCCAGGGTGTTCTTGTAGAGGACGTCCTTGCGGCCAGACTGCATCATCATACGACGACGGACAGTATCCCAAGGATAGGACAGGATGCCAGAGCCAATCGTGACAACCTAAAACTATACATTCGGATACGCAATCGAAATCGTACCTGAGCAATACCCCAGGCGGCGAAGAAGTTGAGCTTGGTTCCGTCCTTGGGCTGGAAGACGGCCTTGGCGGTGTCGAACATACCGAAGTAGGCGGCACGGTAGATAATGATACCCTAAACAGCATATAGAAAAAAATAAAGTCTGTTTACCTGGACAGAGACAAAGAAACCGCGGTAAAGTCCGATGGGGCCATCAGACTTGGCGATCTTGACCAAGCAGTCTCCAAGACCCTAAACAAATAATTATCATTTTAAGCACAAAATTATACCTTGAATTCACGAGTGGCTCCCTTGCCGACGTCAGCGGCGAGACGAGTACGGGCGAAATCGAGAGGGTAGACGAAGCAGAGAGAGGCGGCTCCGGCAGCTCCACCAGATGCGAGGTTACCGGCGAGGAAACGCCAGAACTGCTTATCCTTGTCGACTCCCTTGAGGAAGATGTTCTTGAAGGTATCCTTGAAGGCGAAGTTCAACGCCTGGGTCGGGAAGTATCGGATGACGTTGGCCAAGTTTCCTCGCCAGAGGGCAGCCACACCCTGCTCCTTCGGGACACGGACGAGCACATCCATGATGCCCTTGTAACGCTTGTCAGCGGTGATGGTCTTGGAGACATCTTGGACCTGAATGTGTCATTAGCCAAAAAATCGATAAGTAGCGCACCTGAAGCAGGAGCTTCACACGCTCGATCGGGGCGACGGCAGTCTTGGAGACGGCGGCGGCCGTTCCTCCGGAGGCCAGATCGATGAAGAATTTCCTGGCATCGAAGCCCTAGAAAGAAATGATGAATGGGAAAAAATATTCGGTATACCTTCTTCTTGTCTTCGGCGCCCATTGTGTTCCGAGGAGAAGTTTTACCCTGGAATTGAACATTATTGGGGTCCACAATGGAAAAGGACACCGAAATGACAAAGTACAAGGAATTTTTCGGTGATTCGGTAATGAGCGAAAGTCTAGACGAATGAAAAGTGGGAACGAAAATCGGGGTAGGTGTTTTGTGCACCGCCTGCCGCGGCGGGACTTTCACGATCGATCCGTCATTTGTATGGGCGCGTTGGGGGCCAAACGGATTAGGCACCGCCCTTCCTCTGACAGCACACTAACGTCAAGTGGACAACCTTGCCCGCGCCCAGGTTCAAAATTCAAACGTAACCACAGTAAAATGGAAGTCCCATTTCCTTCTTTCATAGTTTTAGAACTAGAATCTACGGTGGAAAAGCGCGGCAAGAGAAACAAACTTGGTCGTCTAAAGCCTTCTCGTTGCGATAGAAAATCACACCTACAAAAATAGCGTAAACTACTACAATGAATAAGTCAGTATCGCGCTTCCATTAAGGTATGATATAACGCTGTGATACACGGTTTCGCTATGCCAGATTACTTGAAAAGTTCAATTTCGGCTAAAAGCGCCGATGATTCATTCGCGCCTATGCTATCGCGTTACAAAATAATCTAAAAGTTCTAAATAACTTTTATCGACTAAAAAATGATGCGAGATGCCACAAAAAATAAGCGCTTATAACCAATTCTGGAATAACAGTGTGGCGAAGCCCGCTATGTGAAATTCCTGCAAATACCGTACGTTTATAAACTTTATCGACCAAGTTAACACAAAGCGAATCAATAGCAAGCAGTCAGTATACATGGCAAAGTACAGTTTTAACCACATAAGCTAATCGACAGAAATCGGAAGCTGAAGATCACAGTGGCGACAAGAACCGGATAAAATGATAATTTGAGAGCAGTAAATTTTCAGGGTAACAACTAGCGACTATTTCGTTGATCAAAAAGAGTAGATGTTGGGGACAAGCTTTGTGGGGGTTACTCCTTTCCGACAATGTCATTGTTTTCAACCCGAATTGGCGACGTCGCTGTCTCGGCGGAGTCGGCTGCCATGGCGACTTCACTGGTGCTGGGGCTCACTTGTTGGGAAGATTGACGTAGCAATGGTTCAGCCTTTCGCGCGTCCTCCGGGCGCTCATAGTTGACAAGCTGAGTGCCCACCAGGTACCTAAACAAATATTGACATAAAGCGTTGAAAATGGGCTGCAGAATGCAGTTTCAGGATATTCAGGGTTTGATAAACTCACTTCTCGTTGCGAATCTGTTGGGCGAAAGCGCGTAGCTTGTGGAACTGCCATACGAAGAACGCGACAGTGCCAACGACAGAGAGACAGAACGGGTAGCAGAACCTTATGAACAAGATCTCGTCTTCATAGTGCTCGATATCTAAAGGGAACTTTTTCGTTAGTAGCGAATACGCTAGCACCTATGATCTTGATGGCCAAATGTGCGAGGGCGTATGGGACGGCAATTTGCATGGAGAGGGCAGTCAGTACCGGGCAGAGTACTTGCTTGTAGATGTAGCCAACATCAATGTGGTAAAGACCTTGTTGATAGATCTAAAGTATTAAATGATACATTAGTGAAGGTATCTTTTCGCTATACCTGCTCAAAAGCCGCTCTCATCCACCATTCCGGTCCCATCATCACCGATGCGATAAAGATCTTCATATGCAGCACTCCCATGGCCCATTCTTGCCACGGGAAATAGATTGGCGTCTGATAAAGATTTATTGGCGCTCAACGGGTACTCACCTGGCTCAGGGCAACACGAAGCGGGGCGACGACGATTAATTGGAAAGAGAGCCCGATCAGGTAGGGGATGATCAGCAATGCCGGCACCAAAACGAGCACCAGATATCCGAGGAGTACAAGCGAGGAGCGGACCCGGGCCGCCAGATGAGCACCACCGCGACTTGCCCATTCGTAGACGACGAACACTCCCTAGAAATTTAAAAGTAAAAAAAAACTGGGAGACTCGCTTACCTTGCCCGTCACCCAGCAGATGTACAATCCAGAACTGATTGTGTAGAGCTCGTGAACGTTTCGCGTCCCGGCCAGCAGGTAGATGAACAGGCGGCCAACGGTCACTAAAGAAACTGATTTCGAGACAAATTTTCAAAAATAACGATTTCGAGAAAGAATTTTTCGGAAAAATTTGCTTTAGCTTTAGCAGAAGTCAAAATAAAAACTTTTTCGTTTCGAAAAAATATTTTTCGGGAATATGACGGTTCCGTTTGTCGGAAAAGCCTATTCAAAACGCTGAATTATCTAACCTGGGAAAATAAAGGCCAATGTGCTGGCCAACGTTGACGACGCCCCGAGGGCCACGAGCAAAGCAACGATACGGAGTGCAAAGTAGTTCGGGCGCTGATAGGGCTCAAAGTTTGTCGGTTCCCTAAAGCCTTGACATCGCGAAAATTCTTCGGATTACCTGACTAGCAGAAGGGCTTGGTGCTCCGCAGCAAGGCCGCCGCCGTTCACCAAGTCCAGGTTCCCGTCATCAGCCGCGTCATCTTCCTCTTCCGGGCCATCACCTAAAGCGATTTCCGGGTCCGGTCCCCCGTTACCCAAAAGGAACAAAAAACACAAAAACCAACCCCCCCCCCCCCCCAAAACCTATTTTTTTAAAAAAAAAACAAACAAACCTAAAAACATTAAAAAAACAAAAAAAAAAAAAAAAAAAAAAAAAAAAAAAAAAAAAAAAAAAAAAAAAAAAACACCAAACCCCCAAAAAAAAAAAAAAAAAAAAAACCAAAAAAACCAAAAAAAACAACCTCCCCCCCCCCACCCAAAACTTTCAAAAAAAAAAAAAACAAAACATAACCAAAAAAAAAAAAAAAAAAAAAAAAAAAAAAAAAAAAAAAAACATTTTATAACCCACCCCCCCCCCCCCAAAAAAAAAAAAAAACCTCCCCCCCAAAATCCCCCCAAACAAAAAACAGAGTCGATTTTATGCGGAGCTGTACCCATGTGGTCAATCAGACGGTCGAGCATCGCCAGGTCATCGTTGCCAGGTTGGTTTGGGCGTTCTTCGGGGTGGTTGTTGTCCTGATGTTCGGAGAGCAGATAGCGGTCTAGCTTCAAAGCACGGCCCACCACCACGCACCAAGTCCTGGAAAAAAACATAGTTTGTAAGACGGTTTCGATGATAACAGCGAATTTTTTTCGTTAAAAATGCAGATAAAATAGATAATCAAATAAACATAATTCCCTCTTACCTAACAAATCGTTTCAGGACCTGTCGAGCACTAGTCTGCTCAAGGAGAGCCGGGAGCACTATCTGAAAAAAAATTGAGATGCAAAGTCAACGGGACAAACCTGAAGGATCAGTAGCTCGAGACTGAGCTCGCTGAGCGGCGTCTCGGCCGTAAGACTGAGATTGTAGGGCAACACGGACGGGAGGACGATCTTAGAATACGTAAATTCCCACAAAAAATAGAACCTGGATAAGACGCATCGGCAAGAAGACGATCAACAAGATGGCCATGAAAAAGAGCGACTAAATCGAAAAATCGGTTATATAGGTCTTAGATTACCGTGGAAGCAATCAACCGGCGGAAATGACGAGTGATCGGCAGTTCAATCATCTAAAACTTCAATGGTGCAAAAAACCAAAACCCCACCTCCATGATAGGGTTGAACTCCGGGTCATTCAGGTTGCGCATGAACCAAAGGACGCCCGGGCGCAGAACCTAGAGCTGTAATGAGATAACCGCTAGATGTACCTCTCTCAGCAGCAACACAAACGAAGCTGAGTAGAACACGTACACCATGCCGATCATCCAGTGGATGAACAAAGACGATGCCGGCGAGTTTGTGAAGGAGGTCAGCCGCGAGGAGAGAGTGGCTTGGAATAGGGACTAAAAGTCGAAAATGAGCGGATGGGGTTTTTTCTAACCAGCGAGCAAATATCCATCCACCAGCCGCACAAAATCGGGAAGAAGACGATCTCCACGAGCACGAGTAGGAAGACTTTGAGCACCAAGTAGACAATTCCGAGTAGACGATACATTCTGAAGGAGCTTACTAGAGCCTAGAAATCGATTTCTTACCCCTTAATTCCCAACAACTTGCAAACACGATGGATGAGATAGACCATCAACGAGATGGCGACGTACCCTGAAGAGGATAATTTGAGGTGGTGATCGCAATAAGATACCAGTCAATATGGCGGTCAGCGATGGAAACAGTGAGATCTGGGCGCGAAGTCCTGTCACGGAGAGGATCAGCGTTCCCAATTTGTATGGAGAAAAGGCTAAAAACAACTTTTTGGCTCAATAAAATGGCTTACCAAAAAGCACAGTGAACAGCGTATTCAAGGCGATCACCCAAAAAACGTGTTCGATGAAGACGAAAGAGCCGTCCAAGCCGATCAAACGCTGAAATAAATGAATGCCTTCGACACATGATTTTTCAGCATACCTGCCAGGTCAGCTCATCACCGAACCGATCCCAGTCCCGCCAGACGTCATTTTCCTGTCCCGCTGGCTCATCATCGGCGTCGCCGACGTTTTCTAGATGATCGGCGTCGTCCATCTCATTTGCGTTGGGGTCCATCAGCTCCGGCTCTCCGACAATCATAGCTAAAACCTACTTTGATGATAACCGGTAATTTCTTACGCTCCGGATCGATCGGTCCGAATTCGGCAGGGTTCCGAAACTGCAACCCCTCCGGCCAGTCATCGCCATACTCCAGTTGGGCCTCTTCTGCATTTGCCGGCAACCAGAATTCGGGTCGGGTCACGTCCGGAGGGTTGTAGCCGGTGTCCTCATCATCGTCCTCCTCGGAATCGTCTTCATTCGAAGGGCCCGCCTGGGGATCGCTGTCGCGCCTGTGAGCCGCATCCGAGCTGTGATCAGGCGCATTCTACAAGATTTTACATAAAAAAATCATTCTGTTATGATACCTCTTCGTGCTCTTCGTCCTGCTCATTCCACGCCGGCCCATCGACGACGAAATTGCCGTCATCGGCCTGTGCCTCGAGCCGTTGACGTCGTCGTTGCCGACGTTCGCGACGTGCCCGCCTCTCCGGGTCGACTGGCTCGTTGGGCTCGAGCTGGATCCATTCCTGTGGACCACCATGGATGATCTGTTCGCGCAGCCACACCAAGGAGATGAACGTGATCACGAAGACGGCGAGGAGAAATATACCCTAAATTGCACGGTAAATACTTTTGCAAGATTCAAACCTTTATACAATCCGGGATCAGATTCTCGGTGCTAAAGATATGGAGTGGCAGCGAGACAATGTTGAGAAGATTCGCAGAAAAGACGGCCTAAGAGGATAATTAGACGGAAAAATGAATTCATACTCCATAAATTCGAGCTGCTGTCAATGGAACAATGCCGACCCAAGCAATCAAGACGACCGTGTAGAGCAACCACGTGCGCAGAATGCGTCCCACGCTTATTGCAATCCCTGTAACGGTCTCTTTAAATTTAACCCTAGAGGATACCTTTGAAAATATCGAGTACAGGCAATGCTTTCGGCATGTCGGCACGGTAGATAGGTTCGAAGCTGTACTTGTGGTTGCACAATTCGCAGACCTGAATTCACGTTATATGGTCTCACAGGAGCGCAAACCTCTTTCTTGCTGTATTTCAGCCACTCGACGAGGCATTCCTGATGGACGTATTTGATTGAGCCGGTGCAAAGGCATGGATAATACAAATTGCCCTCATCGCTTCGACAGACTCGACACATGTCTGGGCAAAAATAACTAGATTTACGGTGGCACTTACGATGATCCGGGTCGTCTTCATCGAAATCGTCACTGATTCGAAGAGGGGCTATTTTTGCAGATGGTCCAGCCTGAAAACAGCTCGATGGAACAAAGTTAGCTCATGGTACACATTCTTAGAAATACTTGGGAGGCAATAAGCAACAAGGTAATTGGTTTTTCAGCAAAAACAAAAGTACCTGCTGCTCATCTTGACTATCGGGTTGAAGCGACGGTTCCTCCATTCGCCACTAGCATAAATCGTCCAAGAGGTCGATTGCCGATTCGGGCTGTCTATTCTGGAGAAAGGAGAAGCCCTAGGAGCAAGGGAACTGTGTTGCCAAGGCAGTTGGCCCCCTCTGCGTGACCGAAACCCGAGGGAGCACACAAACCACATGGAATACGGATGTTCTGGGACATGAACCCAACAGAGAAACCAATGCCCGGGCGCCCGGAAAATTACTTTCACACATCCCAGTTTTTTTAGCAATAAAACGGTTGTTTGTAACCAAAGTCCACGAAGAAACCAACAATCAAACATTGATATTTATTGACCTGTAGAATACATTACTCTCTGGACCCATTATTAACCCAGTAACAATCACAGTTTGGTAAACATTCGTACCAGCAAGCAAGAAAAAAAGCCTAGAAATCACGGAAACAAAGGCACAAAAATAATTAGAAGAGGTTGTTAGTGTCTTCGACGGTTCAAGAGCCCTTCAGATTTCGATGCAGATAAGCCCCAGTCCCAGGAGGACGACTGTTCCTCGGGCTCCGGCGTTTCTTCGTGACCGGTCAGATCTTCCAGCCGTTTCTTGATCACACTCTGCAACTCAGCTGGGAACGTGTCGATCGGACTGGATGCCAGGAACTGTATTTCGTCTTCTCTCTATAATAGTAATTTTAGTAAGTTGAGAATAACACAAATATTTTTTAAAGTTACTGAAAGCCAACCGATTTGATAGCCACGACATCAAGAAAGGCTTCTTCGCTTTCTCCGAGCAATTTCCAAAGCGTCAGCAGACTCGCCGGCGGCCGCAGCTCGGTACCGTCGATTAGAAAACGCACCAAGGAATCGACAGCTTGCGGGCCTTTCTAAAACTACAATTTAAAAAACGCTAACTAAAAATTACCGGCAATAATTTTAGCAACGGAGCCAGTTGATTCAGTTGACTGTCCGAGAAATTGGCAAGCGATTGCGAGAGATAGGATGTCTCGTTGTACGCCCTCTTCAGGATTAACCGGAAGTGACATTCTAAAAAAAGTTATTGTGGAGGATGTCGTGTTCATACTGTCCGCGAATTCCAGTAGCTTTTTGAGGGCCGGGATTGACATTCGCTCGGGAGCCGTTTCCGGGAAGGCAAAAAGATACAATCGGAACGGATCGTTTTCCTCAGCTAGGGGCAAGACAGTTGATCTAAAAAAAGTTTGTGACAAATTGGTAACGCGCACCTCATTTCGCTTTGGAATTTTTCTAGTTGTTGGTGTAGAACTGGGAGATGTCCGCGGGTTTTGATCAGCTTTGAAGCTTCAGCCGGAGGCAGACTAAAAAGTGGGGATAGGACTATGTTACGGAAAAATACCTGGTGATAGCGTTTTCGAGGCTGGCAAAATGCACATCATACAAGTCAATGCGGAAATTCTCGGCCAGCTCGATAGCATCGTTGAATGCCTGTTCATCGGAAGTCCTAAAAACGCAGGGTCGTAATAAACAAGTGTGAAAACGGAAAGCTCTATTTTCAACTTCCGGAAACGCACATAGCGATTCCGACGACCGATTCCTTGCGGTAGACAGCATCTTCAATGAAACGCTCACGATCGCACCCTAAAAATTTGTTAAATTCCGCGTGGGATAAAATTTACCATGTATCATCAATCGATCCAACGCCCCGGATTTTTCGTCATTTATTATCCGTCGTTGAATCAACACCTTGGGCGGCACTTGTTCGACCTAAAGAATGGATACCAAACAAAGATTTCCTCCTGACCACGGCCGGGGTCAATTTCTCGGCGTGAAACCGCAGGGCTTCTTCATAGGAAATTAGGTAGTCGTTGGTGGTCCAACTCGTCGATTCCGCTTCAGCTACAACAAAATTTAGAGGAGCTCAGCAAGCGAACCTGACAACGCCATCGCCAACCCAAGTGAATGCGAAGCGCTGCAATGTGCCAACACTTTGACCGTTTCCGGCGGGCCAAGCCTTAGGCACATGTCGGTCAGATCTTCATCTTTCACCTCCTTGTCCGGTATGTCGTTGAAATATTTTGTCTGAAGCTTGGAATAAGAAAAGGGGTTTCGCCTTGCCATTGAATACATGGGATCCATCGCTAGGTAAGAAGATGCTGATCGTGGTGGTGTTTTTCTTGGCTCATCACTTGTTTGCCGTTGAATCTCACCTGAAAGAGGGAACCAAATATAAGGATTTTTTTACAGCTAATGGAGTTTTATGATGTGATATCGCTTTTTCGAGAGCTCTAAAACACCGCGCAGTTTCAAAAACTGCTGAACGATAACCGTTTTTTGCAAATTTTGCCTTTTTTTGGTCCTCCTGAACATTGAAAAACTTTTTCTAGAATATTTTTATCGTTCAGTAGTTTTTGAAAGAGGAGAATTTGAAAGACTCAGGAATCTCAAGCTCTATCCAAGGAGCTATGTACAATCTCAAAACCCCCAAAATAACCAGCCAAAAAAAGGTTTAGTGTTGACCACCTACTTATCAAATCCATCGTCGTGCACAATTCATCAACGGGAGCATTCAGAAGCGCACACGCATAGATGTCGTCGCGGATCTGGGCCGGATGTACGACGAAACAATCCACGTTACCTTTTTCAGGAATGGCGTTTGAATTAATTGCACGCAGAGCTGATGGACCTTCTCGATTCCGCGTGCTTTTGCCATGACTTCGAGCAAATATTTTTGTACTGCTTCTTCGTCGCGCCGTCTCAACGCCTCCAGGGCGCACATCGAGAGCGCGGTGGCGACCGGAGTGTCGATGCCGAGGAGTACGGCTAATTTTGCGATTTTCTTTCCCTAAAAAAATATTATTTTAAAGGACTCCAACGGCATTTTACCTGCTTATAATTTCGTTCTATAACAACAATGTCATCGAGTAGGGCTTGTGCCCCTGTGTATCGAATCACTACGGGGATTTGCCTAAAAACGATTTTTATTTATCACTTCAGTGAATATACTTGAAGCCGAGATCGAGCGCCAGATCGATAATCTGCAGCTGTTTCAAGACATCAGCCGCATCTTTAGAAACTTTTTCGACGTATTGGGCGAGGCATCTAATCGGAAAAGATGTAAAGGACATCAAACTAGCTCATACTTGGCTTGTGACAAGAGGGGATCCGTTCGCTCGGTAGCCTGCTGCACACATTCATCACATTTTTGCAGGAGAAGCTAAAAGGCAATCAGGAAAGTGGTAAGGGATCAACCTCAATCGATTGCTTCAAGTCAAACTTCTTTCCTGCGAGCACGTCTTGTGATGGTTCGCCCCGTGACAGCGTCAAGAACAATTCCAGTCTTTCAGGTTGTGTGCTAAAGATCAGAGGAACCTTATAACAACCCTTTTCATACCAGTTCACTTCCGGTACTAAAAATTCGCGGACGACCGCTTCTAGGGCCTCTTTCCGGGTCGACGTGTTCGGGAAATGGCGTTGTTGCAGCGAAAGGACATCGTCCCTCAATTCCCGCCAATCATTCGAACTTTCACATTTTGCGGCACCTACACCAGGAGTTTCTACCAAATCCATGTCTCCATACCTTTATTCGCGACTTTTAAAAAAATGCCTAGCGCCGACTGGTGATTCTCGAAAGCCTCGTAGACCATCGAAAATTTTAACTGCGAAAAAATAAATATAGCAATATCGCATGCGCCCACCTCCAAGCCATAATTATTCAGGGTGGAGAACAGCTCGAGAATTTGATCCTCAAAGCCGAGCTTTTCCAAGACATCCACCAGCTCATCACCTAAACGCGTGAATTCGCTATGACGGTCAATCGTACCCTTCAATTGTGATTCTTGCAAATATTTGATCATCGATTCGCGGTCCAGAAATTCTGGGCGGAGCTTGTGTAGTTCAAGCAGGGTCTAAACTGGATAAATTTTATAATTTGTTTACAAACCTCACAACCATTATCGGCGTAGCAAAGGAGCAAGGGGAAGACAGTCGAGAGCAGCAATCCCGTAGCGTGCTAAAAATAATCAGAAACCGAATGAAACACGCACCGATCCGTCACTAGCAGCTTTCCATTCCAGAATTTCCAACACCGAACCAATGATCGTTGAGAGTTCGTGATCCGACAACTAAAGAGAAGTAAGGAAGGCCAATACCCAAAATACCTTTGAATATTTCAAAACTAGCGCGTTAATGTCAAGCTTCAAGAAAGCGTCCATGCTGCTCATCACCAGGCCACAGTGATCCATATACTTTTGATATTGCTTCCATTTGGTAAGCTCAGAACGAATATCCTAAGGAGATTGAGTGATTTTCCACGAATCCCATACAGAATCCGTGAATCCATTTTCGATGGCTAGCTCGTATAGTTGAACCACCAGATGAGGCAATCCAACATCGTCATCGATAAGCCGCGCCCGTTTCCGAAGCCACGGAGTGAAATCTTGCGATCCGGATTGCCTAAAAAGATGATTTAAGCTTAATTTTCATACATACTTCTCGAAACGCTCGCCATTGCATCCCGTGTTGACCTGATCGAGGAACGGCTCGGCGTTAGGGTCTCCAGCAAGCTTTTTCAGAATTATAGCTTCCTCGCCAGGTTCCTAAACAATATTTTTTCTCCTACAAGACTTCGTACGGTTTCGAATTTCACGTCATTTCCAGCCCATGTGGGTAGAAATTCAGCGAATTCTCGCGGCTCAATGCAATTCGGGATTCGCTCCAAAATAGATAACAATCGAGGGCCCAAAAAGTCGAAGTTGGCTGCGACGAGTTTTTGCAACGTCGGCAATTCAGCGCGCTAAAAGGAACGAAGTGATGACTTTTCCACACAACAGACCTCGGCCAAATTTCCTGCCACTTCTATAAAAGGTTTCTCACGCATCTCGAGGAAGAGCTCATAATCTTCAATGCTATGCAGCAGACGAGCGACATGGACAATTCGAATATATGACTGAAGATTAAGGGTTTGCTATTTATTTGGCTCTAAAACCTCTAGCGGTGCCTCATCGGCCATTTCGAGACCCATTGCCACGAGTGCCTCCTGGACGTCGCGATCAACGCCCTTACTCGCCCAGCAGGCTTCAGCTCGAAATTCAACGTCAAAGAGTTGGCCCTAGGAAACTGATAATACAATTCAACATTTGCGAACCAGGATCTGTTCGACCAGTTCGCTGGTGACGACGCCTTGTCGACACGCGTCTTTCCATTGATTCTTCAGCACAACATCCGGGTCTATTGTCGTATATGTGCTGGCAAGGCTTAGCGCACGAGAATAGTCCCGTTCGTTCAGCTAAAAGATGATCCTTAGAAAGTAAGTCTTTTCCACCCTTACCGTTCGTTCGAATAGCTCTTGCAAAGTTATCGTAGGCGTGTGAGAGAGGATAAACTCCATCATTTCGATGTGTGTTACCTGAAACTCGGGCTCAGGGTCGAGAAAATGGCTATACTCTGGCTAAAGAGGTAGATGAGTCTCCGATCGCCATTCCCATCAATGTCTTGAAGTATCGCCAGGAACTATCCATCAGCCGATAAAACGCCATGGAGATCCGCTTCTTTGAAGCCTCTTCTACAGTATGAACAAATCCCTAAAATGGCAATTTTCCTCTTGTTCCTGGTAGTTACCTCATTTTCCAATGCAAACAGGTGTCGATTTCTTGGCGCAAGCATCCAGGTACGAGGCGCATATCTTAAAAATACCATGTATCGTAATAAGAACTTACTTGTCATCTTCTCTAGTCTCTTCCTTTTTAAAAGAATGCATTTGTTCAAAAAGATCATCAACGGAAGTTCGAAGAAGCGATCCGCAAGAAAATAAAACACATATTTCCTAGATTGTAAGGCTATGGAAATTTTTGTAAAAATACCTTCTCATCGGTGAATTCAACTTGGCGCGGGCAAGAGCCACTGATGAATGGAATGCTAAATGACAGCCGAGCCGAGGGTAACTAAATAAAATTCTAGGATGTCGCTTGTTGATTTTACCTCAAACATGAAGACGTCACCATTTGTGGACACCGCACACATATGCGTTTCTTTTTCGTTAACGGCCAGCGAGCAGAGATAATTGTAGTTCCTACGATGTCTTTTAGGAGGACAGATTTTTCTTACCCCATAGAAAATGGAAATCTAGCCAAAACTGAAGACCAAGAGCTTTTGTTGTCAGTAACTTTGACCCCTTCCACGAATGGCTCGCCGTCAATCAACCGAAAAACATTCAGCCCAGCGATTGGTTTTTGGTCTGTTTGCTAAAACAACTGTGAATTAAATTTTACGTTACAAACCCGATAGTGTGAAGAGACTAGCAGCAAATTTCCACCGTTGAGGACTTTAAAGCTTCCACACAATCCAATGTCGAGCGAAACGGAGCAAACTTTGAACGGGTGCATTCGTCTACAAATAATTAAAACCCCCGGTAATTTTGCTACTCACCCCAATTTATAAATTGAGAAAGTCCCATTGTATTGCAGCACATAGAGTGTTTCATTAAAATCATCTTCACCGCCTCCGAATGCCGAATCGATGGCGATCGACTGTATATCACAAACGGCACACCGCATGTCGAAATTGCCTTGCGATACTTCCTAAAAACAAGCTAAGACGCAAAAAGGAGTCTAACCAATCCAATTGTGTAGTAGTGGAAGCCATGTTGATCGAAGACGTCAAGAAAGCCCGAGCTTCTAGTTGCCACAAGGAGGGACGTTTCCGTGAACATAAGTTGGCAATATGAAGCAAAGTCATCTTTTGGGACTAAAAAAGGAAGTAATCAATTTTAAACTGAGACGCACTCTCGATCTCGAATTCACATTCGATTGTATTCCCGTCAAGGAAGTAGAACTCGAACTGTCTCTTTGGAGAATCGCAGAGGATCACAAAACGGCTTCCATCCCTAGATTCTTTGATCAAAATTCGTGCGCAATATATTCCTACTTTGTTACTGCCAATTTGGCGAACGGCATATTTTCGATGTGGGTGGCGATTTGAGGTGGAATGAAGAGATTCGGGCTACGGACTTCCACAGATGTCTTCCATCTTCGCAGCTCCTTCCTAATACGAAGAATCAACTCAAGTTCCAATATTAAACCCTAACCTCTCTCGTATCAAGATTTTCGTGTTTTGGCCGGCATTTCTGGTGCAATCGACCTCGGAATCTAGGCGACTTCTGCGCCTCATTCAGTCTGTAGCTGATCTCCGCAGTGTCGTTGTAGCTCCAAATCTAAATAAAGCTATATTTTCGTTTTATAACGCGGGATTTGCAGATCGAAGGGCTGGGAAAAACAATTTCGCCAAGTTCAGCCCGGTGGTACAAGGGACACGCAAGCAAATACGGCAGACAGCAAGTGGCGACCGGATGCCCCCAGCGTCCTCTTTTCAAAATACCATGAGGCTACCATTCCCCCAATGGTACCCCATCGGCACCCCTAGCTTCAACAATCTTTCGAAGATTTACTAAAAAACGATAAACAAAATTAATTCAGGTAGGTTTGTCGACGACGACTCCTCCCGGGACAACTGGCGGACGAGAAGGATCGAACATTTTCATTTTTCAGTAAGGCTTTTTAGCATTGTTTTTCACTTTTTGGACAATAAAATTTTTTTGAATCGAAAAGAAATTAGTAAAGTTTACGGGCCGGTTTTTCGCCCTCAGGATCCGTGAGTCCAGGGGCGCGCCTTAGCAGTGACAGACTTTTACGTCGCGTAATGCAACTGATTACTCGATGTTTTGTTGAAAGAAAAACTATCCAAAGAGTAACAAAATATATTGCTTTGATCGCAAATCTGTTTTACCACAATAATATTATCTTAATTTTTGCGGTAGCTGATTGTATATGTTTTTTGCAGGTTCTAATGGCAAGCATTACATTGGGTGTTCTATGATTAATTCTATGACTAACAATTTATAAATAACAACAACAACAACAACAATAACAAAGATAACAAGAAGATGCAATAAACTATTCAGCTTTCCTTTTTTGGGCCAACTTCCTGTTATGCTCGGCGCGGTGCTCAAGTCTTTCGGCGTGGAGTCGTTGTGCCGCTTCGCGAATCGGACCGTCCCTTTCGTTGCGAATTGCCAATCTGGAGCTGGAGCCTTGTCTGCCTTTGAACTCTTGGCTCAATTTCTCGATTGTTTCATTCATCTTTTCTAGGAATACTAGACCGTCGGCACTATCCGGATCGGCATCATAGGTCAGCGCAGAAAAGCGTAATGCGGTGATATTCTAAATTAAGGTTAGTATATTGTGTTTCCTTACATTTAGAAGCTTTTCCTTCGTGTGTTTGAATTGAGTATGCGATGTTTCGGGCATCACCGTTGGACGAGGTTCTTTTCTGATTTCAAGGGTAGCATTTTCTTTGTTCCTAATTAAATTTTAGTATGAGAACATAGTTTTAATCGAACCAATCCGGAATTTCTCCTGCAGAATGATCGTCAGCGTAATCAAGTTGGTTACTCGTGCCCAAAAGATTGACCTCCGAAGCATGGAGACGCGGCTGGGATGGAGTCACTGAATGGGCTTGGTTTTAGTTTAAGAAATTTACTCTTTAGATTGACTAGGTGGATATGCTTGCAGCTGATACCCGACATGGTATTAGACGGGCACTCACATGTCCAGGAATACGGGCAGGCAGCGCATTCGGAGCAGTGCATGTTTTTTAACTTAATTTACCTGTTTTTTTATAGAAACGTGAATTACCTGGTCACACGGACAACTTTTGTAGCGGATTACTCGATAAACCCGTGTATCGTCAGAGGAAGGTACGACGTAAATATTTTCGCTTTCTTTTAGAATGTTGACAAGGGGTGATTCGACCGCTCGCTTATGTCGTCGCTTGTTCTCTTGTTGGCGCTTCGTTGTAGTGGCAAAGCGAGCATCCTGGACGGCGAGATGTGCACGGTATTTAACGGGGTATTCGATCAAGCGATGCACAAGAATGTCGACTCTTCCTCCGGTCTTTCCCATCAAAATTTCTCCCTTTAGACGCCGGTTAAACGTTTCGGCAGCCATAGATGTTTGAAATGGTGCCTCGATTCTCGCCCATGCAGCCCATTCATCCTTTCGTGACAGATGTTTCTTCTAAAAAATGTCCTTCTATTTTCTGGATGTGTTACTTACTTGGAAATAAGCCCAAAATTCTAGCTCTTCGTTGTTTTTTAAGAATAGTTCAAGATCATTGAGCTTCATGGTGAACTCCTCGGTGTCTGTTATATTAAACAATACTCTGAGGCTATCCATGATCTGCTCCTTTAACGATGCCTAAAACAAATGTGTCAATAATTGATTATCAAACGTTTTTCAGCTTTTTGGTGTTCTTCCGGAGGGTTTTGAGCTGGTGCCACTTGCATAAGATCTTGCGAGCGCGCGCGTCTGGAAAAACTGCTTTGAAGGCGTTCCAGAAAACCCCGTCATCGTCCGTCATTACAAATTGTGGATCGAATTCAGGGAAGTAATCCCTTAATGTAGTTTAGTTTTAGGTCTATAATGGTGCTTACCGAACGCTGTCGAAGAGGACTTTAACCTCTTGTTCCCGAACCTGGCCGCTGAGCAAAAACACGACTGGCAACCCACGGTCGCAGTCATCCAACACCAGCATTGTAGTCAGCCTCAAAGTGTAGCCAGATACAGCGTGCGTGTCGTCCAAAACGACGCCACGATGCCCGTACTTCTTCAGCCATTGTTTTTGAAGTGGGGTCATCAGATCTAAGAAATACTTAACTATTTTAGTATTTTACTGAGAATAAATCCGTTTGCTGAAGGCGGATTATGCGCAGGCTGGTAATAGACAATCATCTCGTCCGTACATCCTTCCAAAATTGTTTGCAGAGAAATGAGGTCTTCTTTGTGATGCCGGCCAGGGATAAGCTGAAAGCGCTCCTTGATGCGGCGGACGTCTTCCAACGTAATGTAAAAATCGTGGCAGATTGGTCTCTCTTCATGAAGATATGGAGCACGTAATTCATTTACGATCGTTTTGTTGTCAACCCCTAAAGGACTGTACTATTTCACTGCACCATACCTAGTTCCAGTAAAGTCAGGATTTTATCCTCTAGGAGGCTTCCTTCGAGACTCATTAGCTTCGGATCAAAATCGTGACTATGTTTCGCGCAATATTTAACCGATATTTCTCCGGAATCGGCGATCGTACTCTGAAAATCGTTCTATATTTGTATATGCTGTGGCGAAACCTGTACAAATGCAGTGCAGCTGTCTTGTTCGTTTGCTGCATTACCATCTGCCGTCCGACCCGCGTAACAGCAGCGGTAATAAGTGTTAGAACCGGAAGATCGCCGTAGAAAGAAGGAAGAGCAGCTTTCGTTTTGGATAGTTTTCATCCATTGTTTGAAAACCTCCTCACTCTCCAGCACAATCTTCGTGACCTCATACCTTTTAAAGATATGCTTAAGATAAGAAACCATACTTTTCATCGTGCATTGTTTGAAAGTGGCGGGTCAGAGCTTCTTGGGTGGATGCTATATGTCCACAGGTCTCACAACTGATTTTAGAAGCCCGTTGGCCTTCCTGATGCACCCTCGCCATGTGCTGCTTCAAACTTTTCAGCGTCGCGTAACCCCTCGAGCATAGATCGCACCAGTGCTGACGAGCGGAAGCGCGAGGAGAATCGGTGCCATATATTTGGTGTTCTCGCTCCAGATGTCTCTTCAGGTTTCCAAAGAATTTCGTTTCATACGAGCAATCAAGCACCGTGCAATTAAAGATTGAGCGTCCCGGTGTAATGCTTGCCATTAGAACCTGCAAAAAACATATACAATCAGCTACCGCAAAAATTAAGATAATATTATTGTGGTAAAACAGATTTGCGATCAAAGCAATATATTTTGTTACTCTTTGGATAGTTTTTCTTTCAACAAAACATCGAGTAATCAGTTGCATTACGCGACGTAAAAGTCTGTCACTGCTAAGGCGCGCCCCTGGACTCACGGATCCTGAGGGCGAAAAACCGGCCCGTGTAAAGTTTCTCTATTAGTGCAAAATTGGCTATGAGGTGCGTAATATGTGGCTGGGAGCGTCGCGTCCATTTTGAAAATTGGCCGCTGATTTCAGTTTTCAGAAATTGCCACAACATTTTTCGTTGTTTTTCTCTTTCGTTTTGCCTTTTTTATCACAAAGATTACGATAACCTGACATACATCGTAAAAAAAGCATTTTTCAGGCATGGACACCCCAGCCGACAATTTCCGGACCCCGGACACTCACGTCACATCTCGACGAAGGGCCTCCCGACAGCCACCACTAGCTGAGACACCGAAAACTTCACACACAACCTGGGCCACACCCGCTACGGTAATTTTCAACCGCTTATTTTACACCAATTTCCAGAGCGCCCCAAAGCCCGATGACGTCGAGGAGGAAGAGAGGCCATCGTCAAATGGAGCCCGCGGACGATCCTGCCCACCAAACGCCCAGCTGCCGCTGGTCGAGACTCCTACGTATGAATGGCGTTCATTGCTGTTTGACACCAATTTTAGGGTCTCCGAATTCACCGGTATGCAACATGACCTCTTGAAGAGCGAACGGCGCTACAAGAAAGCGTTGCAAGACGTCGTATATGAGCAGGGCCGTATCCAAGATTTGACCCGTGAATTAGAGGCGAGTAAGCACCGCGTCACCGAGTTGTGCGAAGAAGTCCGGCTCAAAGACGAGTTGATCAAGTCGAAAGACGAAAGAGGTATTTTTACATATTATCGTGTATCTGTCATCTAGTACAACGTCTCGTCGATCAAGTAGACGTGATGAAATCGGAAGCATCCGCCGCCCGGTTGCACATCACCTCGAAGGACGCGACGATACGAGAAGCTGAGAGAAGAAACACTACCCTTCAGAGCAGGATTATAGAACTGGAAAAAGAGGTAGTTTCAGCAATCTGTTGATTAATGTTGACTATTCATTTTAGATAACGCGGTACAAAAACGAACTCTGTCAAGCTATACATGATGAAAAACACCGCGCTGTCGAATATAGGCACACTGAAGGTCTCTTGGCAAAGAAGGAAACCGAATTGGCGGTGCGCCGCAGTCTGGATGTCGGCCTCACGCAGATGAATCGTGTCTTTGAAGACCATCTGGCCAAGCAACTGACCAGTTTTATCCATAACGCCATGGCCACCGCCCCGAACACAGCTAACCAGGTAATTTTGAGCTTCAACAAAAACCTTTCTGCTTAGAACATGGAAATCGCCAAGCTGGGCTCGCTCTCCACCATGAATGAGTTCCTGATGAATCAAGTCGGAGAGTTGAAGCGCCGCGAAGAGGAGCTTACTGGGGTATGACTTTGATGGCTATTGCTGCTTTAGCCCCAAGATTACTTTGCGACGCTAATTTATTTATATTTTCTGACAGCAATTCGCTATCTATCTGGTTGATGCTTCTTCTTTTTAATTTTTATTCAATTTCCTTGACCAAAACTAAGAATTTTGGCATGACTTTAATGTAGGAGGATGGACTGATACGCGCTCGGTGGTTGGGATTAGGCTATTGTATCTCGGAGGCTCGTTTCTAGATACGGAGCGTGATCTGTGAAAGATGACTGATTTACCCGCTTATCAGCGGCGAAATTTGAATCGTCCCTACGCCGGGACGCCCAAGCTTTTGAAAGAAAAGACCCAACGCTTCCTTTAGCTTCTCGACAGCGCCCGGGAAACGGCTCAACAAGCGGGTCAAGACCGCGATAATCTACAATCGAGGATGCTCGCCCTTGAAGGAGACAGCCAGAGGACCAACATGTACCTGATTGAGGAAAACGACAAGGTATGAGTTTGATTCATCATTATGCCTTTGTTTAGATCAAATGCGACCGAGCCGCCATCAGATGCGAATTGTTGGCCAAACGGCGGGAGATCAAAAAGCTTGAGGAACAACTCGCGATGCAGCAACTCAACAATGGCAGTCAAGCCAAGATTGATGAAATGGATGAAAAGCTGCGTCTCATCGAAACTGAAAGGGACAGCTTGAAATTACGTCTTGTAAGTCGCTTTATGATGAACTGTAAGAACGTTTTTTTATAGGAATCCTTGGAAAGCGCCCACAAAGAAGCGGAGTCGATGATCGCTGAGCTCAAGGAGAAACTAAAGGACAAAGAGGAGGTATGGATTCGAATTATTCAAATATTTGTTTCAGGACTCTGACTTGCTGGCTCCACTTCGTTCGGAGAGGGACCATTGTAAACGTCTTCTTGAAAAGGAAACCGAGAAGTGCAAGGTCCTAAATAGGGGCCTCGGAACCCTTGACGAGCAAATCCGCATGGTTGAGAAACAACGTGACCGATACAAAGAACGACTCAATGAAGCTCATGCCGAGAACACCAGAATTCGCCAGCAAGTCATGTAAGCATTTTTCTCGTTTTAGAGAATGTTTTTAGGGAACTGGAGACCCGGGTTGATGGTCTGAGGAGAGCAGAAGCCGAAATTTCGGAAGTAATGAGTGAAAATGAACGCCTCGTGAATAAGGTCTCCCATCTGCAAGAAGAACTACGCGAGACTCATTTTGACTACCGCGAGGAGATGGCGCGTATGGCCCGCGATTATTCGGAACAGAGCGCCGTCAGAACAAGCGCTGACGCAAGTGCAGAGAATCTTCAAGTCAAGGTGCGCATGTCCATTGATTCGATGGTATTCTTTAGGTCACCGAGCTCACCAAATCTCACAATGAAACTGAGACGCAGCTTCGTGCCGCGAAGCGACAGATTGAGGAGCTGCACCAGAAAATAGCACAGTTGACGCGGACGGTAGCTCCTACCTTTGGAATTCAATGCATTGAACGTTTAAGGTGAACGATACGAAAGCCAGGGAAGCTCTAACCAACGATGAGAACGCACGGTTCAAGATCGGACTCGTTGAAGCCATCGAAAAAGCGGAAAAGTTTAAGAAAGAAGCTGCGGATGCTGTGGAGAACCTGACGCAGCAGTCTGAAGAATTCCGGAGTCTACTCGACAAAGTGGTAATGCGGTTATATGAATACAAAATTGACTCTTCGTCCTTTGCAGAGGGTTTGCGAGACGGAGCTGAATGATATGGAAGATGTCGTCAAGGAGAAGGAAAAGATCATCGCTTACCTCAAGAGCCAGACAAACGCGCAAAAGATGCCAAAGCTGAAGAGTCGTTCGACACTGCTTCATCATCCCAGCGACAGCTCGATTGTAAATAATTCAACATTTTCTGAAAGTTATATTTAGGAAATGGAATCCGCGGAGCTCGAGATTCTGGAGGGCGTACGGAGAAACATCCAAGCTAATTTGGCTGAAAAGCGGCAGGGTATGTGGTCCATTTACCACTGGGAATTCGTTACTTTTAGAGCTTAACAAGCGCAAAGGGTCGTCCAGTGACATCGAAAACCTGCAGGGATCTGACGAGGTCTCCATTCCAACACAGAGGAGTCCCTTCAAACGACCATTGGCGCCCGTAAATGGATCTGCGTCATCTTCTGGAGATGAAGTGAGTTTTGCATCACAGAGACAATGTTAATTATTTTTTCAGTATTCCGGAGTGGTGAAGCCTTCGGTGGGCATGATGCGACACGACATTCCGCATTCATGGCGTCAGCAAATCGGACTTGCCGTCCGTCAGCTCAAGTGTGCCATGTGCTTCGAAGGAATTCCTAGGGTATTGAATGCTAGTTAAAATAATACACGTAAATTTAGATGGGCTATGCAATGCGGTGCAACATCTGCGAGGTGGTCGTTCACCGTCGCTGCACAAGGCGCGTCAACAATACATGTGGAATGCCAGCTCAAGTATGAATTCTTTAGTGAATACGATTAATTCTTCTTTTCAGTACGCCGAATACTACCATGATTGCCAGGAAAAGGTCGTCAGGAAGGCGATGGGCTCGAATTCGAAGTCGATGAACGGCTGGGTCCGGGTCTACAGGTAGTCACTGGTTTTCAAAAACTTAAAATTTATAATTTAGACATTTTTTGGCATGACGTTTGAGGTTCGAGGGCATTTCTTATGAATTTCTGCATTCTTATAGCAACTTTTTAGCACACGCGAACCGAAATGGCTAAGCAGTTTCGCGGTCTTGGACAAGGGCCGCTTGAGCTTCTTCGACAAGGAGCCGCTGGCTGGTCAGCTCGACAACCCTCGTCTTCGGCTGGAACTCGATAACAAGGCCTGGTCCGTGCGCTTTTTGGGTGAAGGCCCCAATGGTGAAAGGGACGGCGATTTCAACAACTGCATCCAGGTGCTGAGTTTTACTTGTTTTCTAAAAGTTAATTTTGCCAGATCCGTCATCAAGGAGAGGTGATCCACATCATGTGCCCCACCGATAGCGCCACCGCGCATTGGATGGGCTCCTTGCAGGTAATATTCTTTGGGGTCTCCAGATCCTAATTTTAGGCGGCCTCAAAAGATCGTCATTTCATGACTCGTAGCCCGTCAGCTTTCGCCAACAATTCGTTGGTGTTAGCCCTCGATACACCGCAGAATCTCAACGTCAACGCCGTCAACGTGTTCGATGATTGGTTGCTGGTAGGCTTGTGGTTGCGTGGATTTAGCCATGTGTCTTTTAGATTGCTGCTCAAGAAGGCCTTTTTGCGACGCTGATCGCCGATCCACGCAACCCGTTCCCGTTATTCTGCTCTGGGGCCTTCCATTCCGTTCTCTACATCAAGGATGTCGACGTCGTCGTCACGGTGTCCAATCAAAATCGTCAATTGGGTCTGATTTCGGCGTCGGAATTGAGGTGGGTTTACCGAATTTTTCATTTTTAAATATTTTTGATTATTTCTTATTATTGTATTTTTCTTTTCATCATTAACCTTTTCAGGATCCAGCTCAACCAGCCCCGTCCGACGGTCCACCTACAGAATCTGCCCGGAATCGAATACGCGCACATGATCGAGTACCATCAGGAGGGCCAGCAAAAATATCTACTTGTGGCCGATGCTAACTCCATCCACATCCTCCAACAGAAACGCGATTTCTTTGCGCCCTGCTTGGTAAACATCCACAACCCCGATTTTCACAACTTTGCTTTAGAAACTGGAATTGGATGAGCCGGCCACGTGCATGCTCTCGGCCCACGGTGGCATCTACTATGGTTCCGACAAATACTACCATGCGACGATGCTCTACTCGGGCAAACCCAAGATTGTCGCCCTCACCGAAGAACACATGGCCGATTACCCGATGGCTGTCTTGGAGACTGGCGACGATGAGGTGCTCCTGGCTTACCAGAGTAAGTAGCTTTAAAATCGGCTTTAAACCCATCCTAGACCATGGTATCTTCGTGAACAGCCGCGGTGAACGGACAAGAAACTCGATTGTTGAATGGGAATTGACACCGATGGAGTTTGGTAAGAGAAATTGGAAGTTTCGTTAATTTGCTTCAGCCTACTCGAAACCGTATCTCTTTGTTGTCCATTGTGACTCGCTCGAGATCATGCAAGTCTACGAGAATGAGGGCCTGAACTCGCGCACGGTTTCCGAGGAGCGCGATGTCTACAACACGAAACAAGCTCACATCGTTGGAAATGGACCTTCTGATGAGGTAATTTTTTATTTTTTGTTTTTAATAGTCTCCGGCCACTAATTAAACCTTTTAAAAAGACCTCGAAAACATTAAGTTTCTGGTCGTATTGCGGCATTTTTAATCGATTGTTTGTTTCATTTTGATTTATTTTCATAAAATAATGAATTTTTGCTCAAAAAGCCAAAGTTTTCACAACCTTTTTGTCATTCTATGTGACGCTATTTCGGAATAGGGGACCCACTTTGATTACTCTAAAAACCACTTCTTCTGGTGTAATTTTGCGCGCTTGTTCCGAAATACGGTGTCCCAGTGCGTTAAGTGCGCTAAGTATAATCTAAGTATTGAAACACACACGCTTCCGTGTTTTAATAACAGCTTATCGCGACCTTACTTTACGTTACAGGGGCAAAGAGCCGGCCTAGTTTACAGGTGGGCTCTACTGACGTTAACATAGATCCGGGTCGCCTAGGCTTGATCTCAATGAATCTAAGATCGGGCTTACTAGCATTTAGCATTAAAGCCTCAAAAACGGAGCTAGGAGTGTATTGTAGCCAAAAGTCGGGCCTGCGCCGCTAGGTTCCCTAGCAGCCCATTAAACTAAAATCAATTTTTTTTTGCGAAAATGTTAGGTTTTAAAGTTAGTGAGCTGTTTTTTCGGAACCAGCGCGCAAAACTATCCAGGAAAACATCGCACAAACCCCAGTTTTGATATAATAAAAGTGGGTCCCCTATTCCGAAATAGCGCCTTCTATGTAGACCATTCTATGTAGACACCTTTGCACTGTTTTTAAAATGGTTTAACTTTTTGCTATTTTGTCGGCTAGGCACCAATGAAATGAATTTTGTTACCTCTTTCTCTTATTAACCGGCTTCGTTTGTATCGCATAATTTACCCACACGGCTTTTTATAAGAAACCTTTTTAGGTTTTGGTCACGATCTCCAGCAGCCAACGCATGGAGCTACACTCGTTCGGCGTTAAATCTGGGGTAAATCTTGAATTTCTAGCCACGGAATTTTCCTTTTTTTTAGAAACGAGGCGGCAGCAAGCGACGCGCCATCACCAACGCATTCGGCAGCTTTGAGAAGAAAATTCGACCCGCCATCTGAAAGCCGACCCACTCGTCCCCTGTGCTTATTATTATACTGCGATATCCCATATTTCACCCTTTTGTTCGTCGATGTCATATATTCTGTGCACTACATTTTTATGTTTCTACCTTACTAACTGCTTCACCTCTTCTGTGCATCTTTCGATTTACACTCGCCGGCGACAAACGGCTCGCGTTTGGCGTTGTAGTGTCATAATAAAAGGCGATCTCCTATTGACAGCCTAATAGCCCGGACACATAGCTGTTTTCTTCGCAATCTTGTCTATACACCGCCAAGCGTAATTTGGTTATACTAGTTTTGTTATTTTTCGGGTTTCGCGGGGTGGAACCAAAATGATGACCACTTACACGGGCGTTCAGAGCGTGCGTGGGGGAGGGGGCGGGGCGTGGCCGAGTGGTCCAAGGCGCCTGTATGAGCCACAGTCTGAGGGTGCGAGTTCGATTCCCCACCCTCAAGGGAGCGCTTTAACCTTTTGCTTTTTGCGCCAAAAGCCTGGAAAAGTCCCAATAGATCATTTATGGAGCATAGTATGCGAAAAATTAATAAATTAAAAGCTTGCCGGAATTGCAACAACAAATTTTAGCCTCCCAGGACCAAAAAAGTGGCTGATTTAACATTGGCAATGCTTTCCCAAGCAAGTTCAGTGAAAAAACCACAAAGAATCAGCCTAAATCCAAAGAAAAACGCTTCGCACAAAGGACGGAATTTGACACTTTTTGAGCTAAAAAGCTATAGAAGTCCTTATTTCTGCTGTAGATCGGCCTGAGAACTGTTCCATAACATAGCCCAGACTCTTCTCTACATTCCTAGAGCAGCGCTCCCGATTCACATGGCCTTTTCAAAAGTTATAGCGATTTGAAGTTCAAAATTTTTGACCATTTTTCGGCCCTTTCTATGGGGAGATCATGGATCGCGGAGCGTGCACAGTACACGCGCGGCCATTGGAGTGCCCTGGAGCCGCCCCACCTCTCACAGGCGCTTTCCCTGTCCTCTGAATGCCCGTGACTTGCAAGAAAGGCGATTTTGCAAAAGTTTCATTTTGAAGAAATTTTTTTGGAGATTCTTTCGGAACCCTATCGACGGTGCACTTGACTATGCCTTGTTGCGCGCATAGCCTGCTCAATTTCCCTGTGAGACAACCGCGGAAAATGGATACAAAGTCATCTCCGGTAGTGTAGAGCTTAGGGACATGCACATGTCCGACGGCCCTTTATGTAATTTTCGCCAAGTCGTGCGGGTGCAGAGGGCGACCCGAGTTTTCTCGCTAGGTGAACGACGCCCGAAACGAGTCGAATTTGCATAGCCCGCCCGGGTGGGGGTCGAGGCTCTTTGTCAGTTGGATATTGCTGACAGGCCTGGATCGAAGGTCGAATGGAAGGGAGGAGGTTTGAGGGTGAAAATTTAGATTCGAGCTCCGGCTCTAGGAGTACCTCGAAATCTGAAGAATTGGAACGCGCTCATCTACAGGCCTGTGATCTACTAGTCATGCCAATCGGCGACATGACAGCCCAAATGTCGGCATGATGATGAGTACATGGAGGGGATCACCGATCCGTTGACGAGCCCCTGAGGGCACATTTTATGGACGAATCGATGGGATCGGGGCCTGGGGGAGGCCCGCGCGAGACCCATAAAGGAGGCCCATAAACGGGGGCGGAGTCCGAGGCCGAAGCAGGGAGAAAGAGAGAGAGGGGGAAGCAGCCCTGCCTGTGTCGGTCGCTTGCCCCGCCTCAACCAGCAGCCCCACCCACCAGAAAGCCCTCTCTGGTGCTCAACACCACTAAATATCAGGCTCCCCTGGGTTTTACTAAAATTTTTAGGATTTTTCTTTCTCTCTGAATTTATGAAAATTTGACGTTTTGCCCTTCATTGCCTTGGCTTCCGCTTTTTGTTAGGATTGGCTCATTTTTTAACCAGAGCCGCTTAAAATTCCAAAATTAAAGTGTATGTTTAAGCTCTTACAACGGTATGCTATTATTTATCCGCTTCTAGAATTATAGGCCTTTTATACTGATCTACATTCGAAAATTGTGTCTTTTAGATTTTGGCCGGATACGGTAGACCACGGTTATTTTTTGCCAAAAATCGTGCCTTCCAGGTCCCTTGAAAATATGACTTTAGATGGCAACCAGGGTTGAAAAGCCGCTTCGCGACTTTTCAACCCTTGGCCCGAGTCGGACCACATGCTGTTTTTCCATTTGCATAATTGTCCTCTATTCAGAAGACAAAAAATGAAAAACAACCTCTTCTGCCTCTTTATATAGGGGACAGCCCACTTCCGGTCTATGCTAATTATTACTAACAAAGAGGTTTTTACAAAAACCTAAATTTAATAGCGAAAACGGCTAATTTATAAAAATCTGATAGGTGTGCAGTGATCCCTAGACCATTACGCACCTAATGACGTATCATACGTAGCCCAATACCCTTCCCTTCTTGAGATATCCTCCGGACAGACATCCGGAAGTGGATGCAAAGTGGCACACACACACACACAAACACTATTTTTTTATATATAGTAGGATCTGGACGAGATCGTTGTATATAGTAGGTATACCTTGAATTGTATCGGGGTTTTTTTCGAAAAGAAACCCTCTAAATTTCATTTTATTGATTAAAAAATCGTGATGTCTTTTCTAGAGCTAACAGTGTTATTACCACCTTACAGGTTCACGTTTAATGTATTTATTTTGGCAGCATCTTCTCGATCAAAAACATATTTTTAGTTCCGCAATTTTTTAAACATTAACCGAAAATTTTGACCTCTAATCGTAATCTAATGATTTCCCAAGTGCCAGCCCGTGATATCTATCCCTTTGGTGGATTTCTAGCCGGTCTGTGTTCGTCTATAGGGTTCTCCTCCCCCTCCTTCTGCTGCTGCTGCTCCGGCTCTGTGGGGCGACGATGGGGGCCAATAAATTTGCACCCCGACGCAAAATATCGTCTTCGAGCGCCCATTTCAGGGGGGACGAGGAGGAGGAGGGCTGGGCTGTCCCGCTGACCGGATAGGATCTTTCTCTCACTCCACTAGCCACCCAAACCAACACCCACACGCAAATCCCAGGCTCGCGCTGTCGTTTAGTATTTTTAGTTTTTTGATAAATTTATAGCTTCTATATTTATTATACCTTGTAGGCAGTTTGTGCAGATTCTGCTGTGTTTTTGATGTTAGATAAACGGAAAACCAGGCCTTTCCGGTAAAGGTTTCTTACCGAGGGGGGGGGGCAGAGGTACGGAGGTGAAATTCAATTTATTATACAATATAGGGGCTGCTTCCATCAGATCATTCCATCGTATATTTCATTAGGAACTAGACTAAGAGTTTAGATTTCAGCCATAAATACTTTATTCTACCAAGGATTTCTATTAGGGAAAATCGCTGTAAATGATTTTTTTTGGGCTGCAATAAAATTTCTGGCTTTTTCTTGATATTTCCAGCTTTCATTTTTTTCATTTCATTTCATTTTATCTTCTGTGAATGTCTACACTTCTCTCTGCCTTTCTCATATCACTTCCGGTCGCATTAGTGCTCAACCTCTGCTTCCATCTGCTAAAAAACCTTCGATTTTCCAGATGTCTAACCTTCCCGTTTCAAAAAATTATACCGCGTTTTTTTCAGGGAACTCGACCAGAAAGCGGATGCCCGGAATGGGGCTTCGGATGGCCTCCACCGCGCCGATTTCCTTTTTATTTCTGCTGGTCTCCTCCGTGACGGCCACCAGCGGCGAGTCGATGTTCAAACAGGTACAGTCGTTGCTCTTTTCCAAATAACCCCCGGGATCGACAGTATTATCGTGTACCCGGCGGGGGTCGGAAAATGAGTCAGGCAGACGCAAGCTCGCGCGCGGCGAATGACGAAGCGTAGCCCCGTGTGTTTCCCATACAACTTGGTTCCCTCCCCCGGGCCATTCAGGCTATTCATCAGAGTCTGTCGAGGGCATCGGCCGGATCAGAAAAACACCCTTCAAACCCCCCCCCTGTATTGTGGCCGGCGATTCGGCATTACGATATAAAAGGATGGTGCTACTAGGAAAAAGGTGTATAGACCTCGTCGGGGTGTTTGGTAAGTCGCCTTGAGCATATTGTGAAAATTATAAAAATGAGGAGCCTAAATTTTACGAAACGCATTGTAAAGCTTTAGGGGCACAGCTATTTCACTAAGAAAAATTCGAACCCCTTATTAAATTTTAAACTGAATTTTGTGAACTTTTGACTGCGACCCTTGTTTCAGAAAGAGAGGCTAACAAGGATCTTCCCTTTTTCTGAAGAACTACCATTTTGAGAGCGCATGATAATGATTTTTTCGCAAAAAGTGCATCTTAGAGATCATCCTAGCATACTTATTTTCTCTTAAAAAAAGTTTCTCCACTCTCTCCTAAAGATTGCTAACATTCTAAAGAAAAGAACTTTTAAAAGTGATAAAAGTAATAACATGAAAAGTGTTTTATACTGTTTTTAGTATGCTTTAGCTATATTAGACGCTAATAAGTTTGAAAAATATTAGATAAGTGCAAATTCGGGTCATTTTGGGTAAAAAAAATTTTTTCGGCCTAAAATCACATTTTTTATTAAAACCTATGGTTTTAGAAACTTATATTCTATCGCTATTTATCTACTCAAGAACTCGCGATTGTTGATCAAAATTATCTCCAGAGACGTTTCTACCCCAATTGCGCGCCATATGCTTGGCTCCCATATTTTACCGGACACTCTAATTTAGCGAAGAGCAAACGGAGAACGTGAAGCTGGGCCTCCCCCAGCTGAGCTAACGGTTAATGGGTTTTGTGGGGGGGCCCCGATGGGGGCTAATGTGGGTTTGTGCTTGGAGGGCAGGTGGGACACGGTGTGTGTGTGTGCCCTTCTAGCGATGATCAATCGAAAGAGGAGAGGTTGGTGCACGAGGAGTCGGGCCGGGGGCCGTTGGTTTCCCGCCGGGGGCCATTCGGGCCCATAAAAAGTTGACCGGCTCAAGGGCACCCAGTATGTAGCCCCCC